GTAAACTTTCCATGTCATAGGAATACTTAAGTATATAGTAAGAATTTTTTCTCATATACAAGACATGTTGTCTCATTATCTCATAAGAAAATTTTTAATTTGATAAATAAAGTTATCTTATTTATTTTTTTTAATGAGTTCATTAATTTTTATAACAGATCATTGAGATAGCACTTCAGCTGATTTATTTTATTTCTATGAAATTTTCATCAGTGTACTAGGAAATTAAAAATATTTGAGCTTAGAGGCCTAGAATAATAAGTCAATTTAAACAATGAAATTTTCTTAATGCATGGTTCTTGGCTTTGTATAGTATCAGTCAGTTCAAGTTTAGAAATGATAAACTGTTTGAATGATAGTTAATAAAGTATTAGTTGGCTAGCAATACATCCAATTGTACATTTTTTTTGATGACATAAGATATTTTTACACAAAATTATGTCCTTGTATTCTATCCCTGTATTATATTGCTGTAAAAGTGTCATAGTTCACAGTGTTTTTTTTCTTTATATAACTACTACCCTAAAACGGTACTGTTCCCAATAGAAAATAGACATTAAAATTCCCAATTTCCAAAGTTTAAATTCCCAAAATGGCTGTTCAAAATTCCCACAAAGCCAAGTGATTTCTCTGAAATCATGTAAATCCAACATATTCATTTAAATCACCACTCAATAGTTCTACCTGGACTATGATGAATAATCTTATTTGTAACTGAAAAAAAGCAATAAAAAATTCCCAATTTAAGTCAAAATAACACATTTTTTACCCAATCAGTCTGGTACCAGCACCATTCCCAAAGTAGAGAAAAAAACACTGGTACAAAACTGTTCACTATTTAGGGGAGATGATGTGTAAGCGGCTGGATAGTTCAGATGGTAGAGCCGCAGTACGGTATTCCAAGGGTCCCGGGTTTGAATTCCGGTCAGGTTGCACATTTTTCTCACCCTGTCACAAAAGTATACAGATTCCTTAATTGCATGTAGGAAAAAGAGAAAATTGTATAATTAATGTTAAGGATCAGAGTTAATTTTAAAAAGGGATTTGGTGTCAATTTTTCTAAAATTGACTTAATTAACTAACTTGTATTGGAAGTCAAATCTCAAACCTGTACTCAAATTTGAAATGTCATAACAACAAAAGATTTATCATTATGTGTTTTTAAAATGTTTGTTTACATGTCAAGAAATACAATCTTGTCAAGTCTATCATGTTCCTGTAACTATTTATAGAATTCCTGCTTCAGTAAGATAAAACCTTTGACCTGATGAGTTTCTTAAATGGTATTGTTTAGACTTGTCCATTATATAAAGATATCAGCAGTATGCCTGGCTCTATTCTAGTGACAAAGGTAATTAATTTATGGTTTGAGGAAAGAACGAGTTTGATATAAACCCATTGATTGCTAGTCACAGTAATGACCAGTCAATACCACTAGAATAGAGTCTTGCAAGAAGTGACCAGTCAATACCACTAGAATAAAGTCTGGAAGGTAGTGACCAGCCAATACCACTAGAATAGAGTCTTGCAAGAAGTGACCAGTCAATACCACTAGAATAGAGTCTTGCAAGTAGTGAACAGTCAATACCACTAGAATAGAGTATGGCAAGAAGTGACCAGCCAATACCACTAGAATAGAGTCTTGCAAGTAGTGAACAGTCAATACCACTAGAATAGAGTATGGCAAGAAGTAATCAGCCAATACCACTAGAATATAATGTGGCAAGTGGTCACCTATCAATACCACTAGAATAAAGCCTTCCAAGTAGTGAACAGGCAATACCACTAGTATAGAGTCTGGAAAGTAGTGACCAGTCAATACCACTAGGATAGAGTCTGGCAAGTAATGACCAGTTGGCTGTATGATTTAAACAATTTGATAATAATATATCCTTAAAATTAGAAACTAAAAGTTACAAATCTAATGTTGGTAAATATATATTCAATATTTGATTCTGTTATAGTTACTATATTTTGTGTAATGTTAAGTAATTATTATGTTTGAAACATTTTAATCAGTAAAATTTACAAGTAAGGATGAGATAGGTTTATCATATTGTAAATAAAGTTAATAAATATGACATTTAAATATTGTGACTGTTCTTGTTGTTATATAATTATTATTTATAGTTTATATAATTTTTTTTTCGTTTTCTTCATATATATTTATCTTATAAGAGCAAGGTAAAAATTGACAGAATTTGCAACAGCAGTTGTCAAATCTAGCACTGGCCCGGTGGCCTATGGCCAGTGTAAATTAGTTCGGGCCATGGTAAATTTTAAGAAAATTTAGTTAAATAATTGTATGTAGCAGAATAAATTCAAAACTGGAATTCGGGCCAGTTATTTCAAAATCTTAAATTCATTGACTGCAACAGAACAAACAGAAGATTATTTCTTCCTTATAAAATTAAACATGTCATGAAAGACAAGTAGCTCTAAAATCATTTTGATTCCTGGGTTTAAATTTAATACTTATTATATTAAATATGTCTGTAAAACAAGACTGTGATATAATCATTTAGGGAATTTCTTAAATAAGTTCATTGTAAAAAATGAGATCCTCTTTACCATAACATTTTTAAAATGTGATCACTAGTCAACATTTCATGGGTTGATAACTTCACAATGTTTTATAATACAATACAATAAATATTTTATTTACTGTTTTTAATGACTGTGTAATATAAAGAAATATTTGTATTACTTAACAAACATCATGTTATAAATGTAATTTATAATTCATTGTTTCTAATTGTTCACATTATTACAATATTTAATTTAACAGTTGATTGTAGAATATTAAGTTCCTGTAATTGATTTTAATCACTTTAAAGTTGGATTTATGAAACAAACCAGTATTGTTGTGATATAAAGAAACATGGCCGCAATCCCAAATCTTTAAATACCTATGCCACAGCTTGCTTTATTATCTAACTTTTAAGGTTTGAGCCCCCTAATGGGCACTATAAGGAATTATAACATAATGTCTCTATACATGATTGATTTAATTTTGTAATTTCTGTTATTAGAGTAATTTAAGTATGATTAGGCTAAAGTTTATTAGTACGTATTTACAAAATTAAATTGGTCAGGCTAAGACCAATTTTACTTTATAATACATACTAATAAATTTTAACCAACTTAGTGTTTTAAATTATTTTTTATGAATAGTCGATTTACTAGACTGATAAACAGTTTGCCGATTTACCAAAGTAAATGTGTTCTACTGCAATCCTATTGGACAAAAAATAATTTTAAACACTAATGTATTTCATTTGTTATCAAACAGCAGTTTATATATTAAGGATTATATATATTTATAAACATCAGTTTATATATTAAGGATTATATATATTTATAAACATCAGTTTATATATTAAGGATTATATATATTTATAAACAGCAGTTTATATATTAAGGATTATATATATTTATAAACATCAGTTTATATATTAAGGATTATATATATTTATAAACAGCAGTTTATATATTAAGGATTATATATATTTATAAGGATTACTCACTAAACTCATGATCATCTCATCATAATACATTCATACATATAAATATATAATTATTATACAATCATCTCAGCTATGAATTGTTTCCTATAAAATCATTTCAGCTATAAATTGTTCCCTTTTGAACATTTGAATTTCTTACATGAATGAGCAGGGGGATTTTAAACAGAAATATATGCAAAGATAGTTAAGAAATATACTTTGAAATAAATTGAAAATCGTATTTTTATGCTTTTCTTAGCCCGATTTGAGTGAAAAGCGTTTAAACGCTTTTCATTTTATTTTTTTTTTTTACAATTTGAATAATAATTCTGGATAAACAAAATGCGCGAATGATCTGAATTTTTGCACAAAGATTAGTATCCTACATCTACATCAAATGGCACATTTATCTGGAAAAATATTTTCAGTCCCATCATGTCAAAAAACCTCAGTGGAGTCCATTTAAGCTATAAATTGTTCCCTATTATTATAAAATCATTTCAGCTATGAATTGTTCCCTATTATTATATAATCATCTTAGCTAAGAATTGTGTTCCCTATTATTATATAATCATCTTAGCTAAGAATTGTGTTCCGTATTATTATATAATCATCTTAGCTAAGAATTGTGTTCCCTATTATTATATAATCATCTTAGCTAAGAATTGTGTTCCGTATTATTATATAATCATCTTAGCTAAGAATTGTGTTCCCTATTATTATATAATCATCTCAGCTATGCATTGTGTTCCCTATGATTATATGATTATATAGTCATCTAAGCTATGAATTGTGTTCCCTATTATTATATAATCATCTAAGCTATGAATTGTGTTCCCTATTATTATATAATCATCTAAGCTATGAATTGTTCCAGTATTATTATATAAACAAACCAAAATTAATCAGCAACCACTGTTGCGGGATACTTAAACTAATTATGAAATTTTAATATGATGTTTTTCCTAAAGTTATACATTGGCATGCATAATGATAAATTTTAATTTCATCATTGAAATTCATCATCATGTTTTGTTTATGAAACCTGATATAATTGTTGTTGACATCACCTGTAGTAAAGTAGACATGCAATGATTGTATGTAAGTTTATATTGTTACCCTGTAACTATTGTCTACACCTGGTTGGTTAGTATGCAAACATAATATGAAAAGAAAAAAAACAGTGTACCAAATAAAGACAAAAATGAAGATGTTTTAAATAAGGAAGTTAACAATGCAGATTGAAGAATTGAAAAAAGTTAAACAATATAATTTTCTTTAAGCTTCAAACAAAAAGATGACTTAATATTTTGCTCATTTTTACAGGCAATTGTAAAAATTATGGGTATATAAAGGGATTTCATTTTGAGGTTTAAATTAATCTGAATATTATATATTATAAACACCCTCGTTATGAAAGGAAAGACAAAAATGGTTTAATCTGGAATAGTTTTGGTAAGTTATACTTTAAATTTTTTTCATTTTTTTTTTCAGTTATAAAAAGATTTTGATTCATCAACAACATTTTGATTCATCAAGCTTCTACCAACCAAGATGTCCTCAACATTCCTACAAAGCTTCTATATGCTCCTGATCAGTCACCTGCCTACCTCTCCAAGGACAATTAATCTCTACCCGAAATAATTTCCTTCCAAACCTAAACCATGTTTCCCAAAGTAAAAAAGATATTTATGATAAATTATCAAATTAGCAGAACCTACAATTTTCCTTGCCAAACTGATAAATGTTTATGTGTTTTGTTAAAATTTCATCAGAATGTATTAATATTGACTTGATTAAAATCAGATGATACAGTCACCCTATCATTTGTTTAGATACCTGATATAATTTTTCAAAAATGATTGGTTATTGTCCAAATTCTTTGAATGAAACATTATTTTACCATCAGGAAAGTATTGGCCTGCGTAAGGGTTCCAGGAAACCAGAAAAAGAATTTGAATCGTCACACAGTAGTGCTGGGGAAGAGCAGGACTTTGTAAACCAGGTTGAAGAGTTTTCTCAGTCAGTTGATATCTCAAATCAGCGTACAAGATCTGCATCCACAGCATCAGACACAAGCTCATTTGTTCAGTCTGTACAAGTAGTGCCGTCATCAAGCTCTGAAGGAAAATATGCGATATATAAAAGTGTTCATGATTATATTGACCCATCAAGACTTGCAACAGATTCTGAAGTAAAATACTCATTTTTATCATCTTTACAATATGGTCATAATATAAGTAACCCAGAACTTCGACAACAAAGATTTGAAAATGATTACTCTGACTGGAAAATGAGAAAACGTAGTTTATTGAGTAGGTCTTCAAAGAATGGATCAAGTTCAGGAAGCAGGTTTTCCTCTTCAAGTAATTCCTCAGGAAATTTTAGCAACAAAAATTGCCAGTGTGGCCAGTTTCATTCCCATGTGTTCAAACCAGAACATAGAAAAATGTCCAAGTTAGTCATACCAGTGCCGGAAGAACAATCTCCTGTTAAGAAAACATCTGACATATTACACGGAAATGAAAATCAAAAAGTAATCTCAAACATATTTTGGAAGCCACAGCTTAGTTTTTCTGAGTATAAACATGGTTGTGATCTTGTCAAGTTTCAAAGCCTGTGGCCATCAAAGTCTACAATCAAAAGTTTGCTTGAAGAGGGCATGGAATGTGTTGAGCGGGATGACTTTGGACTTAGAGGTGCAATATCGGAACTTTGTGTACTTGTGACGGTAGATGGCCCTGTGTATATTCTCCAGTCACTCTTAGAAATGAAATATATAAGTGAGTACAGTTTTTTGTTACATTATTTTCAAATGAACGTTAATTTGAATACATAAGCAAGGCAAAGCTACAGTCAGAAAGATAATAACTTAAAGTCTATAAAGATTAGTGATGGAAATCGGATGAAATTTGTCCCAATCGATCATCGGTTCAATCGGATGGGCCATAATCGATAACTTTTCGAATAAAGTCGCGTTAAAAAGAAATAGGAAAGAAACATTTCTTCCCAAGGCACTTGATTATATTCAGTAACATGAACTTCATTTAGCACTTTTCAACACAGTTTTCACCTTATATATAGTCATAATTTTATGAAATAGATTTTATTTTTCAATGGATGTCAAATAATAACTTTCAAATCACATTATATTACTTTTGTTTACATCACGTATTGATCCTGTTCAACTCCAAATTGTCTCAGACATGAGTTTTTTTGCGATCAGCAAAAAATTACCTTCAGAATTAATTCCCTTTGATACTTTAAACATTTTCGACGACATCGCGGAACAAATTTTGTGAATCGATTATTGTCGCTTAATTATTTGTTTGGTAGTCACTCAGTTAATATAGTTTTGTACAGGAAATTACAATTAAGTCTAAATATATATTTTGTGAAACTACAATGCCTAGAGCTTAAATAGTTGACATGGAGCATTGCCTTGTTGACATCTACAAAATTGATATAAATCATACCCCTCGGTCATTATTGGCCCAATGCCGGGGGTCACATTGACTTCTATATGATGCCTTTATGGTGTTACTTTAAGTTAATAACACCCAAGGTTTGCCAGTATCATCTGTCCTGTTTTGATGCCATATGATGGTTTGCTGTAAAACCAAACAAACAAACTGCTATATGAAAACTATAGGAAAACTTATTAGAGTCTTATGGTGTGAAACTGCAATGCCCAGAGTTTAGATATTTGGCAATTGGCATATCCTCCACAAAACTGATATTAATTTCTAATCATACCCCTTGTGTCAACAATATATGGCCTTTCGTTGGAGGCACTATATTTATATAGATTTATATAGACTTATATAGAATAAGATTTATTTAAGTCTTATAGATAGTGCGAAACTACAATGCCAAGAGCTATGGTATTTTGCATGTAGCATTACCTAATTGAGGACCTCTGAAGAACTGATATTTATCACATTCTTGGGTAAATATTGGCCCACCTTAGGGTCACTTGATTTGTATAGACTTGCATAAGAAATCACATTTAAGTCTCTTGTTATGTGAGAGCTTAGATGATTTTGGCATTAACATAGCATCATTTTCAGATTTCTACAAAAGTTATACTAATCATAACCCTCAGGTCAACATTGACAATGCCTCAGGAGTGACTTTCTTCATGTAGACTAAGGTATAAGACAACACATAATATAAAAAAAATCCACCTTAGTGGTCATATAGTATCATAAGGATAATTAAGATGAAATATTTTTCAGACAAGTTTCTTTATTTGGTCTCGAGCCTAAATGAAAGATTTTTTTATAACTCAAACAAATTTACATTCAGGCCCCTGACTTTGCTGTTTCTTATTGGATTTGGAATATTTGTTTTTTCACAAAAACTGTCGAAAGGTATTCACTTCAAACTTAAAATATTTGTTCACTATTAAGAACAGGTATGTCTATAAACGTGTTTGCAGAATTATGCCACCTTTTTTTAATGTTTTCTTTTTTTTCAACTGTCCAGCTGTGAAAAAATTAAAGGTCACTGTCCGCATACAGGTCTTGTTTTAAACTAACAATACTATAAGTCTATTTCGTGAAGTCAGTGAGGATTGGTTTACATTTTTACTTCATTATCATATCATGTATACATGCTGGATAATATCATAAGGTTCATTTCAGTGCAATTATTAAAGTTTAACCTTTCCCTTATTTACCTGTAATTAAGATAATATGCAGGTCAAGTGTGTTATTTATAATGTCACAAGATCTGGGCATATATTTCTAGATTATTAATAAAGGTTATCAGTCTATCATTGTAGATGTGTGCCATATATTATTTTATATGTTTCGGGGTGAAAAACATTATAATTAAGTAAGACTAAAACACTGCAAGATATTTCCTTTTTCATTCACTTCAAATTCTTTTAAATTATATACATGTATAAAACAAGATAAAAAACATAATAATAATAATAATAATAATAATAATAATAAGAATAATAATAATAATAATAATAATAATAATAATAATAATAATAATAATAATGATAATAATAATAATAATAATAATAATAATAATGAATGAATGAAAATGAAATAGTGTTTCAGTGGCAATGTTGTTAAAGATAATGATTTTAAACATTTTTTTCAATCTAGGCTGTGGATCTCAGGTTCCTTCATGTGTTTGAAATAATGCAGGGAGGGACATGTAAGATCTTCCTCCAGCAGGAAGTGTGACTTTATTCCCCCCTCTCTATTTATATACATAAACTTAGGAAAAATAGTTTAATAATTTCAGTAGCAGATGTTCAGTCATGTTCAGGTTAAACTTGATAGACATTCATGCTAATGCATAAATCCTTTGCATAAATTTCATTTATAATTTTCATGTATGTAGAACATTTGTCATGATTTTACATCATTAAATTATTGCATATTGTTCATGTATATTAAAATTTGTGCTGTATTGAGGTAAAGAAAGAAAAGTTTCTAAAATAACAACAAACTCCTGTAAATAGCATATCATTTAAATAGCATAGCATGTAACTAGCATAATCATAATTTAAATACATGTAGCATAGCAAGTATTTAGCATTATGATCTTTATACATTTTAATAGCATAGCATGTAACTTAAGCATTATCATCTTGATACCTGTAAATAGCATAGCATTTATATGATAAAGAACATGCCTGGTGAAGTGTTTCATATGACAATAGTTTAAATCCTGGAGAGGAATTACCCTTTGAGCAAAGAAAAAATGAATTACAAAATCTGAATTTATGATCTATGACTATCAATTTTAATGTCATCTTTTATTATTTGCTATTTTCCCAATACTAGGGCTAGATTATCAGTTTGAGAATGATGCTGGACTGTTACATCTTGCATGTGTTCTACAGAATCTTGAAGCTGTACAACTTATCACACAACTTGGTGTTTCTTCAAAAATCAAAGATAGATCAGGTTTATTTTATACTGTCTATATAATTCATTTAATTTTTCTAGTTTTAATTACAATAGTTTGATAATTTTTGCCCATGAAAAATAACAAAAAGTTGATGTTGATTTTTAGCTCACCTGAGCATGCTCAGGGTGAGCTTTTAGGATCGATGATTGTCCGTCGTCCGTCGTCCGTCCGTCGTCCGTTCACATTTAGTTGTTAACACTCTAGCGGTCACATTTTTGCCTCAATCATCATCAAACTTGGTCAGGATGCTTATCTAGTTGATAGCTCGGATGAGTTCGAACATGGGTCATCTCGGATGAGAAACTAGGTCACAAGAGCTAAAAATAGAAAAACCTTGTTAACACTCTAGAGGTCACATTTTTGCCTCAATCATCATCAAACTTGGTCAGGATGTTTGTCTAGGTGATAGCTGGGATGAGTTCGAACATGGGTCATCTCGGATGAAAAAGTAGGTCACCGGAGCTAAAAATAGAAAAACCTTGTTAACACTCTAGCGGTCACATTTTTGCATCAATCATCATCAAACTTGGTCAAGATGCTTGTCTAGGTGATAGCTCGGATGAGTTTGAACATGGGTCATCTCGGATGAAAAAGTAGGTCACCGGAGCTAAAAATAGAAAAACCTTGTTAACACTCTAGCGGTCACATTTTTGCATCAAACTTGGTCAGGATCCTTATCTAGCTGATAGCTGGGATGAATTCGAACATGGGTCATCTCGGATGAAAAAGTAGGTCACCGGAGCTAAAAATAGAAAAACCTTGTTAACACTCTAGCGGTCACATTTTTGCATCAATCATCGTCAAACTTGATCAAGATGCTTGTCTAGGTGATAGCTGGGATGAGTTCGAACATGGGTCATCTCGGATGAAAAAGTAGGTCACCGGAGCTAAAAATAGAAAAACCTTGTTAACACTCTAGGGGTCACATTTTTGCATCAATCATCATCAAACTTGGTCAGGATGCTTATCTAGTTGATAGCTCGGATGAGTGTGAACATGGGTCATCTCGGATGAAAAAGTAGGTCACAGGAGCTAAAAATAGAAAAACTTTGTTAACACTCTAGTGGTCACATTTTTGCATCAATCATCATCAAACTTGATCAAGATGCTTGTCTAGGTGATAGCTCGGATGAGTTCGAACATGGGTCATCTCGGATGAAAAACTAGGTCACAGGAGCTAAAAATAGAAAAACCTTGTTAACACTCTAGTGGTCACAATTTTGACTCAATTGTCATCAAACTTGGTCAGGAAACTTGTGTAGGGTGTTGCTGGGAAGAAATTGAACATGGGTCATCTCGGATGAAAAAGTAGGTCACCGGAGCTAAAAATAGAAAAATCTTGTTAACACTCTAGTGGCTACTGTTGTGATCCAAATATTCTGTTAATTGGTCTGAAAGTTTGTTTTGATGATTTCTAAGTCAAGTTCGTACATTGGTCATCTTGGATGAAAAAAACTAGGTCACACCGCCCAAATATGGAAAAACCTTGTTAACATTCTAGTGGTCACATTTTCGACTCAGTTATCATCAAACTTGGTCAGGATGCTTGTATAGGTAATTGCTTGGATGAGTTCGAAATCGCATGTGGAACTAGGTCACCGGAGCTAAAAATAGAAAAATCTTGTTAACACTCTAGTTGCTACTGTTTTGATCCAAGTATCCTTGAAATTGGTCTAAAAGTTTGTTTTGATGATTTCTAGGTCAAGTTTGAATATGTGTCACCTGGGTAAAAAACTAGGTCGCACTGCTCAAATATGGATAATCCTTGTTAACACTGTAGTGGTCACATTTTTGACTCACCTGTCATGAGACTTGGTCAGAATGCTTGTCTAGGTAATTGTTTGGATGAGTTTGATAAATCAGGTGAGCGATCTAGGGCCATCATGGCCCTCTTGTTCATTATTATTATCAAGTGAGAAAGATTAGAAATTGACAATAAAACCAAATGGTAGTCAGTTTATTTACAACTGTGAAAAGTTACTTAATTATACAACTTTAAGTTATTAAGAAAACAACAATTAAGATTTTAAATTTCCATTTTGTACAGGTAAAACAGCGGGTGAAGTTTGTACATGTCCAAAGATAAAGAAACAGTTAAATACAAAGTTCCTGTCAGACAGAATTAAAAATCTTACAATAATCAAACCAGGACTGCAAGATAAAGATGCTATTTTTAAACTAGCATCAAACCCAAAGTGTCTGTATGAACTGCAGAAAAGATTACAGGTATTTACAAGTTAAAAAGGTTTCCTGGGCAGGGAAGTTTTAACAATTTAAAGATATTTCCATATTAATTAATTGTATTGAGAATATAGTTGACAATAATCGATCAAAAGGTCTTTGGAGACTGGTGACTGTTGAAGACCGGAGAGGGTAGATTAGTAGGTATTCCGTCTGTATCATCCAGATGTTTAAAAATTGTCTTTCAAATGTCTTGGTCATACTAGTATTTTCATGTTTACTTAATTCTTATAATTTCTTAATTGCCCTTTAATATTCTTTCATATATCAACTTGAAACTACCAGATGTGCATGAAGTATAGATTTTATTACCAATTTATTAAAAAAATTAAAAGAAACTATACAATGTTGATTAACCAATCATGTACGGTTTACAGATCATATGCATCTCCTTTTTTACTGTCTGTACAGCATCCCTCACAAAGTTATGTATGCCACAGGATTGAAAGAAGCATACAACTTAAACAATTTGTGTTTAGAACCCTTATACGTGGTTACATCTCATTTGGAAAAAAGTGCTGTACCTCACAATCATAACTCTCTTTATTGTCCTTTGAAACTTTTTATAAAAAGTTTATTTTTGTATAGGGCATAATTGAAAAGTATAGCAATATTATATTGATAGATCACAATTAGGCAAAGGGCAGTGTCTTCGAACCATAAGTCTCTTTTGCATTATTTTGGAGTTATTATTATTTTGTTTTTTGTTTATTTGGGGCTCCCGAAGGGTGGCATATTAAAATTACATAATCAGTCTGTCTGTTTGTGTATCCCTACTTCATTCATGTCCGGACTTTAACTTTGTTTTACATTAAGGGATTTTGAAATAGCTTGGCAAAAATGTCAACCACATCAAGACGATGTGTCACATCCTACCTCAAAGGTCAAGGTCACACTAACATTTTGAAATTTCACATTATCACAATTAGAGTTAATAGTTACACACATTCGTGTCCCGACTGTAACTTGGTCATGCATCAAAGGATTTTAGACTAGTATAGCATAAAACGTTGTCTACCACATCAAGACGACGTGTCGGGTCTAAGACCCATGTCCCTACCTCCAAGGTCAAGGAAACACTTATAATTTGAAGGATGTACATTTGCTGTCCTGACTGTAACTTTGTTGTTCATTGAAGGATTTTTTAAATAACTTGGCACAAGTATCTACCACATCCAGACAATGTCAAGGTCACACTTAGAGGTTGAAAGTTCACATTTGTGTCCAAATTGTAGCTTTGTCATGTATGGAAGGATTTTAAAATTACTTGGCACAAAAGTCAAAATCATCATGGTGATGTGTTTCATTTAAGACCCATGTCAGTTAGTCAAAGGTCAAGGTCACACTTACAGTTCGATGGTTTCACATTCTCACAAGTAGAGTTTAAAGGTACACTCATTTGTGTCTTGACTGTAACTTTTTATGCACGGAAGGATTTTTTAAATAACGTAGCATATATGTCTACCAAATGAAGATGACATTTTGCTTTCAAGACCCATGTCCCTACCTCCAAGGTCACTCTTACAGTTTTAAGGTTCTCATTTCTTAAGAAGAGTTTGAAGATACACATTTGTGATCGGACTGTAACTTTGCCATGCATTGAAGAGTTAAAATAACTTAACACAAATGTCTATCACATCAAGATGATGTGTGGCATCCAAGACCCATATGCCAAGGTAGTAAGTTTGCTATAATAAGCTGTTCATTTCACAAGAACAATATTTAGTAATTAATTACTTTCATTATCTTTACTTTTCATATTACTTTTCTGCAATGCTTAAGAGACCTTTTCGGGGGCATTCGTCACTTTTGCGTGACAGCTCTTTTTGTAGTTATCTTATCACCATAGATGCAACTTAGTTTAAATTTTTTTTGTTTAAGCTTGATTATAAAAGACAGTTTATTACTTAGTTATAGCTCTCATGAGTCAGTTCATGGAACTATCCAGTACTGGTGTCAAATTATCAAAAAACATTTCTGAGCACAGTAAAGCTTAAACCCGCAATCCCTGGGGTTAATAGGCAGACAATTTATCCACTAGACGGCAACAGCTAGTGTAAGATGCATTTTAATTAAATATTTACCTGTGCAGCTTATATTTAGATTCATAAAGAATTGTATTAAAGAGCTATTCATGTGAAATTCAGAAAATATGATTAATTGGGATTTTCTCTATTTCTTTTTCTCAAGATTTTGCAAGAACTCTTTCCCCTAATAATTTTTCACTATCTTCCAGACATTTTACTTTGATGTAAATGGAGATACAAAAGGTGGTGATTATCTCATACATGTGGTAGCCAAGACAGGTTTGTACCTTCATATTAGTAGCTATTTTTAGCCCATCTATTTCAAAGAAAAATGTTCTAGCTATATCTACAGTCATGGCATATGGTGCCATTGATACCATTAGTATTAATTCTTAATCCCCTTCCGCAAAGCAGGGAGGGCATTATAGGAATGGCCTCTGTCTGTCAGTCCGTCTGTTCTTCTGTCCGTCCACATTCAGGTTGTCCGGCTTTCACATGCTGAACTACTAGCAGGATTTCAATGAAATTTCACAGGAGTGATCAGTACCAATACTGCATATTGCAAGCACCTTCCGCTACGCTGCACAAAATGGCTACCAGAACTATAAATAGAACAATTTTGTACAGCTTTCATATGGTGAATGGCTGGCAAGATTTCAATGAAACTAAACAGGAGGGATCAATACCATCTTTAGTTGTGTATATTGCCAACATGTTTTGCTTCTCTGCACAAAATGGCTGGCAGAGCTAAAGATAGAATAATCTTGTTAGGCTTTCACAGGTCAAACTGCAGGCGGGATTTCAATGAAACTTCACAGGGGTGATCAGTACCATACCTAGTTATTCATATTGCTGGCATGTTCTGCTTCACTGCACAAAATGGCCGCCAAAGTTATAATTAGAAAAAACTTGTCTGGCTTTCACAGGTCAAACTACTGATGGGATTTCAACAAAACTTCACTTGAGTGATCAGTACCATCCCTAGTTGTGCATATTGCTGGCACATTCAGCTGAGTGCACAAAATGGCTGCCAGATAAATATAAAAATCTTGTGCGGCTGTCACAGATCAAACTGCTGGTGGGATTTTAATCCAACTTCACAGGAGAGATTTGTATCATTCCTAGATGTGCTTATTTGCTGGCACTTTTGTCTTTGCTGCAGGTCAAACTGCTGGGATGATTTTGACCAAAATTCACAGGAGTGATCAGTACTCTACCTAGCTTTGGAAGACATGTGTTTAAAGCATTAATTTATTTAAATATTCGAAAATGAAACACAAACACAATATCAAATTACTAATATTTCTTTTAATAAGTTTACGTGAAAAGAAACTTAATCACATATACACAGATGAAAAACTTTTGAATTATACGAAAAACTATTGGTTGGATAATTTGGCCGCTCGAGACAAGACAGATTTGACCATGTCGAGTCTTGTGAGAAAAAATTCCGACGACCGAAGGGAGGCAGTATTTTCTACAAACTGTACACAACTGTACACAACTCGACAAAACTGTACGCAACTGTACACAAATAAAAATTGCGTAATTGACTTCATTTTTAACATTTCTATTGTTTTTGTACTTCTAATATTAACGGCAACCTACATGTATATACCACTGGTAACATACTACCGCAAGCATCGGTACCATTAACGACGAACAATAAAACCACTCACCAATGATTAGACCAAGAGATGAATGGTTCCACAATCCGAGTTAATGTTAAACAGCAACAGCAAAGGCTGTACAATGCAAGGCAAGGCAATGCAAGGCAATAAAGCAAGGCTAGTTAGGAATTGCCGAGTACTAAGGGCAAAACCTATTAACGAGTCAACACAATTACTGTTAGACCGTATAATAATTAGAAAGTACCGTGTGAGCATTTAAAATTTAACCTACAAGGTCAAGGTTCCTATCTTTAGGCGATTAGACCAGCCCAAAAACAAGGTGACCCTAACCAGCTAAAATATTCGAAAAACATGAATTGCGAATACATTAAATTGCGAGGCCTGCCTACCCCTCAATCGACAGAATTTTTCCGCTTTAGAGCGACAAAGAATAAATTGAGTCAATGGCCAAATGTGGCCAAACAGTGATTAAACTCATCAACAATTACAATCGCATTACTATATGCGTCCAAGGAAAATATAATATGGAGAATGTTATTTCAGTTTAAAATGTCAACAATGTTCATCAAAATCTCTGACATGAAGACTTAGCAACAATTATAGCATAACAGTTTATACCACTAACACCGCGCTACAAGTCCTGCACTTCCGAATTTACAGTTATCTTTAACACATATCTGGCACGTTTTATTTTAACCATATTTAACACATTATTATTATAACTAACTTCACACGTCAATAACATCCTTGTGTGTATTTGCGGCTCCATAGTCTGAGATGTAGTGGCATATTCTCCCATAATTATTTTCCTTGGAAGTCCACAAAAACATGTCTATAACAACAGCCTGCAAAGTATAAAAAGTCACAGCAGTATCTACATCCAAATAAACAATGACAAACACACGCTTATATACAGTTTACCAAAATATGTTTAACCTGTGACGTCACCTTTATGATCGATATGATAACTCATAAAATGACAGTTATTTATAATTAAGCAAATGGGGTGTGGCGGGCGGGTAAATGTTTTAAACCAGTCAATCTGTACTGCAGACGTGTAAAGAGTGAGTTTCTGCACGGGTTTTGCCTTATATATACCATACCGGGTACACGTTATGCTCGAGTAAGAAAAAACTATCGAGCGTAACCAGGTAGATTGTGTATCAACAAAATATAGCAGACGATTTATAAAGCTGACGGGGCAGTATAGCAGACGACTAATATTTACAGCAGACGATGTTTTTCTAAATAAAATAAATGAAATTATTTTAATATTAAAATAATTTGTATTATTTAAATATTCGAAAATGAAACACAAAACACAATATCAAAATTACTAATATTTCTTTTAATAAGTTTACGTGAAAAGAAACTTAATCACATATACACAGATGAAAAACTTTTGAATTATACGAAAAACTATTGGTTGGATAATTTGGCCGCTCGAGACAAGACAGATTTGACCATGTCGAGTCTTGTGAGAAAAAAATTCCGACGACCGAAGGGAGGCAGTATTTTCTACAAACTGTACACAACTGTACACAACTCGACAAAACTGTACGCAAACTGTACACAAATAAAAATTGCGTAATTGACTTCATTTTTTAACATTTCTATTGTTTTTGTACTTCTAATATTAACGGCAACCTACATGTATATACCACTGGTAACATACTACCCGCAAGCATCGGTACCATTAACGACGAACAATAAAACCACTCACCAATGATTAGACCAAGAGATGAACGGTTCCACAATCCGAGTTAATGTTAAACAGCAACAGCAAAGGCTGTACAATGCAAGGCAAGGCAATGCAAGGCAATAAAGCAAGGCTAGTTAGGAATTGCCGAGTACTAAGGGCAAAACCTATTAACGAGTCAACACAATTACTGTTAGACCGTATAATAATTAGAAAGTACCGTGTGAGCATTTAAAATTTAACCTACAAGGTCAAGGTTCCTATCTTTAGGCGATTAGACCAGCCCAAAAACAAGGTGACCCTAACCAGCTAAAATATTCGAAAAACATGAATTGCGAATACATTAAATTGCGAGGCCTGCCTACCCCTCAATCGACAGAATTTTTCCGCCACAATAAATTCAACGAATTTATCACCCAAAAATTCCATTATAGATTTTTTAGCATAGCATCTCTTAAATAGTCAAGATAGAACTCTAGACCAACTAAATTTAAATGGACACCGTCCTCACGATAAAACGCCGTTGCAATGTCAAATATCTGGTTTGACAATATCAAACTTACTTAAGGAACTAACTATGTGTCGACCTAAACGATTTACTCTTTTACGTTTAAGATTCATAGACTTGTTATCAAATTTCCCCACACTCTTCTGGGTAAAATATCAATCCAAATAATGCAAGCGGACGGAAAATGCGTCGTGAAGGTAAGATACTTCATCCTGTATTGTCCCTTTAATATCATAGGCATGAGAGTGAACTAAATCATTACCACCTAAATGAATAAGTATTAACGATGGAGCAGGTGATAGGAGAACCTTAGCTTCAATTTCCCGTCGAAGTGTGGACCATCGCAGACCTCGAACCCCTAGCCATGCAATTGTTTGTCCTGGTAGTCTCAAATTTTTCTTCCCAGTTTGTATTGCATGATTGCCTGCCCAGTACGGGATCGAGTCCCCGATGACCCAGATGTCTAAATATAGAATAAACATGTCTTGAAATCAAAATACAAACTGCCCGAAATAGCTTATGAAAAGTTTTTTTTTTATCAAATGATATATATATATATATTTTTATCTAATGTACAATTTGTAACAATCGCTATTCCATCTACCGGCTTTCATTATAGCTTTTGCAGGAACGCCCATAATGGCGAGATCAGTAGCTCTGCCAATTCTAAAACTATGAGTTCTGTAACAACATCCAAATGACAAGCGGGCTCTTAAAACGCATTTCGACAAAACTGCTGAAAATTGAGTTCTCGTTACTGGTGAACTATCGTTATGAATGAAAAGAGGGCCCTGTGTTTTAGGTCGCATAGAAAGGAAATTAGATAAGGCATTTACTGGACATAAATTGTCCATTTCTTTAGGCAATTTTAGATATACCGGAACCACCGGTTTTTATTATTTTTTGAATGACGGAGACAAATAAGCACCTTGCTATTATCTATAATTGATATGTCCGAATTCCATAGTACGTCCCGACTTTCCAGTACTTTTGAACGACCAGCTCACTTATGCGAAATAAACCAAAATATGCGAACATAAATATTGTGGTAAATAATCTAGTCTCGTAAGCATTGTAGCAACATAATGGTAACATGTCACATAAAATTTTCAAAAACCTGTTTTGTTATCGGAGCCCGATTATCATGTGATTTACGAGATTTTTTTGCAACCTTTCAAGCAGTTTGCTAACCATGAATATTTTTGATATATCGTAAAAACCAGAAAGTTTATGAAAATAATTCAAGCCGGCAACATATGTGGTTATAGTTTTTGAAGCCATGCCCTCTCAAAACAATACGAAATAAAAAAGACAATATTCTGAATTGAAATTGGCCATTGTAATGACAGATTATATTCGGATAGAAATATCCGAAAGCGTTCAACGCTGTATCGTATTTTTGATCTAGTATTTGGCGCTAATCCACCTTGTAACAATGTTCGAGCTCTAAATCGAAGACGCTCCAGAGGAATTCTGGGACTGGGGGAGGTTGCTGATCTGCTTCCGGAGCTAATTCTCTGAATTTTTTCAACTGAAAACGTGACAATGCATCACAAATTACATTATAACGACCTGGGACATGAACTGCTTTCAATAAAATATTAAGTTTCATACAATGCAATACAAGAAGTCTTACAAGACACATTACTGTTTCAGACCTAGACGAAGCCTTATTCAAAATGTCTACCACTGCCATGTTATCGCAGTTAAATCTTATTTTTTTATTTATCAATTTAGAACCAAAAATAAATATTGCCACAACAATTGGGAATAACTCCAAAACAGTGATATCGGCCGTAAGACCGCGTGAGTGCCAATCGTCTGGCATTTCCCTTGGCACCAATGACCTTGAAAGTTAAATTCCGAAACCACAATTGACACCACCGCGCTGTCCGAAAATAATTCTACATCTTCGTTTGAAACCCAAAATTTGTCATGAAACACAGACACGCCATTATATTTCTTTAAAAATATAAGCCATATGTTCAAGTCCCGTCGAACCTCTTTCTTTAATCGTACGCGGTGATACGACTTTGTTAGCCCACAAATTGAATTAATTAAACGTCTAATGAAAGGGCGACCAATAACAATAGCTCTACAACAAAAATGGAGTGAACAATTAAAGATTGTAATTTTTTAAGAGTTGATTTCGAGTGTGATAACACCTCAAAAATTTTTTCTTTGATCTCCTCTATTTTTTCTGACGGAATTCTGATTGTCATTTGGTTTGTGTCAAGCTCTAAACCTAAAAAGACTAAAACCTCAGTCGGGCCTTCAGTTTTTTCCGATGCTAAAGGCACACCAAGCTCTGTCATTGTGTTTTGAAAGGTATTTAATGCCTGATTGCATGATTCTGACGTCCTGTCACCCCCAAGAAAATCATCTAAATAATGTATCAATTTAGCTGACGTAAATTTCGATTTAACACTATATTCTAAAAAATCTTTTGAAAATCGTTCAAAAGTAATACAGCTCACTGAAGCACCGAAAGGGAGCGCCTTGTCAAAATAATATTTATTATCAAAACAAAAACCAAGTAGCTCAAAATCATTCGGGGAAATTGGTATTAAACGGTATGCGCTCTTGATATCTGATTTAAACAATTTGCAATGTTGACCTAATTCTTGAATCATTTTAACTGCTTCATCAAAACTTGTGTATTGTACTGAACATAAACTTGGATCAATGAAGTCATTAACAGATTTACCGGAGGGATATGATAAATGATGGATCATCCTGAATTCCCCCGGTGTTTTCTTTGGTACTAAACCGATCGGCGACACAATTAAATTTGGAAGAGGGCGTTCGTCGAAAGGGCCAGCAACTCTTCCTGCCTTTCTCTCTTTTTCTATTTGCTCTTTAATTAAATCAGGCCTTAATAGAGATGACCGTAAATTTTTTGACTCACGTGCAACACGTGGCCCTGTGTATTGAATTGGAAAGCCATTGACAAAACCGTCTAATAAGAATTTTGCTTCTTTCTCATTATATCCTTTTAAATAGAACTTTAAAGCCTCAACGTTTACAGGAGATTTTGCCAAAGCGAATGAGTTAACATTAGTGTCAGAAAATGAAATGACCGGACTTTTATTTATTTTACTTTTTGTAATAGCCCCGTCCACTTTTAGCCCGTTGTGGCTGAAAATGTCTGCTCCGAGAGTTTTTGAAATGACGACTGAGATTGACCGCTCGTCAAGCTTTGTTTGTTTGAAGAATTTGAAGTTTGACAATTGATTGCTGGTGGGGAGCAAAACACGTGGCACAAACATGGGAAAAACGGCAATTCGGCCAAGAACATTTTCCCGCATTAAAGTCATTACACGTAAACCTATAAGGATTAGATTGGTCACGTAAAACTGGTCTGACTTGTACACAGCGCCACCATAACTCATTGTTTATTTTCGACCATGATTGAGGAGCAATAGCCTGTCTTAGACGAAATTGCTCGTCGTAAGTCCTCCATGAAAAGACCCACCCTGGCGCGAGGCACAATCTTGATATTAAACATATAATGCAAAATTTCATAGATTTTGTCAGCGTGTGATGATAAATAAATGGACGCATATATAATAAATGCGTTTGTCCATTTCTCAATGCAATTGATCTGCTCTTTACATTCTTTTGAGCGGATTCTATGTGACCTTCACTATCTAACTTAAACACCGTCCCTTTACAAAATTCTGAAAGCTCGACTGCCCCTTTCAATAATAACATCAAATTTACATATTCACCTCTACAAATTTTTTGTTTAAGAGATGTTGGCACGTGCGCCGCCAAATCATCATCGGCTAAACGTATTCCAGGCAAAACATTTAAAATATCGTTTGAATGATTCGCAGTAGAACTATCTAAACCACAGATTGTAACATATTGCCACACCCCGTAGAAACATTATTTGCAGCAGAACCAACGTTATCGGTCAAATTTTGTGGAATAATATTCGAAGCCCTTATTATCTGCTCAAAATCTACTACGTTTGACTCACCAGCGTTCGTTTGCGACACCCTCTTGTCAACAAAATCTTCCAACGGGACCTCTGCCGTTCGTTTCCTCCCTCTGTTTGAAGGTTGTTGGCTCCTTGTTGCGCTACTTGCTGGCTCGGGCTGCCTGGCGGTGTTGTTCCGCGACAGTCTTTGTGGACGTACGCATCCGCGGCCACGTGGCATAATTTGGCAATGTAGATAGCAGATAAATGTTTTAAACCAGTCAATCTGTACTGCAAACGTGTAAAGAGTGAGTTTCTGCACGGGTTTTGCCTTATATATACCATACCGGGTACACGTTATGCTCGAGTAAGAAAAAACTATCGAGCGTAACCAGGTAGATTGTGTATCAACAAAATATAGCAGACGATTTATAAAGCTGACGGGGCAGTATAGCAGACGACTAATATTTACAGCAGACGATGTTTTCTAAATAAAATAAATGAAATTATTTTAATATTAAAATAATTTGTATTATTTAAGTTTAATTTTACTTAATGATTAATTACAAATGTAATTCAAATATTTAACTTATCAATATTTTTATTAAAGGGACTCCACTGAGGTTTTTTGACATGATGGGACTGAAAATATTTTTTCCAGATAAATGTACCATTTGATATAGGTTTAGACCACTAATATTTGTGCAAAATTTCAGATCATTCGCACACTTTGTTTTCCAGGATAATTATTCAAATTGTAAAAAAATTACCCAAAATGTAAAGCGTTTAAACACTTTTCACTCAAATTGGGCTAAGAAAAACATAAAAATACGATTTTCAATTTATTTTAAAGTATATTTCTTAACTATTTTTGCATATATTTCTGTTTAAAGTGCCCCAGCTCATTTATGTAAGAAAATCAAATGTTATGTTTTAAGGCTTTTAAACCTCAGTGGAGTCCCTTTAAGAAATTAGTTTTACTAATTTATTTAATTTTACCATTATGATAAAATATAAAAAATAATTCTATTTATAGTAAGAATTTCCCGCCTTTACAATTAAGTATAACAAGAAAAGCATGCAAAACATGATTACCCGTGCACAATAAGTCATCTTCAGTGGAAACTAAAACAATAGGTTTAGTAAAATTTGCCCATGAATAACATAGTAGTGGCTGATAAGACACATGCAAAATATCAGCACAACAATACCGTTGGATAACTTTAAAACACAGTTTGATATTACACAACTTGCTAAGGAAGTGATTTTTTTAAAACAAAATGATTTAAAGATACAAAAGGTATGAAATAATATCGCAACGTTTACAACAAGACATGATGTTTTTCACATTTTGTTTAATCTTTAATTTAACTCAAAGATAGGCTTCAAGTGATTTTGTGTTGAAATTTTGAATGTAATATTTGTTAGGAACCTGGCTGGGTAAATTAATACTTCATTAATGCTAACTTTAAGATTACCTGTCATGTTAATGACTTTTGATTGGTAATATAATGTATATGCTCGTTCTTTACAGCATATTTAGGTAGCAAATTAACACATGACCCCTTATTGGAAATTTTAGTATTGTTTTACTAAGGCAAAGAAGAAAAATTTAAGTAGTGCAAGGAATTTTCTTAAATTTTTCAAAATTAAAGCTTGCAAAGTTGAAAAAAAATCTCTACAAATTTTTCCATTAAGGACTACCTTAATTCATCATCTTTAATACAATGTGAATACTTTACAACAATTTGTGGAACATCAATGAATCCAATGAAATCATTCAATAATAAGTTTGACATCATATAATTAAATGTCACATTGCATCTCTCATAATCTGTGTGACCTTTAACCTTTGTTTTTCAGGAATATGTCAGCTACCAGTGTTGATGTCATTGGTTCGTCTGCAACATGCTGACATTAATCTGTGTAATTCAGACGGTCTTACTCCACTAATGATTGTTGCCAGGGATGGTGATAGTAACTATTGTGATGTAAGTTATAAATCTCTTTATAATACTGCATGTTTGTAACATTGCTTTTCATTGGATAATCATGATGTTTATATAGTTTTATATACACCGCTGCTGTCTATGAATGAGTCTCACTTTTCTCACTAAAAATGATGCTTATCAATATGGGCCATATAACCTGTCAAAAATCTTTATAACTAATATACAATGTTGTTACATATACACTGTGATCATCAGTGTTATGTACCTATATCATAGTAGTTAAAATATCAGCTGGTCAACCTATAGATCATCAATTAAAGCCCTTGTAGGGTCACCACATAGACTCTATACACATACCAGCAGTGTTCATTTATATAAATATACATATTTTTTGTTGTTGTTGGGTTTTTAGTCGCACAAGCATAGTAGATGTCATATGGCAACTTTCAAACTTTCAAAGTGGTGAAGGAAGACCATAGGAGCTCTCTTTGCATTATTTCATGCACATATGTTCAGTAACCGAGCTGGATATCTTCCCGACATAAAACAATCCAGAGTCTCAAACAGGATTTGAACCTCCATCAGTTAGGGACAGGTAATTTGAAATCAACAACTTTAACCACTGGGCCATGGCTAGTGGCTAGTGTTAAGCTCAGTGAGAATGCTCAAACCTGATTTTATAAGCTGGGTCTCTTGGATCATGATTAAAAATTTCCAGATAAAAATTAATACATTTCTCTTATGATGTTTGCAGATATTAATGTGTGTATTGGGAGCAGATCCAAATAAACAGAATGAGGAGAATGGAAGAACAGCTCTACATTATGCTGTTAGCCATAACCATGTTAACGTTGTCAAGTAGGTTGAATTATTAATTTATTATATGTTGAATTATAACTATGCTTGTGTTGAGTAATTTTCCTTATAGCTTATACTGAATATGATCATGATTATAGCATCATTTTTTTCAACAACAAATTTTTTCATTTCCTTCTCAACGGCATCGGCATTGGCCTTGGTTTACCTTTTCCTTAAGGTCCATTTTCCAGAAATTATTAAAGCTATTCGATTCTAACTTGGTATGCATGTTTATTGTCATATAAAAAGATGCCAACTCGGAAATTGCTTTCATATTACTATCCAGTACTGAGAAAATTGGAGCGCACTGTCCATTGTTATATGATTTTCTATTATTATGCTAATATGACTCTTTGTTTGTCCACTTGACAATCAAGGTCAAATTATTGAAATTTGCTTAAATTGTCTTAATTAAGTTATTTATTTTACTGATTTCATTCATACTTGGACAAAAGAACACATGATAAAATGATAAAACAGACATGATGATTAACTCAAATATGACTTTGCCCTTTGATTGACCTTGCACACCAAGGTCAAATATGAAATTTTAATTTTATTTGTTATGTAGGAATTCTTTTTACTATTATAGTGGAACCCCATTGTATCATGCTATTCACTGTATCAATCTAGTTACAAATCTTTCGATTTTTGCAAAATGCGCAATCTGCTGATTGTTTACATTTACATCAGTGTCACGAAAATCTTTCGCATTTGTTTTTATGCCATAAAAATGATCAAAAACATGTTTCAAGTACCATAAGACATTGTAGATGATAAATAGACTTATAAATGTGTGATCTTATTAAAAGTACATTTACTGTCTGTCAAAAGTTCCTAAATTTATGCTGACATTTTAAAACAGACATCTCCGTTTCTAATTGACTGAAAAATCTAACATAAAGATGGTTCAGGCTTCCCAAACTTTGACTTACTGAGCGATTCTCACAATGCATCGATATAATGGCATGACCTACCTAATTCTACCTATTTGACATGTCTGTAAATATCCGTATATTCCAAAGCTAAAAACTACATGTATATATCAGTGATGTTTGCCATGTAAATATTATGACAAAAGAATCAAAATAAATGAAACAAAATAAAGATTCAGTGAGATTTTAAATTTTTAGCTCGACTATTTGAAAAGAATAAGTAGAGCTATTGCAGTCACCCGAGCGTCGGCGTCGGCGTCAGCGTCCGCGTCGGCGTAACCACTTATGTTAAAGTTTTTGTAATAGTTCAAATATTTTCAAAGTCCATTGACATATGGCTTTGAAACTTTGCACACTTGTTCACCATCATGACCCCAACCTGTAGACAGGAGGAGGTAACTCTATCAAGCATTTTGACAGAATTATGCCCCTTTTTCGACTTAGAATTTATGTTAAAGTTTTTGTAATACCTCAAATATTTTCAAAGTTCATTGACATATGGCTTTGAAACTTTGCACACTTGTTCACCATCATTACCCCAACCTGTAAACAGGAGGAGGTAACTGTATCAAGCATTTTTTTTTACTATCAAGCACTAAGAATAGTCGAGCGTTGCTGTCCTACCGACAGCTCTTGTTAAGTGCAGTTGTGTTAATGGGTAAATATACCAATACAACGGGGTTCAAGGCTATATTCTTCCTCTGATGTGTTTGTCTTTAGAAACAAGTCAAGCATGGCCCTTGCTAGACGGTGGCTCTTATTTAAGATTGTTTGTTGGTTGGATTGTAATGAAAGTACCAACTTCTACACTTAAACTGTATCCAATAACCCTACATGTAGTCTTATTGGTCCGACTCTAGACAAATTTCCATATGCCATATTTCAATACTTTTTACAAATCAGGAAAAGAAAATAATAGAATTCTCATTCCTTACCCTAAAATCATTTTTATTTGTTAGTTGTCTTGTAAAGCGTGGGGCAGACGTAAATGTTGAGGATAAAGATAAATGTCGTCCTGACGATGTCACGTTGCTTAGCAACTCAACAGAAGACTGTAAAGAAATTGTTCAGTTACATAGAGAGCAGAGATGTCAGCATCTTAGTTCCATGGTTAAAAATGTAAGTAAGGAATGATGTTTAGTTAACTTTTAATCTTTTAGTAATGGTGTTATGTTAACTTTAAGTCTTTTATATATAGTGTTTAGGTAACTTTAAGTCTTTTAGATATGGTGTTAATGAACTTTTTGGTGTTTTCTGTGTGATAATGAAATACATCAAGTCATTGTCAGCGGTAAAGATTCTTGGTAGCCTATATTACTGCTGTATGTTATTATGTTAGCTGCTCGGACGTTATAAATTCTTGATTTTGAAATCTCTGAAATAATCATTGTATATTACGGATTAACAAAATAGGAATATCTCTTATGACAAAAAATTCTGGAAAACCACTTTTAAAAATCATTGAAAATGAAATTTATGCTGATGTTTTTTTTTCTCTTTCTCAATTACTTTTTTTTTCTTGTTTTAAATTATTTTTTGTAAATTGTATGTTACCATATAGCTATGTTCTATTATAAAATTAGTTAAATTCACATGTTGAAAATTTAACTTTATTTGTGAACAAAAATATATTAAACAACAAAAAAGGTGTAAATCAACAGTGAACAGTTTATACAGATCTAATGAGTTGTATAGGAAACTTGTCCTCTTTTGTTTAATGTTTGAGAAAACCTTTTCTCATATAAAAATAAAAATAAGAAAAATGTTTTGAATATAATTGAATGAATATACAGGCTGAACAGTTAACTGTAGATACTAGTGCAGTTTTTGCAATTATTGAAAATGAGGTAAGAAAAAAATAAAAATTGGGGAACAATTCACACAATTAAGAAAATATTATTTTGATAAATAATTTATTCTATACGCAGACACATGAGTTATGTTCTGACCTTCACTTTAACTTTCTACACTCCTTAAACACATTTCTTTAATTTTTATTTACGTACTTCATTGAATCCAGAACCAAAACAATAATCATGCAAGTTATTAAAAATATATTAAGTACAATTTTAGAGGATAAAATCTAATACATGTAGTATCTATTTTTCTTTCCTGATGAACTTAAGTATGTAAAATTTGGAATTTACAAAATGAAAGTTATTAAGTTTTTATTGCCTTTGTCATCTGTGCAGTCTGTTTTCTGTTAACCTACCAACATTTTACATTTTGATATCCCAAAAATTGTTAATGGATAGATATAAAATTGGAAGCTGGACAAGTCTATTTAAAAAATCAGCAGTTTGTGGGTTAAAGGTGTTTGGTCAGTTGGAGTAGAGATCAGTATCTACATGCATATCCTGAGTGTCTGTGATATTGTACAATTTATAATAAAATCTGTTTCTTTGTTGTGAATTGAATCCTAATTTGTTAATAAACTAAGAAATAGCACTTGATTAAATTGACCTTGCAGCTACCACTTAGCTTTTTTGCTTTTTAATTATGACATCAATCCTGATAATTGAACGTTTTTTTCTGCATTATGAAGCAAGGGTTGTAAATTGATACAGAACAAATACAGTCCTGTGACAAAAACTTAAACATTTATCTTTATTCTCTCAAATGTATCTATTAAAGTAAATTTTACATCAAACTAAATATAATGTGTATATACAACGTCATACTATCAGTGCAGTCTGACCAAGCTCTGTTTATTATACTTCTCATACTGAACTTCCTTAACACTTAGCCTGCTGGTGTCAATAGATTCTACTCGTGCAACTCGTGCAGATCAAGATTAGCCGTCATATCTGTGTAGTTTAATCACAGTCAGCAATGTTTGCTATTTTAAGTCAGTATATATTTTGAAATTTTCCGAATGATTTAGTCAGGCATTTATTTATGAAGAAAATGACTTAGGCTATTAACTATTTTCTTGTTAAGTTTTCCTTTGTTGTATTCCCAGAAAATTATTATAATCTTTGCTTTTGTGACTATAACCAGGAATGCACTTTCTTTTTTAAAAATATGTGTATGTGAATCTATATAATTTATATTCATTGAAAAAATTAATAAATAGATTTTTTTTCTTTGGTAGTTTCACAGGATCTTAGTTAAATGTATTAAAACTGCCGCGGAATGTGCTCTTGTCAATATTTGAGGGATAAAATATCCATTTTGAGCATTTAATCATCTGCAGAAGTATTTCTCAGGACACATTTAAAGCTGAAGTTGACAGGGCTATGGATTTATGAAAATTTGAGGGCTTCTGCAGGTGTTAATGCAGGAAGAAAAGGTGCATTAGTGTTATTCTTGCATAAAAGTAAAGTTTTGATTGGGTAATTCCATGTTTTGTTATTAGTTTTTCTTTTTACTATGAAAAAAAAAATTTGTCACACTTTTTACATGCGAGTGAAATGTGATTCGACAGCTATGTTTTGATAATAAAATTACCATGGCCGTCATTAAAGTCAGCTATTTCAACATAACGGCATTAATCACAAATATTAAGAAACATTTAACATATGCCTGCACATGCTTGATTATATCCATAAATGCATGTTTTCTTCTCTGTTAATATGTAGCTACATGGCAATCTAAGCAAGAATGATACCAAGTGGCATAAAGCCATTAGATCAAATATGTTGTCAAATAAATTCATGAAGCTGTTGTTTTTCAGTACCCTTTGTAGAATCAATGACAAATCAGAATAACTGACATTTTGAACAAATATTTGCTGCAAGTATGGAAGAATTGTCATTGAGAGGTGTTAGCATAGATTATAGTTTTATTGTAGTTATGTCTACAGATATGTTTTAAAATCAGACTAAAATAATGTTACAGGATGCTGTTTATCCTATTGACTTGCGTCCAACAGATCTGACAGTTGTAGACTCGGACTACAATACTTTAATCATGGTAGCTGCTTCAAATGCAAAGTGAGTATATTTTCTGTCAATGATATTATCTAATTGTAGATATATTATGATTTTTTGTACACATGCCATTGAGTTGAAATTGTGTGGGTACATACTGTATACTTATGAATATGTATTTATAAATGGGCATAACAAAATAATCATTTTTGGATCCATACGGTTAAAGTTGAATGGGATAGTACATTTACATGATAAATGAAATTTTAATTCCAAAGACATTGTTAATAAACATTGAAGAATGAAATTTAATTGGAAAAATACAGGTTTTAAAAAAACATTGTTGATGAAAGACGCAATGCATATACAATAAATACATTTTAAAAAATGTGCATTAAACCAATGCTATGTTAATGAATTCCGTAAATAACAAAATATAGATAGACTTTGTGTAAAACTAAAAAGTTTGAATGTACATTGATTTCAGAATTCACAACTTAGAAACATTACTCAGTGTGTCCAAAGATACCATAGATGCTCAGCATACCCAGGTATTGTATTTCACTTTATCTACTTCTTTTTCATATATTTCATTTTTATATGCCCCAAAAAATTCACCTTATATTGTTAGGCACCTGGTCGTTTGTCTGTTTGTTCATCTATTAGCAATTTTGTGTCAGCTCTGAATCCTTTGGACTGATTGAAGGAAGTTGAAACTTCTTGGCAGAAATGTTAACCAAAATGACCCAATATGGAGAGCGAAGTTTGACCTTCATCAGGCCAAGGTCACGCTTAATCATTTTGTATGAATTTCTATGGTTAGCATGCACTCAGTATCTTTTGATCAAATTGAGAAAAAAAAAAGAAACTTTTTGACAGAAAAATATTACTTACTAGTATAATAAGATGATGTGCATAACACAGGTTTTGGCTTCTTGAGAATGAACTGGTCCTGCCCTGCCAGGGATTACATGGTTTATATAGACTTTTATAGGAAAGCTCATTTAAGTCTTATTGTGTGAAATTACAGTGTCAAGAGTTTAGGTATTAAGCATGTAGCAATGCCTTATTGACCTTAACAAAACTGATATGAATCATGCTCCTGGGTTCAATATTGACCCCACCCTAGGGATTTTATCTTTAGTTATTATTTTTCATCTTTACACAAGTTATATCATTACATTTTGTACTGACAATTTCACCTGGAAACTGGTTTTAGCATATAGTTATGATAATTACCCCCCGCTGATGGAATCATGAGGGGGATATTATTTTGGCATTGTTCATCCTTCGGTCCGTCTGTCCAAATTTCATTTCTGTGCTATTTCTCAGCAACTACTGAATGGAATTCAATGAAACTTTATGGGAACCGTCAATACCAAGAGGAGATGTACATATTGTCAACTTGTTTGGGTCAGACCCTTCAACACAGAGTTATGGCCCTTGATTAGTTATGCTGTATGCATATAGAGCAATAATCAATTCGGCGCTACTGACTGGATTTCTACAAAAAACTTAAGGGAAATATCAATACCAAAAGGAGATTTGCAATTTTTCGCCTTGTTCCAGTCAGACCATTAGTTATGCAGTATGCATATAGTGCAATAATCTTTGATGTACTATCTCTCTGCAACCTTTGTCTGGAATTCAATGAAAGTTTATGGGAACCATCAATACCAAGAGTAGATGCACAGATTGTTGCCATGTTCCTGTCCGACCCTTCAACACAGAGTTATGGCCCTTTATTAGTTATGCAATATGCATATACTAATAATCGTTCCAGCGCTATTTCTCTGTAACTTCAAGCTGGATTACAAGAAAACTTTATTGGAACAATCAATACCAAGAGTAGATGCACATATTGTTGCCTTGTTTCTAAAACCCTTTCACTGCCATAGGGACGGCTTATGCCGTCCCTGTTATTTTCGGCGTATTTGCCATATGGACGGCTTTTGCCGTTTCTATAACAATAATAATAATAATAATAACAATAACAATAATAATAATAAATTAATAATAATAATAAATATAAAGAAAATTATACCATCAACAATAATTATTATTAAACTAACAGATTTGGAAACATATATAATTATTACAATACTAATAACAAATAATAATAATTATATTAATTAATAATATAGTAATCTCTTAGAAAACCCTCTGGCAAATAGGTGATCAATAAAACAATAACCCTCTGGCAGCGAAAGGGTTAACACAGAGTTATGGCCTTTGATCATGTGCAGTATGCAAATTGTGCAATATTTAAGAAATAATCCCAAACTGTGATTTTATTGCTCAATAACATCACTGTTTGGAGTTCCGATGCGGGCAAGTATATCACGAGGGCGTAGCCCGAGTGATATAATGATGCGCATCCGAACGACAAACAGTGATTTTATCAAGCAATAAAATCACCGATTTGGATATATTATTTCGATTCTAACACGACATTAACAAATAAATGCTGCCATACCTGATATCAAGCTAAATTGCGCCTGGTTTGTTTCCGTACTTATTGTCAACGCGTCACATTTTTAGTGGTTACGTCACGTGTATAATGATTACGTCACAAGTCTAAATATAGAACGTCAAACAGTGACTTAATAGCAAAATAACACACACTTTCGGTTCTTCTATGTTCAATAGGGAAAAATGCGGGTCGTGTTAGAATGCTAAATTTTGTTTGTCATTACTGGATTGATTTCAACAAGACATTATTGGAACCATCAATATAAAAAGGAAATTTGTATCTCATTGACATACTATTTAACATGGAGTTATGGCCCATGTTGCAGGCCCTGAATTTTTATCATGAACAAGGTATAAAAAAAAATTATGCACATTTTTTCTTTGCAACAATTGACTGTATTTAAGCATATTTGTGTCAATCATGAATTTTCAGAACTATTGTCTGGATTTTAGCATATCTATGTCAATCATCAAAGACTGGTTTTAATAAATATAAACATAAAGCCTTATGTCTCCAGTTGTTGTGTAAGTAATAACCAGTACTTGGCAGTGGATGCAAATTCAACGAATTTGCTTGTTTTACCCGAGACTGGTTCTGACATATGATAATTTTACCTTCAGACTGGATTAACTGCTCTGGCTATGGCAGCAAAGGCTGGTCATGATGCATGCTGTGATATTCTTCTTGGGTATGTGTCCTTTTATTCACCTGAGAGTCTTATTGATTTCATTCTTATTATCACAGTAATACAATAAGGTTGTTATATGAATATGTTGATTTGCAACCTTGATCTGGGACTTCTATTCTGCTACGGTCATATTTGCTAAGGTAGGATGATATTAAATGTCAGATTGCCATTTGTGATAAATACAAGCGTGGTAAATTAGATCCAGTGTCCCAGATCAAGGTAATTTTACAATGACCTATTTGTTCTGTAAATCCATTCTTAACTATTTTATATATTCAAACATTTAATAGTAAAATTAGTGCCAATCATATTACAAAATTATGTAATGAAGATTGTTTCTGTCAAACTGTATAACAGTATAAATTGCAAAATGCTTTCAGAAATAAAATAAATATGATTTGAAGATGTTAAAAATATGTGGGACTAAATAATATTGAACCATTTTTGGAATCAAACAAAAAAATTGTATACTTTTTTATATCATACACATGTAAATCTTTCTTCTTATTAAGTATATACTTGTACTTCTGTATTCACTCCTGCCTTTGTGTAATCATTTTTCATTAGTATTTTGTCTGTGAGATATAATCGATTTTGACCTAAAGTTAGTATTTTGTCAGTGAGATATAATCTTTTATGACCTAAAGTTAGTATTTTGTCTGTGAGATATAATCCATTATGACCTAAAGTTAGTATTTTGTCTGTGAGATATAATCCATTATGACCTAAAGTTAGAATTTTGTCTGTGATATATAGTCCATTATGACCTAAAGTTAGTATTTTGTCTGTGAAATATAATCCATGATGACCTAAAGTTAGTATTTTGTCTGTGAAATATAATCCATTATGACCTAAAGCTAGTATTTTGTCTGTGAAATATAATCCATTATGACCTAAAGCTAGTATTTTGTCTGTGAGATATATAGAGGATATTAAATGAGTGTAGTTGAATACTAAATTTATTGAACGAGTTGAATAAAATCATATTATGCGAGCCTCTGGCGAGCAAAATATTGTTTTATTCAACGAGTTCAATAAATTTAGTATTGAATCTACACAAATATAATATTCTATTTATCACATATGTAAAATAAGAACAGTAAACTGTTAAAATGAATAATTTTTCAATGACGCGCCCATAGTGTAACGCTATCATTAGCGCGCTTTAACGCTATGTTTCTATATAGCGCAAATGATGTCACGTCAAAGTGTTATTACACTAGTGTAATATCGTTTTTATTAAATGGCTTTATTACACTCCTGCGTCGCGGTTTATGTGGTAAAATCCATTATGACTTTAAGTTCACCTGCTTGGGTTGCTAGTTTGATCTTCTGGTGAGGCTGAATTTCTTTGTGACAAATGATCTCGGACATTTGCCTCTTACTGCTGATAGAGAAAATTATATGAGACTAGTATTCCATGGCTTGCGGATAAATCAATAGTTAAAGGTTAGTTATATGGGAAAGTGGGTTAGATGGATTAATTATGAAGAAAAACAAACAATGGTCACCTAAAGCAAGAGTAAATTATTTAATTGAATGATTTTCTTAACAGGAGTGGGGCGTGTGCCACTATACAGGATATGGATGGATTTCTACCAATACATCATGCAGTTTTACAGAGCCATGAAAAAGTTGTGGAGGTGTTTAGACAACATTTTCCTGTTGCCTATGTGGTATGTATATTATATGATATATTCGACTTTGAAGTGGATCCTTATATTTTGTCTGGAAGGTTTTACTTTTATAAACAGAAAACTTATTGGATCATTGTATATCAGTAGACAAACAATTTCTTCTGTTTTTTGCACAACTCCTACATTTCTCAGAGGATTTTAACAAAATTTTCATAGAATTGTCATTAAGTACCTCGGCCCTTATTTTCCTGATAACACACCTGAAAGAACTTTGGTAATGTCCCTAATCATTCCTCTATTCATACAGCAATTTTATGTCCAATTTGTATCTTTTGAACCAATGGAAGGTAACTTAAACTTCTTGTCAGGAATGATAACCATAATGAGTCATTGTGGTGAAAGTAGGTTTTGGCTTCCTTAACTCAAAGTAAAATGACCAGCTTGACAGCAAACCTTTTTGTGATCATTTCTGATTAATTGTTTTGAGACAGACCTAATATTGATTCTTAGTGTTATATATATGATGGGTTGTTACAATAAGAAAAGTCCTATCTGAAGGCATACAAGATATACCACAACTTAACAACTTTTAATGGCTGACACTAATGATTTCTGAGAAGTGGAACTTTCAGCATGGAAAACTCAAGTATTCCTTGATTAAAATCCATTTTGCTGCAAAATTGTCATTGTTTTAAAAGCTTTTTACTCTTGGCCTTTTAAGCTTTTGAAACAATAAAACTTAAAAACTCTACACAAAATCTACAGGGGTCAAAAAAACTAAATTAAAACTGAGAAAAAACCTCTTTTACAATATGATTTTAATGAACTGATTTCAGGGACTGTTTAAAAGTTTGAGGTATTGTAGGAAGTCATCCATCCACGACATTTTGAATGTGATGTTTGAAAAGTAAGTATTGATTTTGTTAAATCTTGGAATATTTATGTTTCCTAGTTCACATGCAAGCAGGTTATGTTTGTGACAAACATTAGACAACATGCCACCATAAAATCACACCTGAGTACTGTTTCATTTGTGCTTCTGTGAAATATAGACTACTTATAGTTAAAACTGTATATGAAATCAAAATTATGGAGCAATAACTTTTGACTGGCTTAATCAGTTGATTTTTATTTTGTTATTTATCCTTATTTTATTGGCATTTTTGGTATACAGACATTTGCTGCATGTGAGTTTGATGTTTGTAACAGTTATGTTTTAAGTCATTGTTGCATTCAGCCATTTTTTAGTTACATGAACTCTCATGCATAATACATTTACAAGAATTGTAAGTGATTATAGTAACTAATTTTGTTATAAGATTATGACTGTGAAAAAGACAATAAATACCCAATAGTTAATATTGTGATAATTACACATTTTACTGAAAGGAATGGATTCAAATTCTTAATTGAAAAGCATAAGGGTCTCTGTGACACCCATAAATTAAGTAAGCAATAGATTGTAAATTAAACTACTATGAACGAATGGATTTGATTTATATTTGAACATAACAACACTTTGGACAAATTTTAACTAAAGTATGACCGTCTTTGATCCTCAAGTGCAAAATGAAAATAAAAATTTAGTTAATTTCTGCTAAAGTTAATAATTTGTGAACAGATATGATAACTATTTAGATCTAATGATGTGTTAGACTGAGTAAAGTGAATATGGTTTAAATCTTTAAAAGGTTTTCCATTTTGCTTTATGAAAATTTTCTACAACTTTGTTATTAATTTATGTAATGGATATATACTTGTTGAAAATTAACATTCAGATCTTGGTTTTTAACTTGAGTTATTCAAAATATTACATTGACCTTTGAAATACCTTCCTTCATAAAGACTTTAAGAGGTCAATGACACCAAGGTAAAGGTTACATTTGGACGTCAGAGGTTGAATAAAATAACTGAGATTTAAAATGGTGTTACCCTGTATTATTTATTTTGAGAAATAGTAAATCATATATTTAATGTAAGACACAATAATGACAATATAATGTAATTGTGTTTTAGGAGACAAGCAGAGATGATAATACCTCAGCTAAGACTGTCTGCCATGGATGGAAATGCTGAAAAACTGTTTTGTTTATTAGAGGATGGAGACAATGTAAATTCAAAGGTAAATATCATTAGCCAGTCAGTATTATTGTTTATTAACTGATTGAAAGATAGCTGCAATCTCATTGGTCCAAACAGTAGTCAACAGAACTATTTATAAATCAATTATTATTCACTGGTAAGAGTATCATATTCACTGTAATGTTTTTCCAATCAAAAATATTACAATGAAAGCCAAAGCAAAGATTGTAACTTGATTAATTTGTTGCCGCAATGAAACTTAGTGTTGGTTTATTCCATTGTTTAAAAGTCATATTTTTCCCCAATCAAAAAACACAAACATTAATTATTTTAAAAGTTTAAAAGCTAAATTTTGACCCTATTAAATTTTGTTCCCAAAAATATTGACCTCAGCTATTGCCTCGGTCATCTGCCGGTAAATATCACATCATATTCAATGGCTTGCGAGTCAATAATTGTATAATAATTTATGTTGTATATCGCAACGTTCCAGCTTTACTGGTGGAGGAAGATCTCAAATGCATGGAAGGGCATCTGAGGTCTTCCTCCACCAGTAAAGCTGGAATGTCGCGATATGACCTAAACTGTGTAAATGTGACGTAAAACCCAAAGCAAACAAAACAAACAAACATGTATTCCAGAATGATCTCAGTAGCCAGTCAGTATTATTGTATAATTTATGTTGTATGTATTCCAGAGTGATCTCAGTAGCCAGTCAGTATTGTTGTATAATTTATGTTGTATGTATTCCAGAGTGATCTCAGTAGCCAGTCAGTATTGTTGTATAATCTATGTTGTATGTATTCCAGAGTGATCTCAGTAGCCAGTCAGTATTGTTGTATAATTTATGTTGTATGTATTCCAGAGTGATCTCAGTAGCCAGTCAGTATTGTTGTATAATTTATGTTGTATGTATTCCAGAGTGATCTCAGTAGCCAGTCAGTATTGTTGTATAATTTATGTTGTATGTATTCCAGAGTGATCTCAGTAGCCAGTCAGTATTGTTGTATAATTTATGTTGTATGTATTCCAGAGTGATCTCAGTAGCCAGTCAGTATTGTTGTATAATTTATGTTGTATGTATTCCAGAGTGATCTCAGTAGCCAGTCAGTATTGTTGTATAATTTATGTTGTATGTATTCCAGAGTGATCTCAGTAGCCAGTCAGTATTGTGGTATAATTTATGTTGTATGTATTCCAGAGTGATCTCAGTAGTCAGTCAGTATTATTTGCTGCTGTAGAGAATAGGCATGTTGAAGTTGTCCGTCTCCTTGTGGAGGTAAGTGAAACAATGTTTATTTTTACTTCTTTAATGTAAGAATGCTCACATGTGTGAACATATATAATTCCTGACATCTGAAATTAGGAGGAACACTATTATATAAAATTCCTGACATCTGAAATTAGGAAGAACATTATCGTATTGATTCCTGACATCTCAAATAAGAAAGAACACTATTATATATAATTCCTGACATCTGAAGTTAGGAGGAACACTATTATATTAATTCCTGACATCTCAAATTAGGAAGAACACTATCATATTCCTGACATCTCAAATTAGGAAGAACAATATTAAATTAATTCCTGACATCTCAAATAAGAAAGAACAATATCATATTAATTCCTGACATCTCAAATTAGGAAGAACAGTATCGTATTAATTCCTGACATCTCAAATAAGAAAGAACACTATCATATTAATTCCTGACATCTCAAATTAGGAAGAACAGTATCGTATTAATTCCTGACATCTCAAATTAGGAAGAACAGTATCGTATTAATTCCTGACATCTCAAATTAGGAAGAACACTATTATATTAATTCCTGACATCTCAAATTAGGAAGAACACTATTATATTAATTCCTGACATCTCAAATTAGGAAGAACAATATAATATTAATTCCTTACATCTCAAATTAGGAAGAACACTATTATATATCAATTCCTTACATCTCAAATTAGGGAGAAGAACACTTTCATATTAATTCCTTACATCTCAAATTAGGAAGAACACTATCATATTAATTCCTTACATCTCAAATAAGAAAGAACACTATCATATTAATTCCTGACATCTCAAATTAGGAAGAACCGTATCGTATTAATTCCTGACATCTCAAATTAGGAAGAACAGTATCGTATTAATTCCTTACATCTCAAATTAGGAAGAACAATATTATATTAATTCCTGACATCTCAAATTAGGAAGAACAATATCATATTAATTCCTTACATCTCAAATAAGGAAGAAGAACACTATCATATTAATTCCTGACATCTCAAATAAGGAAGAAGAACACTATCATATTTATTCCTGACATCTCAAATTAGGAAGAAGAACACTATCATATTTATTCCTGACATCTCAAATTAGGAAGAAGAACACTGTCATCTAATAGATTATGCTTCTTCAACATCTGCCTTTTTCAAATTTGCTTTTTATCATGAATGGGTCAGTTTTTTTGTAGACTAGTTAAAAGATAAAAAGATTGAATAGAGGATATTCAAGTTTTTATTTTCTATAAATACAGTATTTATTTTCATTGAGTGGTACGAAAAAAATATTTCACGAGTGCCAATAGCCACAAGTGAAATATGATAATTTTCATACCACAAGATGAAAATAAATCCTGTTTTTGTAGAAATACTTAAATTTTCTTTTTATTATATACATTTTTCTCTTATTTTGGCATCAGAATTCGATTGACTTTACCTTAATTAATTTTTGTATGTTGGCTGTATATAGCAGAAAGTAGTCCGGCAGACACCAATAAATATATGAAAAATATGTTTCACCACAGTGAAAAATAAATTTTTTACAGTGAAAGTACAGAAAATGAAAATAAGTATTATATTCAATAAATAATTCTCAATATTTCATTAATAAGAATTTAATATAATAATATTCATGAGATAATCTAAGATTGAATTAAATTTTTCATGAACAGAAAGGAGCAGACTTAAAAAAGAGAGACATAAGAACTGCTAATACAGTATTACATATAGCATCACAGACTGGTCACCTAGAAACTGCCAACTATTTGCTGCCATTTTGTAAAGAGTCAGAGAATCAGTCCAGTACTAGAAATAGGTTGGATATTAATGCAGTAAACAATGATAAGAAAACAGCATTACAAATAGCCTCAGAAAAAGGTAATATTATATCCTGATGAACATGGTATTCAAATGTTTTACTTGTAAGACGTCCTTTTGACTGAGTATTAAAGTTTCTTTTCCTCCACTGCAGTTTGTTCCGTTCCTGGTTTAGCGTTGAGACTTACAATTAATGTTAGGAAGCTGTCAAACTAGCCTCATCATGCCATGGATGCTCATTCCCATCTTAATATTGAATTTAGCAGCACTTAAGGTCTTTCTCTTCTGATAATATGAATAAAATGTTGATGTCACTTGAATTCCAATAAAAATTTATTAATTTATTGTACATTGTAATTTTTTTTTTTTTTTTTTTGGGGGTTTGAATACTTTTTGTTTGTGAAAGTAAGAAGAATCTCTGCATTCTACTTCACTATAGAAAAGTTTAACCCATATCCTGCTAGATTTATATTTTGAACTTTGCCCTGATTTGAATATGCTGCTCATTTTTTGAAATTGAAACCCGTTTAAATAATAATGAACAGTTTCAGATTTATAGCCATGTTATAACAAAAATTTATCATTGTAGAGACATATATATTTCAACAGTTTGAGATTTAACATTTAATGTTTGTTGTTTTTTAATCAGGCTATATACAGTTGACTAGTCTGCTGATAGATTTTGGAGCTACCACAGCGTTACTGGACTCCAAAGGTTCACTGTACACTTCCCCGGAGTTTGAAGGGGCACGAGTCCTCATTGAAGGTCATCGGAATGAGCATACACAAGCTGTGATGAAATTAGTCTCTGATAAATCCAGGAAAGCTCCGTTTTTGCTAATAAAGATATGGGTGGTAAGTAACAGACTGTGTTTGTTCTATGTCAGAGTTAGTTTTTATAAATAAATTAAAGGTTTCAAAAGGTTGTGACTAGGGGAAAAATTGAATGAAGATACAATTATTTTGTTCCAAATCCATATAAAACTTATTTAGGACATTAATTTTTATTTAAATGTTTTCATCTGAATGGAAATACATGTTCTATCAGAATTGATAGAGTTGGGGGAAAATATGGAAAATTTGTATCAGAATTTGAAAAAATAAAATATATAAAATTAAAAAACAAAACAAATGTTGCTGAGCTCTCTTTTACACATGTAACAAAAAGGCACAAATTTATCTTTTGTATGATAGTTGATTTTTAAGTAATTTGTTAAAATTGTTTACCTTGATGAAAGAACCATGCAGGAAAGATTTGGACTTAAACAGCTGGAAATTTGAAATATTTCTGTTACAAATGTTCACAATGGTGAAACAGTAATTATTAGAAATTTGGAGGTTGAATGTTTTAAATGGTCTATAACAGCTTCTCTGGATCACTTTTCTTTCATGTAAACAGGGAATACTCTGGTTGAGAATATCTTATTGCCAAATTTGTTTGATTTTCTGAAATGATATGAAATTATAAGAAATGGCAAGGTGATCCCTGTTTATGAAAGCATGTTTGAAACAAAAACGTGAGCTTAACTTTTATACATTTGACTTTTTTATGATATTTAATTTTAGCCACGATTTGACCACAACTTGCGAGACAAGAATGGAGATACTCCTTTAATGGTGGCTTGTAGATCAGGGAGACTAGAAACGGTGAATTTTCTGCTTCAGTCTGCTGTCTATGCCAACCAAATCTCAGATGATGAGTATGTTATCTTGTTTACTGTTAAATGATGGTATATTTCTTAAAAAACTTGTTGAATAAAATAATGTTATTCAACTAGTTCAATAAATTTAGTATTAAACTTACACTCATTCAATATCCTCTATATATGACCTTAAAAGTGGCAATGTCACTTAAAATTCAAGCCACAAGTATGTGTTTTTTTCTATATGAACAGACTTTTCTTTTCTTATGAACTGTTAATTAATACGAAGACAAAATTTCACAAAGGTATGATGACCATTACAACATTATAATCTAATATTAATGCAATATTGTATTTGCTCCATTTCAGTTTAGATAACTCTGATACAGACTCTGGTGTGCTTGATTTACCTCCCTGGAAATCACGAATAGAAACCATCAATGGTAATCAGCCTGTAATGTAACTAAACACAATTTTTGCAAAGAGTATTTCCTTGGGCTTGTCACCATTTGTACCAGTATTTTAGGGAAAATATGGCAGACAGTGTCCATATAAATGTTCTTTGATACCGTTATGTATCAGTACAAACATTCTGAATTTTAAAGATATAATATGCTCATCCTTGAGTAAAATATTTTAATCCCAAAATGTATTGAAATCTATGAAATTCTTCTGAATATATATAATTTGAATAAAATAATGAATAACTATGTATGGGAAGCTGCGCTCCGTATAATAGAAAAGTAAAGGTGGTCCTTTCTTTAAAAAAAAAACTGTCAGTTATTTTTAATGACTAATTTTAATGTATATTCATATAGTGACCACCTTTACAGCCATTCTTCCATAATTGAAGCATTTTTGGTTCACAAAAAATGAAAAATCTGAGTTTAATAAACAACGTTTTCTATGATTTGCTTTAATGTTCAATACCTTGGACAGATTGTGTTGTAGTTTAACACACACCATTCGCTCCGTTTGTATACTAAAAGCTTTTGAAGTTAGTTACTGAATAACATTGTTACTGAACATATATTAATCATCGGAATTACTTTGGAGGTATTGTTTTACTAACATTTTAAATTAAACAATCCAAAAGAATATGCATTGTAAAGTTGAAGACCAATGGTTACCTGTAGCAAAAATATTTTATGCCATACTAGTATCTTATTCTGAAACTTGTATACTTCTTATTTGAAAAGCTTGTATAAGCAAATATTTTCGTTACTAAAGATTGACATTGTTTAGATACAATGCACAAACAAATACTGTCATAAAAGTTATCAAATTATATCTAAAATAGAAGCAGAAAACAAATAAAGCATAACTTTTAATTGGTGTAACGTTACCAAACAATAACTTCCCGGTACAAATGTTCATCAAACAGTCCTTACGATCTGTTACGGAACATAGGTGAATAATTAAAAAACATTGGATTAATAACTCAACATTTTCACTCTTTAAAATTACTTTAACAATGTAAATGTGGTATCTTGACAAATAACACCAATCATAAAACACTGTATCAATTTAAAATCACATCAACAGTTTAATTTAGTGAGTAGTGCAGGAAAAGATATCTGTTACGGAACATATGTTATGGAAAATAAAATATTATGTTTTTCACAGAAAATGAACAAGAATTCTTTTTTTTCACTTTTATTAGCTTTATTTCTGCCTAATTTACACAAATTTGTTGTATTGTTATAATGTTTCGTGTAGTTCTCTCTACATTTTCTTCACCAGTGCTCTTTCTTTTTTGAGTGGGAACATACTTTTTTCTGCTTTCTTTCTCTTTTAAATGATTTGTTGTTTTCCCCTCTCTGCTTTTGTCTTTTGTATTTCTGCATTTAAAAGCACCATTCTAAAATAAAAAATCGTTGCATATTATAAACTTATTAACCTTGATTCATGAACATCATTAAAATTATTATTTTTATAATGATTATTATTAATATAACAATTATCATAATAATCATCATTTTATCATTATCATTATATTAATATCATTATTAATATTACTTTTTTATGATAATTGTAATTCTAAAACTTTTAGATAATGTAAGTGACATAATGATACAATTTTGGTATTTTATAAATAGTAAAAAACATTAAAAATCATACTCAAACATAGCATTTATGAATGCTATGTTCCGTAACAAATTTGATAATTTTATGTTCTGTAACGGAAAGCTGCAACCTTACAACACAATACAAATCATGTGAGACTTCCAGTTAATATTGGACACCATTTTCATGTATCTTTATAATGAAAAAACTCACTGGAACAGTTTTTATAAACAAACTGAATAAAAGTATTATGGTGCTCAAAAAAGATGGTAGAAGACTATGCTTCCGTAACAAATTGCCTTTGACTATTTGATAAACTGTTCACTTCTTTGTGTTCCATGTTTGAAACCAATCATTCATTTCAAATTGTTAAATAACTGGATAAAGTGCATATATGACATCAGTTTATGATCTCAAAATAATTAACTATGTTCTGTAACAAATGTTTTAAACAGGTGAAAAATAAATAAATAGCGGCAACTTGCTACTTTTGACTCTGTGGTTTGCTGAAAATAAAGCTTGCAATCGATTTTTACCAGTAAAACTTCTCATATATGTAACATAATAGTGAAAATATCGTTATCAAATCAAGAACAGTGGTTGCCAAAATAAAGTACAGTTATTGCCAATTACCTCCAGTTGCCCAATTGTATCATAAAAGTCAATTAAGATGTTGCATGCATACCTCTTGTGACATATCATTGGGATTGGTGATAGGCAAAAAAGTCACACTGTCGATTGAACCGTATACTGTGATTGTTTTGTTACGGAAAATAGTCGTTATGGAAACATAGTGAAATTAGACTTTTTTTTTTTTTTTTTGTTTTTTTTTTTTTTTTTTGTTTTTTTTTTTTTTTGAGGCCCCAACTGGGTAACCCCGTTTATTTACCCCGTAATAGGTATGAGAGGGTCGGGGTCATCCCTCTGATACCTTACATGATATATACATAATATTTAAATCATCATCTATAATAATATTTTTTATATAATTATAATATACATTATATTCAAACATTCAATCAATTTTCATATAATATGTATAACAATTATGTATGATAATGTATTATGCAACAGCTTCAAAACAAACAAAGAATATTGGTTTGGGGTAAATTGATTTAGTGTAGCCTATTAGTTTATTAAAGTTCTTACAATTTGCCATCCTTCATTTACATGTTTGGTCAAATTTGTATTTTTGTAAATATTCCACGCCAATTTAAGACTATTTCTAAAACCAGGTATTGTAGGTAACACGATTTTTCTCTTTGACAAATAAATATATCTTTTCAATTCTAAAAACAAAATATCATATTTAAAATCATTAACTTCAGAACCTAAAATAAAATGATTTACAATTAAAATTATCATCCAAATTATCTATCTTGTCTTTCAGATATTGAAATAAACAATTGAATTTTTGGACATTCCCAAAATAAATGCAACAGAGTTTCCTCTTGGCAATTGCAAAAAGTACACATTTTACTATTGACAATTTTCATTTTGAATAAAAGTGAGTTTGTTGCTAAAGTTCTATGAATTATTCTTGTCTGAAACCACTGAATATAGGAATCTTTGGTACATTTAAATACATAACTATATATTAAATTCCAATCTATATCAAAATTTGTAAAAAATGAGTTCCATTTTTCTTGACATGTTGGTACATCTTGATTTTTAACTAGAATATCATAAACATATTTCTTTTTGATATTTTGTGTAATTAAAATAGGTTTTATATAACAACTCATAATAGGGTATTGAACATTAATAAAATCTTTACAAATAGAAATGTTAAGCTTTTGTGTATATAATAATATTGCTTTTTTCAAACTATGATATTGTAAAAAATTTACTTGTTTTTGTGTCACCTGCTCTAAGTAAGTTAAATCTACAAAATCGCCTTGGGGATTAATAATATCATTAACAAATCTGATTCCTTTTTCATAAAAATTTTTGATATAAAAGTATCTATTTCCTGCTAACAAGTTATGATTGTAAAACAATGGCATTTGTAACACTTGTTCTAAACTGTCTATACAAAGTTTATCTGTAAAAATCATATAAGCTTTTAAAACATCTATCCAAAAAGCATTTTTAATTTTATCAATTGTCAATTTACAAAACAATTTACCTGTGCTAAACACTTTATCAATATTGAATAAAGCCATCACTAGCTTATAACATTTACTGTTACTATTACTAACATATCTTTTAAACCATTTTATCTTTACAGAATGTATATAACTATCAATATCAATCATATTTAGACCACCTTCCTGATATGTTTTAATAACTACTGATTGCTTTATCTTTGCTTTACCTTCCCATATAAATTTATAAAATAAGTCATTAAGTGTTTTCAAAAATGCTGAATTAGGTGTTTGGTAAACTTGTAAAGCAATGAGTGAATAAAGGAAGGAGTAATGACTTAACAACAGTAATTTTTCCTATAGGTGTTAACATTCTTTTTTTTTCCAGTATCCTATACTATTTTTAACTTTTTGAAGTTTTTCATTAAAAATTTAACTCTATCATTTTTTCTAAATCAACATCAAATATCAAACCTAACAATTTAAACTGTGTATCACCCCATGTCAGTTTCCATTTTGTCTTAATAGATCTTGTACTGTATTTAAGAGAGCCTATCCAAATAACTTTAGTTTTATCAAAATTTACTTTCAATCCTGAAATTTCTGAAAACGTGTTTAATAACTTTAAAACAGTATTAAGGGAATTTTCTGTTCCATCTAGCAAAAGTGAAGTATCATCAGCAAATTGTGTAATTTTATATTCTTCCCCATCTATATTTATACCTTTAACATCTTTACATTGTCTTATTTTTATTGCTAAAATCTCTGCACATAAAATGAAGATATAAGGTGAAATAGGATCGCCTTGTCTACAACCTCGTTTAACTTTGAAAAACTTTGATAAATATCCATTTAAAATAACACAAGTTTCAGTATTATATAAAAATAAAGATATCCATTTTTTAAACATAGGACCAAATTGAAAAAGTTCTAGACATTTCTCTATAAATGTAAATGATAACGTATCAAATGCTTTTTCAAAATCTATCATCATTACTAAACCTGGTATATCATTATCCTCAGTATATTTCATAATATCATACAATAATCGAGTGTTCTCACCAATATATCTATTTTTAACAAATCCTGTCTGATCCTTTGAAACTAGAAATATCTAAAACAAGTTTAAGTCTATTTGCTATGGAACCTGAAGCTAATTTATAAACTACATTTAATAAAGTTATTGGTCTCCAATTTTTTAAAAATTGTTTTGGTTTTTTTTCTTTTGGAATGCATGTTATTGTTCCTAGCTTTTGATTTCTAGAAAAAGAATTAAACAGTATAAGCAAAGTTTATAGCTTTTACAACAAAATGTCCAATTCTATTCCAAAATATTTTAAAAAAATTTGCTGTAAATCCGTCACAACCTGGGCTTTTATCATTTTTCATGTTTTTTAATGTAAAAGAAACTTCATCATATGAAAGTAGACCTTCAAGATTCAATGCTTCATTTTGAGACAACTTGGTAACATTACAATTTTCTAATTCCATATCAATCTTAGATTCTTCAGTTATATCAACATTTTTTATATAAATTTTCATAATAACTACATGTCTTTGTAAGAATATCTTTTTGATCATATATAAAGGATCCATCATCAAGTTCTAGAAAAGGAATAATTTTTATCTGAACAATGTGTTTTTTTCTAAGTTTAAAAAATAACTAGTAGGCTTTTCTCCAGATTCAATCCATTGTGACCTTGACCTTATCATAGCACCTCTTATTTTTCTATTTCTTAATTCAGTCAATTCATTCTGTAAGTGTAAAAGTTTGTCTTTATTTTCAATTGTCATGTTTTGCTCTATAAGATTAATTTCTTCAATTAACTTTTTTTCATAAGTATTTCTTTCTTTGACCTTATAAGAGCTGTAAGATATAGTTTTACCTCTTATTTCCATCAAAAGAGTTTCTAAAAAAGTTCATAATTTATAACAAAATTTACATCTTTGTTTTTTGGATCTAAAACATAGTCTATATTGTATACTGGTAAACAATATTGTAATTTTACTTCATCTATTTTTTTATTTTATAATATCAAGGAATTCAATGTCATATAACAGAGCATTATTAAATTTCCATAAACCTTTTCCATGACTTACAGAACTAAAACAAAAATCTAAATATATTATTGAATGGTCAGATTTATAAACTAATGTCAATATCACATTTTCGTACATACTGATATAAACTATTTGATATAAGAAAAAAATCTAGTCTACCTTGTTGTATAGGGTTGGTTCGTCTCCATGTATATTTTTTCATATTACCATGCAGTTCTCTAAAGGGATCAATGAGGTCTTTTTCTTCAATAATACTTATTAAAAAATTTCTTGCCTTTACATTATTGTTTTTTGATTTATAGTTATAATAATCTAAGTCAGGATTTTGAACAAGGTTGTAATCTCCACAAATAATTAGAGAGTCATTATCATCAAAAGAATCTAAAGTATCAAAAATGTTTTTAAAGAAACTAGGACTGTCTCTGTTTGGCGCATAAATATTAACTAATGTGAAATTTATAGAATCAAGCATTATTTGTAAAATTATGAAATTTCCTGAATCATCAGTTTTAACAGAATTAATTTTTATATCTAAACCTTTTCTGCATAAAATAGCCACACCTTGGCATTAGACCTACCATGGCTGTAAAAACATAAAACCATTCCATTCAGAATAAATTTTCTTTTCAATTTCTTTTATAAAATGTGTTTCCTGTAGGCAGAGAATATCAGCTTTTTTTGACTGAAATAAATCTAAAACATCTTTTTCTCTTGATACTATCGTGTAAACCTCGACAATTGTAAAGAGAAAATATTAAGACTACTCATAACTAATATTTACAATAATACATTCAACACTATATCTACAATATACATAGCTACACTTAAGTAAAGTAAATACAATATGTACATGAACCCAGAGAAACACTTCTAAATAACATAATGACCTCAAAATTATAAAAAAATGTGCTTGTATATAAAGGAAGAAATACATTTTGCCAATAAACAAGTAAAATTTACTTATGGAAGAAAAAACTTTTAGTGAAATTAGACTTATACAGGTGACAGTTATCACATTTTTGTGCAAATGACATCTCATTTTGGTCTTTTTCATTTAAAAAAATACAAAACAATATTTCAAATTTTTTATTTGATTGGTATAATGTATATTTAAAAGTATACCCCCGTTACGGAGGCATAGAATTTTAAACGTGACATTTGAATTACTTACAATAAAGCGGTTTATATTAAAAATGTTTCATCGCAGGAGCCTAATTTATCAATTTTATTCCAAATATAGTCTTTTGATATTGTTTTGAGTACAAATTTAAAAGAATTCAACACATCTCAAGATTGTTACATTCCAGTTTAAAATTGTTATGGTACCATAGTTGCATTTCGGAGATGGCAGCATTAAAAAAAAAATCATAGAAAATAAGGGTCTCTTTTTCTAACTTCTTATGTAATTCTGAATCAATTATCAATACTGTATTGATTTTAGGCACAAACTTGTTGGAAAATATGGAAATAGATTATTTTTTCTTCAATCTTAAACTTTAATTGGTCAAGCTACAGCGATTTTTTGCAGTTACTATTGCTTTTCAGTTTAACACAAATGAAAAACTAGGAGCATCCACGCTACAAAATTAAAGTTAAGCTGCTGAGAACATCCCAGTGTACTTATTTAAATGTTAGTCACAAATGTTAAAGCTGGTCTGTACATTTTACTACGATTTTTAAAGACAGGAATTATTAAAAAGTTATAGGAGAATGGCTGTATAGTGTGTAGATTTTTAATCATAACATATCTACTTTGTGTAAAATCAAAACATATTTATTTTATATTCACAAAGAGACTGTGTAGTAATTATCAATATTTTCTAGTATCTAATTTGAGCATGGTATATCTTTATAAAACAGCTTAGGGCAAGTTTCTGAGCCTTGGCTGAGGACAATTAACTCTGTTGGCTGGTTTTTAAATAGTGATTGACACTGGTTTCTGACTTAAAAACATTGTTTGAGGACAAATGACCTTTGTTGCATAGTAGCTGAAGACAAATGATACTGGATGTCTTAATAACTGAAAATGTACATTTCCCAGGGTTTACACATAACATTCTAAGGTCCTTAGACCTAAGATTTTTTCTTTGGAGATAATTAAATGCCTCAATCGATTGTATTAAAGGTTCAGTTTATAGAATTGCCTTTATAACTAAGATTTTTCAAAAGTTATATATATATATGAATTATGTGGAGAAAGAAAAGAAAGATGAACTGTCTTTGATTATAGAAAGTTCTTAAAGTCAACCTGTAAATGTATATGTATTGAAAAATCAAATATATGTTGGCCTGAGATCAGACCTGTAACTTTGTTGTTGTGTCCAGAAACTGCCCTCAAATATTATTGGCCACCATGCTACTACAAGTATTGTCAGTGATTCTTTCAATTTTCAAAACAACCTGTGGCTTTCTGAAGGGGAAAATAAGAGCAATAAATGGGAAATGGGGAAAATCAAATTCCAACAACTGAGAATATAATTTACCCACACAAATTATAAAATTTTCAATTTCAATTCAATTAAATTTGCATGGTACATAGTAGAGGCTATCTATAGGAACAGTTTTCTGTCTTCTAGCTGATATAAGTCAGCTGCTGTTAAGTCATGGTTCTAGTGAAGAATATGCACAGAGCATTTTAGGGAAAAATATTTGCATTTTAAGGGGAAAATAAACCTATTTTGAGCTAAGGCAAACAGACTTTATTCGGCTGTAAAATACAGGAAAAAAATCACTGAATGTTTTTGTTGATATTATTATTATCATTATTATTAATATTATTATTATTATTATTTATTATTATAGAGGACTTAATGAAGTCATTAGAAAGATCTGGGGAGAATGAATATCTACCTAATCTAGCTCAAAGTTATGATAGACCAGCCGGTGCAAACTGTGATTTCTCAACTTCTCTAAATCCCAGGTAACTACTTTGATAGAATAAATTATGTATTTATAGCAACAGAGAAAATATTGGTCTACCATCTTCCACCACCAGTAAAGCTGGAACATCGCCATGTGGCCTATACCTTGACAATGTGATGTAAAACCCAATCAAACAAACAAAACAAACAGAGAGAATATTAAAAATGTCTGAAAATATTTTGGGTTAATATTTGAGATGATTTTTCTTCTTTTACAATACAACAGCCTATAAATCATAGACAATTCAATTGTTTCTTATGTAAAATGTAGCTTTATTTTTTCATTTTATGAAATCATCTTTAGAATAAACGATAAATCTGTCTAATAATATAAATCAGCAAACATCAGTTAAAACTTGGTAATAGAAACTGCAAAATGTCAGGAAAAAATCTATTAAAACAAACTGTCACATTGTCAGGGAAAAATCTGTGCAAAAAAAACTGTCACATGTCAGGGAATTGTCTATTTGGCGGTCGTGATGACTTCCAGATAACAAGAGTCAACTGTAAAAGAAACTATCACTTTACCAGGCAAATTCTAATCAAAGAAACTGTCTAGGGAAATTATTTACAGAAACTGTCAGATGTCAGGAATAATATATTTATTGAAATTATTATTCAACTTTCAGCAACTTGGCAAATACATTACCTGGATCAGTTTATGCAAAGATGGAACAAAACAAAGTCAGCTCCTACCTCACTGATGTTGAGAGGCCAAAAGGACTTTACATATATCATGGTACTATATATAAACAAAATCTATTTTTAGTATGGTTTGTTTAATGATTGCCATTTATACATATATATGTATACAGTGCATCCTATGCAGAGCAGATCTCTGTAGAGCAGGAACCTCTATACAAGAACAAAATAAAATCTTCACAAACTAAGGTTTTGAATTGAATTTAAAGGGACTCCACTGAGGTTTTTTGACATGATGGGACTGAAAACAATTTTTCCAGATAAATGTATCATTTGGTGTAGGTTTAGACCATAAATATTTGTGCAAAATTTCAGATCACTCGCGCACTTCGTATTTCCAGAATTATTCAAATTGTAAAAAAATGACACAAACTGAAAAGCGTTTAAACGCTTTTCACTCAAATCGGGTTAAGAAGAGCATAAAAATACAATTTTCAATTTATTTCAAAGTATATTTCTTAACTATCTTTGCATATATTTTTCTTTAAAATGTCCCATCTCATTTATGTAAGAAATTCAAATGTTATGTTTTTAGGCTTTTAAACCTCAGTTGAGTCCCTTTAAGGTAGTCTTATTGCAATGCTTTTCTGCCAAAAAATGTCCAACATTGGCCAATAACATAATAAATTGGTCATTTCTGGATTGTTATTTTTCACAATCTTCCATATTAAATAATTTCTAACTGTTTATATCCTGAATTTAGTTCATAACAATAAAAGATTGATGATTGTAAATAATCTAATGCCCAAGATATTGAAAAAAATGACGTTCTGGAAATTATCAATTTGCTAAGATATTGGCCAATGTTAGAATTTTTTTGGCAGGAAAGCATTACAGTAAGACTACCATAACCTCAAGATCAACACGTTTAACTAACACTCTCTAAGGTTACATAAACTTTTACTGGAGAGATAGGTCTTTAATTTTACAAATTATCTTTACAGAACATACTTTATAAAATCTGACAGCACCACATTTAATTATAGTATTTTGAAACATCTTTCATGGCATTGGAATGGGACTAACAAATATGCTTACAAATGACAGGTGTGTTTTACAATTAACAGGATAAAGGTTGAAGTTAACTCAGTTGTTAAATAACATCATGATTTTATTTCTTCATTTATATTATCATAGATGGTATAGTGAGCCATATTTGTGCTGTGAATTTATTTGATGGAAACACTCCTCTACATCGTACAATTGAAGGTGGCGACAATGTTGCCATAGCAACTGCATTGATTGAAGCAGATGCAGCGGTTATCAACATGCAGAATGATGCAGGACTTACACCAATCCATCTTGCATGTAAACTTGGCAGAAAAAAGATCCTAGAAAGATTACTGGTTGGTTTAACTTAAACAAAATTTGTTATAAATTAGACAGCATTTATTTATTCATCAAATTGTTAACATATGTATTTAAGGGCAAAGTTATTATAATCATTCATTTTTTTTTTTTAAATAAATAGTACTTAATTTTTCAAAATCAAATATATAAGCATATTTTCTTGCTATTGACTATAATTTTATTATAATTCACTTTTGTAACATTTTTATTCATTAGATATTGGTAACTGTTTTTGTTGGGTTTGTTTTTTTTCCGAAAGAAAGCATTTGTGCATTACAATAAATTAGTTTTGATGACTTGGTAGGTTGTATGGTTCTGTGTAAGAAGGTAGGTTATATGGTTCTGTGTAAGAATGTGTTTGCATGTTATAGTACAGTAAACTCCGCTTATAACAGACTCATTGGGACATTCAAAATCTGTTCCTTATATCCGGAGTTCCTTATAAGCATAAAGTGAATTAGTTTCTTGTAACAGGAGTTTTTATAGCGAACAGATTTGATTTTTACCATCGTCCGTAATTTTGAAGGGCATTTAATTAAGAAACATTAGTCATTGATTTTTAGACACAATACTCAATAGCGTATTTTTTTTTGAATTTTCAAAATCCTTTACTATTTCAGTTTAAGTTTTACACTTTTTTTCAATTTCACATAAAATATCTTTTTTTAACTCACCTGTCACAAAGTGACAGGGTGAGCTTTTGTGATCGCTTTTCGTCCGGCGTCCGTCTGGCGTCTGTCCGTCCGGCCAAGCCAACATTTGATTATTATGAGCTTCATTCCGTAGTTAAGTAAAGAACATAAACTCATAAAATTTAAAATTAAGAGCTATTTTTTGTTTTTATGAGCTTATTTTGCTTATGGACGTTGGTCCAGGTGGTGTTTATGAGCTCATTTGCCTCATAAACATCAAATTTTGGTCCGTCCGGCCGTCCGTCCGTCCGTCGTCCGTCCGTAAACTTTTACTTTAAATGACATCTCCTCATAAACCACTAAGCCAATTTCATCCAAACTTCACAGGAATGTTCCTTTGGTGGTCACCTTTAAAAATTGTTCAAAGAATTTAATTCCATGCAGAACTCTGGTTGCCATGGCAGCCGAAAGAAAAAACTTTAAATATCTTCTTTTAAAAAACCCAAAGAGCTAGAGCTCAGATATTTGGCATGAAACATCTTCTACTGAATGTCTACCAAGTTTGTTCAAATAAAAGCCCTGGGGTCAAAATTGGCCCCGCCCCAGGGGGTCATTTATTTTCCCTATATGCATATAGTAAAAACTTAAAAATTCTTCTTTTAAAGAACCCAAAAAGCTAGAGCTAAGATATTTGGCATGAAACATCTTCTAGTGAGTGTCTACCAAGTTTGTTCAAATAAAATCCCTGGGGTCAAAATTGGCCCCGCCCCAGGGGGTCATTGATTTTCTCTATATGCATATAGTAAAAACTTAAAAAATATTCTATTACAGAACCCAAAGAGCTAGAGCTTAAATATTTAGCATGAAACATCTTTTAATGGGTGTCTACCAAGTTTGTTCAAATAAAAGCCCTGGGGTCAAAATTGGCCCCGCCCCAGGGGGTCATTGATTTTCTCTATATGCATATAGTAAAAACTTAAAAAATCTTCTTTTACAGAACCCAAAGAGCTAGAGCTTAAACATTTAGCATGAAACATCTTCTAATGGGTGTCTACCAAGTTTGTTCAAATAAAAGCCCTGGGGTCAAAATTGGCCCCGCCCCAGGGGGTCATTGATTTTCCCTATATGCATATAGTAAAAACTTAAAAAATCTTCTTTTAAAGAACCGAAACAGCTAGACCTAAGATATTTAGCATGTAACATGTTCTAATGGATGTCTACCAAGTTTGTTCAAATATGAGCCTTGGGGTCAAAATTGGCCCCGCCCCAGGGGGTCATTGATTTTCCTTATATGTGTATAGCAAAAACTTGAAAAACTTTTTTGAAAAAAACCCCAAAAAGCTAGAGTTTAGATACTAAGCATGAAACATCTTCTAGCGAGTGTCTACCAAGTTTGTTCAAATAAAAGCCCTGGGGTCAAAATTGGCCCCGCCCCGGGGGTCATTCATTTTCCATATATGTGTATAACAAAAACTTAAAAATTCTTCTTTGAAAAAACTCAAATAGCAAGAGCTAAGATATAAATCATGAAGCATCTTCTAGTGAATGTCTACCAAGTTTGTTCAAATAAAGCCCTGAGGTCAAAATTGGCCCCGTCCCGGGGACATTAATTTTCCTTATATGTGAATAGCAAAAACTTAAAAATCTTCTTTGAAAAACCCGAATAGCTAGAGTTTAGATATTAAGCATGAAACATTTTCTAGTAAGTGTCTACAAAGATTGTTCAAATAAAAGCCCTGGGGTCAAAATTGGCCCTGCCCTAGGTGTGTCATTGTTTTTATCTATATGTGTAAAGAAAAAACTTGAAAAATCTTCTTTTAAAAAACCCAACGAGCTAGACCTTAGATGTTTAGCATGAAACATCTTCTAATGGGTGTCTACCATATTTGTTCAAATAAAAGCCCTGGCCCCGTGTTCACAAAGAAAAGATCAGGATCAGGATCAGATGATCCTGATTTTATTTTCATTGTTTTATACAGCTAAAATTGATGGTATTATGCTAGAAGTAAATGGTACATATTCGGAATATAAATAATTTCTTACTTGCAAAGAAACCAACCTATTTTGGGGAAAAATCAACAAATAACAAAACAAATACAAAAATAATCGGATCAAAATAAGGATCAATTTCAGGATCAAGAACCAAATTTGGATCAACTGTAAAATGCCCATATCTTGTAAAAATAACAATAAATTCATTCTAAAATTTCATAAGCATGCTATTTCAAGTCCAGTTTTATCAAGTTAATACTGAATATTTAATCTATGAGGATAAATAATGGAGAATATTTGAGTTATTAAATTTGATCCTGATCTTGATCCTGATCCTTAAATCTTTGTGAACACGGGGCCTGGGGTTTAAACTGGCCCCGCTCCAGGGGCCTATATACAGGTGAGCGACTTCAGGGCCATCATGGCCCTCTTGTTTTTCTAAATTCAGTGCTTTTCGTGTTCTTTCCTTGATTAAGAATAAACAAGATATTCGATTCTTCCTTCCATTTATATCTTCTATTATATTTTTAAGGGTGGTGACTTTTACTTATGAAAGATATAGATTTCTTTTTATTTCAATCAGACGTACTTTGTAGTTTTCAATGGATAAGCAAGCATGCATGATTATGTTGAAAACTGATTATAAATGATAATAATTATTTTGCTAGAGCAAACCTATTAAAGACAAGAAATAATTGAATAAAATAGAAAGAATAACAGTTTTATCTTAATGACAAGAACTCATACTAAAATATCATAAATAAAAATAAAAATATTCTAAGTTATATTACGTTACTGCTATACAAATTCATTTTCACAGCTGTATTGTAGTACAAACAACAGTGAACAGTACATTCGGGCGAGTTTTAATCTGTGCCAAAGAAAACAAGTCATTTTGGAGTTCGTTATAAAAGTGTAATTTTCTGTACTTTTAATTAATTTGGGACTAAAATAGAGTTCCTTATAAGCGGTAATTCCCTATAACCGTGTTAGCTATAACCGTATATTTTTATATTAAATAAAGAAGGGCAAAATTCGGGCCAAAATAAATTGTTCCTTATAACCGGAAGTTCGCTATAACCGTGTTCGCTATAAGTGAAGTTTACTGTATAACCTTTTTTACTTAGATATATAACCTGTCAAAAAAATCTTTAACAATATAAGCTGAGTGTAAAGTTCAATGGAAAAAAATATATTGGGACATACTAGTTTTAATATATATAACTTGTAATTTACTGAAAAAATCTTATTAGACTGGATTAACTTTATTTTAGATGGTACCTGGAATAGATCTAAATTTACCTACTCTCAATGGTCATTTACCAGAGGAAGTTACCACTAATAAAACACTTATTAAGATGGTACAGAAAGTGCGTAAAGAACAACCTGTCAGGTACGTGTTATGATAAAAATTGTTATATGCCAGTGTGAGAGATGTATAATGAAATGTGAACTGCACTTCTGTAATCTACAACTATACTGGAAGTCATTTAGGCGTTCTAAAACAAAGCTTTATTTTATAACAGGGCCGGCAAAATCTCATTTTGACTTACTAGTCGGTTTTTCTCTGAAGCATTTCTAAACTTGCCCTGATAACGTTTATATAGTAAATTCTTGAAAATTTCCACTTGTCTGTACAAGCTGTTGGACAACCTAGGCAATATAATTGATTTTGCAGCCCTTTAGCTTGGAGTATTTTGGGCATCATTTTATAAACAAATGTCAACACTGAACCAGAACAAAACCAATTTTTGCAACAAAACCTAGCTCTAAAGAGTTTAAAATTACTGAGCTGAACTGATTGACTGGAAGTTCAGGGATGTTGAGTTAACACTAAGGACAGGGCTTTCCTCCAGCCAACCTAATGTTATATTTCATTTTATTAGAATTCAAGCCTACATGTATATAAATTAAGAGGACAGTCTATAAATGGATATGTTATCATGTGTTAATTTAACAGATTACATATAGCACTTTGTAACTTTATTATCCCCCGCCGAAAAATTTCGGCGGAGGATATAGAAATAGTCTCCGTCCGTCCGTCCGACCTTCCGTCCTTCCGTCCGACATTTTTGTCCGGAGCATATCTCTAAAAGTATTTGAGTTATCAACTTGAAACTTCATAGGTGGATAGACCTCATTGAGGAGGAGTGCAGTGCACAAGAATGATAACTCTACCTTGCATGATTTTTGAGTTATTGCCCTTTGTTATTTTTCAAAATTGATTTTTGTCCAGAGCATAACTCCAAAAGCCTATGAGATATTAACATGAAACTTCATAGGTGCATAGATCTCTGACTCAGGAGGTGTGCACTGCACAAGAATGATAACTCTACCTTTTATAATTTTTGAGTTATTGCCCTTTGTTCTTTTTCATACTTTAATTTTTTCTCAAAAAGTATTTGAGGTATCAACTTGAAACTTCATAGGTGGATAGACTTTACTGAGGAGGGATGCAGCACACAATAATGATAACCTACCCTGCATTATTTTTCAGTAATTGCCCTTTGTTATTTTCAGCCATCAGTATTCACATAGGTTTCAAATCTGTAATCACTATAGCCATCAGTTTTCATTACCAAAAGACCTCTTAAAATAGAATTATTCCGCTCTACTACATATACATTCTTCCAATGAGCAAACACATTCGGCGGGGGATGGCCATGTTGACATGGCTCTTGTTTATATTTCTATTTAACACATTTAACTCATAAGCTGCTAAAACATGTTTCACAATTGAGTTTATTATACTTCTGAACATTTTAATAAAATAATATGGGATAAAAATGGCAAAATTTTGTATTATTTGTTATTTAGAATTTCAGACATTCATTACAGGCAGCCCCCAACACCTGAAGATGCGTATCCGAGCAGTGTTAGTGTTCAGATGCAGGAGTCTTTACCATCAGTTCGTAGTAGAGGAGGCGAGACTGTTATAAGCTTTGATAAAATCAACGATCTGTATAACACGCTGAAAGATACTTAGAAAAAAAATATATTACTGTTAAGATTTCATTGTTATATTGAACAGTATTGACTGTATTTGATTATAAAGGTTCATTTACACATGCTAAAGTAATGAGACAGGCCTTTACCTAGCCGTTTTGGGGAAAAGTACCTTGCCCAGTTTCGGAATTATTGCGTTGTAAAATTGCTTAATTGGGAAAAATATATGGTACCTTTCGAAACAACTTTCATGCTCTTTTGGCATAGTATTTTGATTTGTGCAAAATTGTTTATTCCAACAAATGCAAATGTCATTCAAAGCATAAAAATCATTAAAATTTGACAATGAATTGTGTGCAAACATCTATCTGATACCATACTGGAATGAACTCTAGCAAATTTGTCAGTTTTGATATTGAGAATATTAGTTCAATTGGGATTTTATGCCATTGGGATAGGGTCCCATAATCTGACCTGTGGTAACACTGGGGAAAGGCGTGCGAGAGCTCCATAATGGTGGATTAAAACAATTTGTATCCAAGAAATTTGGTTTTAAATATTTAGATATTTTAACTTATTTATAATATCACTGATAAAATAATGTACTGTATATCAGGTGTTTTTTGTGTGAATATCTAATTTTTGATATATTCGCGGGTGCTAAATATCGCAGGAAGTAGATATGTTAAAATTAAGTCAAATTTAATAGAAGAAATTTGCATGTTTTTGTAACTGGATTTTCTACTTTACTTCAGTTATTTACAAAGATTATAAGTGCCATTTGCAGTATGTAAATTACTTTCTTTGTTTGCTATACAATATTTTACTTTTAAATGCAATATTAAAATTTTCATGAAAATTAGCATGAATGGCATATGCTGCTTTGAAAATAAGGTTAGATAAAATAATACCAAATGCTTGCCTGTTAGAAAAATTGTAAATAAAATTTAATATGTGTAAAATAGAGTGATGTTACTTTGTCAGCAGAAATAAAATGTGAAAAACAGAATCTGGTAAAGCAAAGGTGCTAAAATTAAATTACTGCTAAAGATCCCGAAATTTGATGTGCACAAAAAATTCTAGTCCTGATATACAGTATATGGTTCACTAAAGACAGTAGGTTTCTATTTACAGTGTCTGCTAGATAATTTAAGTTATCATTCGTGATTGATTCTAGACTTTAGATAGATAACCATTAAACTCAAAAGGGCTTAACCTAATGTTGAAAGAGCCTGTACCACAACCTGTTTCTTTTGTTGTTTATTTATTATTATTTTGCATAATGTTTTGCATAATGTTTTACATGTATTCAAACATGCATATTCAAACTTATAATGAAGCCCTCTTAATAATGGCTCTTGAATGATCAATAACTGATGAACTTTGTTAATATTTACCTTAATGTGCTTCATGTTTGCTACATCCTGTTTCATTGTGATGTAATTATTTATAAACATGGTTGTTGCCAATTTATGAATTTATTTTAATTTTGATATAAAGATTAAATGTTCAGTATATTTAATTATTTATGAAGATTTTTATGTATATCTCAGCAGTTCTTTTTGGACTTGTCTTTTTCATACATGAATATTTTAATTTCAAAAGAAAGTCACTTTATCTTATGGCAATCTTTTTAGTGTTGTTGTTGTTTTTTTGTTTCTGTTTTTTTTTAATATTTAAACAGCAGTTGTCTTACTTTTCACATTGACATATTTCTTTGATTTTTAGATGTAGGATTTACTCCCTTCACAACAGAAAATTTTCTTGCCAGCTTTATATCTAAAATCAATCAAGAAAAAAAATGATAACAAGAATTGTTACTGAAAGTAAACCAATGATAATTTGACTTCAGGAAAGTAAAAACCAGTTACTTAAAACCAATACCAATATTGATTCTTTATTTCTCTAGTGCAGTGTTAAATATTAGGTACAAAACCTATAAACTTCAAGTGTAAACACATAACACTTCAGCCAATATAGGACATATTTATCTATTATTTAATCTTTCAACTACTGTGTACATGAAGACACAAACATAAGATGTTCAGCCAAATGATGTCATAAAAACTGTTGATTTCCTTTTAGCATTTAACTGTACATGTGCAATACATACGGAATATTATGTTGTAATAGCTATCAATTTGTAGTAGATATCAATTTTCCAATGTTGCGAGTAGCAAAATGCGTAGCCTCAGAAAGCTATTACAACATAATTTTCCTTTTATTATATACCTTTTCGTTCAAAGTAAAAATGATTTTTATTATACTACACTTCTATAAGAAATTTCAGAAAATGAAATTTAGCTGTCAAGAAATAAATTTATGACTGACGGATGAAAACGTAATTTTGGCAAAACAGGTCATGCCTTTTATAATTTTGGTTCACGTTTCAAAATGCTATGTTATACACATCGAAGATCGGAACCAACGTCAAAAATAGTCTGGCTCTTCCATATATGGTACGGTATTTGTCACTAACATAATACAGAATTTTTTATCTGTTGAAGCTTACTTGCCCTTCAAGATATGCATGTATATTAGGGAGAAAATTAAAAGGTATATAATAAATTATTTTATTACACTAAGTGATCAATATCATTGTAAAATTATGTAAAATATTTGAAAACATATCATTAAAAATACATGTATATCATGTTTACTGTTTAACATTTTGAAAGCTTAGGTATTGTATACACTTTGGTAATCTTTTTTATAAATCTATTAAAAGCCTGTTTCATTCAGTTTCATCTGGCTGTATATAAACATAGTTTGAAATACAACTAAAGCCATTATATGCAAACAATCATTTGATCCAGTGAAAATCTTCACAACTAATAATATACAAATAATAAATACAGGAAAAAGCTGAAAGTATACATTTTCCCTCTTATTTCAAAAAGCTTTTCTGAGACTCCCATTTTGCACTTTTCATGTAAATATGAAAGGTTTTTTACCACATTATTACAGTGTCAATTTCATTTTAACCTTGTTGTCACTTTCACAGTTCAAAGTATAATCAAACTATAAATTGGAGGAAATTATTTTTCATATAAGTGAGAATGTTTAAACATTATTAGGTTAATTTATACCTCATTGATTTGTGTAACTTGCCATTGCTTTTTTCTTCAATACTGTAACTTAAAGTGATTTCAGTGTAACAGTATGAGAATAATTGTCTTTAATAGAAAAAAATGTGATGAAAAATTTTATACAGTGTTTTACATATAATCAGGGATTTTCAAATGTACTTGTTCATTCCAACTTTTGATCGTAAGGAAAATGTTATAAACCAATCATGTATTTATTTCTTTATATTACACAGATTTAAGATAAACTAAATGTTGATTTTGCTGGGTGTGTTTTCTAACTTAATGCAAGTCTTTCTTAGAAGACATTCATTTTAGATTCGATATATACTGTACTGTTTAATATTTTATTGTATTGTTGGCCTAACCTCGAGACAGGCAGAGTTATTTAAGTGCTTGAATTAACCATATATTTTGAGATGCTCTTTTTGATGGATTCTTGTATTACATGTTTTGATGTTGGTATATAAGTGCAATATTGATGAATGTTATACAGCAGTGAATTGTAACCCCAACCATAACCTCAAGGCAGTACAGGTGCTAGTGTCCCCAAACTGATCTTGTTTTTGTTATAGAGTAAAATGTAGGGATTTAATATCTGTCTTTTTTTGAAGGGCCTTTACCAAGGGTTTGAAAATTCAAAGTCCTACTATTCCTTAGGGATGGGGCCCACTCAAATTGATTGGTGCATTATTAAGTTAAATTTGTTTAATCAGCAGGATTGTTATTGAAATTACCATTTGATATTAAAATAAATTATGTGAAAAATGTTAATATTATTTTATTTAAATATAAGATGTATTGTATTGTTAAAACTGTTTGCCTCCAGATGAGTATAAAACATTTGTTTTTTTTCCCAAAAAACTCAGAGTTTAAGCACTGTCCATGAAATTAAAAGTGACAGAAATAATATTTTTACCATATATAATAGACTAGCAACTTATTCTGTAATTTTTAACACATTAAGTAACTAATGTAATTGTTGATAGTGTTTTGGACTACATGTAGTTTTATTGATAGTGTCTTAGACTAAATGTGGTTTATGAAACCCTGAGGTGGTCACTGTCCAGGTATATAAAAATGTAGCTTATAGATGATTGATGGTTAATTTTGTATACTTTAATATTTTTGCGATAAGAACAATTATTATTAAAAAAAACAACGTAAAAGTGAACAAGAATGTGGAAGGATGCTGTTTTAATGATATCAGTAAATTGATATACAAAGACTTTTCGTTTTGTATTGATGTTAAGATATGTCATTACTTCCATAGATTATTTTGTGATTATATGCAAGTATATTCTTGTTGTGCTTATATTTTGTCAAAATTGGTCAGGGATAATTTATTTGATTTGTATTTTTAATCAAGATATTGATTAAATGGCCCTTTAGATTCTTCTTTAGAAGTGTTTCTGTATTGTTTTACATGTGTTCATCTGTAAATTACTAATATTTTCACAATAGCTGAACTGTTGAGTTGTTGTTGATGAAAAAAAGAAGATGAAAACTAGAAAGTCTGATTAGGATAATTGCTTGCCAATTTGTGACTGAAATATTGTAAAGAAAATGCCATGTTTGTTCAAACTAATTACTTGTCTTAATTGAAGTTGTTTGTTTACTGTTGTTGAATATGAATTTGTTTGTTGAGAAGATATTTATTAAAGAAAATATTAACAAATATAAGTTTTTGACTTTGTTATAGACCTATTCATCAAATGTTTACCAACAAGTCCTTAACAATTTTGTACCTTTCGTTTGGTTTTAAGTTGCACCCACACAGTAGTGGATTTATACTGTGACTTTCTAGCTTTACTTACTGGTGAAGGAAAACCACTGGTGCTCCTCCATGCATTATTTTACAAAAGTTCCATGAATCTTGTCACCGGGGTAAATAATTGCCCTGCTGTAGAGTCAATACTCTGTTTATAACTATAGATACATTCTGTACATGACTGCAACTTTCTAGCTTTACTTATAATAATAATAATAATAAAGACTTTATTTAAAGAGGCAACATAGTTAGGAAAGCCCAGTCTTCCCTATGAGCCTCTACCACTTACAGGTGGAGGAAAACCTCTAGTGCTCCTCCGGGTCCTCTTCTGTTTGAGTGCAATTTAAAACTAAATGAAAGGTACAATCTAAGATAGCAATCTTAGGGAAAACCTACAGGACCTCTATTTTAAGCTGGGGTTGAAACAGTTAGAGATTGGAGATTTGGTGCACTATGTCATTTATTTTTTATCATCCTCAGTAACCCAGGCTATTAACTGTATAACAGTATCAGTAAATGGGTTAGTTTTTTTTCATTGTCAATAGAACTATTGAAGGTATATTTGGAGAACTGTTTCATAAATTAATGTATTCTGTTCCAAGCCAAGAAAAACAGAAACTAACGTTTGACCATGTTTTGCATAAAAATGCTCTGGCAGAAAATTTACAATTCTTTTATTACAGAGGTGGAAAAGTAAAAGAAACAATTCATGCATATCTTGCATCATAAATTAGGTGTATCAATTCACATGAAAGACCAATTTTAGATTGCTTTTTCAAACCACTTCATGCCTGTTAAGAGGCTACATTTTTGTGACTAATCGAATCTCGTTTTCTGACATCAAGGTATATTTTATGAGGTATAGTATATCCAAGAACCAAGGTTTAGAATATTTTTTTATCGTACCAACACAGTACAGGTCATACAGCAACTTTCCAATTTTACTGGTGGAGGAAGACCTCAGGAGCCCTTTCATACAGTAGTTCAGGCACAAACTGACACCAGAGTAGAACCACTGACGCTCCACAAGCTTCCTCACATGAAAGAATCCAAAGTCCATGACTCTGAACATTTTCATTGAAAATTATGAAATTAGGGGAGTGTCCTTGATAATGTTGTAACAATTTATGGGCAAACCATTTTGTATATGTACATTAATATATTTATGTATAATTGTGACATTTGAAAGTTCTTGGCATAAATTTGTATTTCAATAAGTAAATGATTCACTGTTATTCATTTGTTTGGTTTTACGGCTCACCAACAGTTTAGAACTACGAAGGTAAAGTTTAAAATGAAGAATGCAGTGGTGGAGTATTCGACAAAGAAGCTGTTGATAAATAAATGGCCGTTGGCTGTTGTAGGTAAGTTTATGACTGAATTTTGTTTAATGTTTTACAGGAAACACCTAGTGAGACGGGAGCCCACATATGTACGCTTCCAACTTATTCTCAAACAATGTAATTCATTGCCGTTTATGCAAACACTTCTGTATAGTTTGTCGAGGGGACATCACTTTTGCATAATTTTTGTTTAAACATGTACAAATATGTGCAAAACAATCCCTTAACACACTAGCATCACATCATCAGCGTTGTAATCATTTTTCGTCAATTCTGTTATAAAAGGCCAATAAAATTCCTAAAGTATGGTTGTTTCATACAATGTGATGCCAGTGTATTTAGGGGTCGTTCTGCAAATATTTGTAGGTGTTCAACCAAACACCTTCCTTAACTTAGCTGGATAGCCTTCTCATATAAAATAATCTCAAGTTCAAGGTGGGATTCAAACCCATAGTGGTGAGGGGCAAGTCAACAACCTAATACACTTGGCCAGAGAAATAACATTTACTTGACGGGGAAATATAGTAAAACATGTACTACAAGTACATCACCAGTCAAGTCAGACAGTCTCGCAGTTCTTGACTCAAAATTATCCTGTCAGAAAATGACAAAGAAAATCCAGTACAAACAGATTTTAAATAATTTAATTGATCTGTGATTAATGTAAAATGAAAACCACGAACAAGCTTCAATGATTGTTAACTGAACCACTGTTTATACTCAACATAAGTGTATTTTTAATACAGAGAACACAATTCCACTTAGTTTCTTAATCAGTGCATCTAGCTTGAAGTTTTCATGGTCACAGAAACAATAATAAACTTCTAGTTCCATTGTGATTCAAAGGTCTAAATCAAAAAGTTATCACAATTTTTTTAATGACCTCTCTCTCAAGTAAAAAAAGAATCTTTTTTAAACAGTTAAAGGTTTTTATCAAGAGCCAATTATATCTGACACACTCCTGTTCAGTTTATTATAGTCTAATTGGATATCTTTTATTTCATCACCAAACATTAATGGTGCTCTGCTATCTTCCATCTTCATGAAATGTTTAAGGGCTTCCTTTGCTGCTAGTTCCTCAGCTATGACACTAGACTCCCCTGGTGCTGAAAAGAAATGGATGAATTTAATAAACAGGTAAATCTTCACTTTTTAGTAACTTTTATCAAAGCTGTCAGACACAAGGATCGGTACAAGCATACCTTTTAAATTAAGAATTCTTTTCAATAAATTAACTGTAGCAAACCAAGAAGTTTTACTTGCAAGCTCCGAGTCACAGTATTTACAAGTCAGTTTATAAATCTGATCATTTTCATTAAATTTATATCTGTGTAAAGTTCAATGTTTCATCTATTTAAATGTACAATATTATTTTTTTATCATCAAGTATACCATTTAAATCTGCCTTAATAATGGTATTGCTACAACTCACAGAATCTGACTTAAATCTTAATAATACACCATAGTGCTCTATACAAAATGGCTCTTTTATTTGAAAAGTTACAATAAATGGATGGGAAACTGCAAAAAAATATGTCATACTTAAATATCATGTCATCTGACTGTTAGAATCAACATGAAATAAACAGGGTTATCCAGTTTAGACCTCAAAACTTTTTTTTAAAATAATTTGTTGTTTAAATGATTATTTATTTGAAAACATCTTTATCAAAGCATCCAGACAAAAGTGCTTTTTATAAACGTTTGTCAACTCTTCAGAAACATCTTATATGATGTATATTACAATGCTTGCTAAGAATATGCAAGTGTTTATCATAATGTGTTTGTTGTAATATTTACTGTATTCATACTGGGATATTTCACACAATAATAATTATAGTGTTTGTAATATGATCTTTTAATAAATATTACTTTGTTATATGATCTTTTAATAAATATTACTGAGTCTTTGGCTTAATCTTGAGCATTTCTGGAGCATACCTCATATATGACTGAATTGTATGACAAAAATTGTATGAAGTCCAATCACACAAAATATAAAGCATATATATGAAAAGCATTTGGTTATTTTTTAAATTTCTGACAACAAAAACCCAGTGATATAAGTGTTTTTTTATATAAAAAAAAAATGAGCATATATATGAAAAACTTTATTTAAAATTTCTAACACAACAAAAAAAGCAGTGATATAAGTGTTATTTTTTATGAATACATGTATAATTTTTGCCTTACATTTTCCAATCAGCTTTTTATCACTGTAAATTCCAACATGGTACACTGGCATGAGAGAGTTTTTTGATGATGTCCACAACAGTCTGGACTCTGGTTCCCCTCTACCAGATTCCTAGTAATAAAATAGTTACATGTTAAAATTATTCAATTTTTGTTTTCACTTCGTTGTCAGTCAAGGTATGGTAGGCTATGTGGTAAATGTGTCTGCTGCTTCTCAACGAAGGTAACACAAGTTTGAGCCTCTTTCTGGTAACAAACTTGTTAATATTACATCACTCACAGGATAACTTAACAAGAGCTGTCGGTAGGACAGCAACGCTCGACTATTCTTAGTGCTTGATAGTAAAAAAAATGCTTGATAGAGTTACCTCCTCCTGTTTACAGGTTGGGGTCATGATGGTGAACAAGTGTGCAAAGTTTCAAAGCCATATGTCAATGGACTTTGAAAATATTTGAACTATTACAAAAACTTTAACGTAAATTCTAAGTCGAAAAAGGGGCATAATTCTGTCAAAATGCTTGATAGAGTTACCTCCTCCTGTTTCTAGGTTGGGGTCATGATGGTGAACAAGTGTGTAAAGTTTCAAAGCCATATGTCAATGGACTTTGAAAATATTTGAACTATTACAAAAACTTTAACGTAAATTCTAAGTCGAAAAAGGGGCATAATTCTGTCAAAATGCTTGATAGAGTTACCTCCTCCTGTCTACAGGTTGGGGTCATGATGGTGAACAAGTGTGCAAAGTTTCAAAGCCATATGTCTATGGACTTTGAAAATATTTGAACTATTACAAAAACTTTAACATAAGTGGTTACGCCGACGCCGACGCTCGGGTGACTGCAATAGCTCTACTTATTCTTATCGAATAGTCGAGCTAAAAATAAAGATTAATATAATTTGCAAAGAATTGTTTCAAAAACAAGCTTATATAAATACATTTGAAATAAGTCATACTGGTACAATCTAACTCATACAACATCCTTTCTGGCCCAGTAAAAGAAGACCAAATCCTCATACAGGGCTTATTATTTCAGGTATGATGCATGCACATGGGAAGAACTGAACTTACTGTGCTAAATATCTCACATCACAAATTTCATTGTATTCCATGGGATTTAAACCAACAACAGTTAGACAGGGGCAGGTAAATCAAAGTCAAACAGTTTTCTGAGAAGTTAGTTTTTCTATATGTTAAGTTGTTCTTGAAAGATCACCAAATCAAATTATACATATAAAACTTAAATTATTTTATGTGGTGGTCTTTCAAGAACAACTGGACATCTTAGTAACATTTTAGTCTATTTTTTCAAATGTTAAGCTGAGATAAATTATTTGTATATTTCAAAACACTAACTATTTTAATGGCGATTAAACATTATTTGACAATTACAAATATTTAGGTAAAATATTAAATTTGCCTTTAATATGAAAGACTGCCCCACTCTTCAAATATAAACTGAACATAACCGGTAATTTCTGAAAGATATTTATGGTATTTATGTGAGTCATATGGGTTATTGATTACACATAATGTCACTTAAGAAATTCCTAAATCAGAATATATTTATGTGAAAACCAACTGCCTGTGAACAAACAAACAGAAAGACAGACGGACAATGCCCTGAACCAGCCATAACAAGATAACAAGAATCGTAATGTTACACTACCTTTAATAATTTTGCAAGTATACCCATTGGATTATCAACTCTCCAGATTTCATTGATGTCTGTTCCTATCAACTGAGATATGATGAAGTCTAACACAAACATCTCTGCTGTACGCTCTCCCTAAAAGTTACATAAGTTATCAAAGTTATTAAGAAAAGGCACTGCAGAAAATGATCTTAATAGGATTTAGCACCACTATAAATTTACAAAGGTACTTAGACATGTATTCAATCAATTTATATTGATTCAGCACCACTATAAATCTACAAAGGTACTTACACGTGTATTCAATCAATTTGTATTGACAAAGCATTCTTGAATGAGATTAAATACATCTCTGGACATTAAAAGACCTGAACATGTTTAAAGATGCAAGTATTCTAATACTTCTATTACAAGTGCACAAATAAACCTGAAATTACTATTACTTGAGTGCACAAATAAACCTGAAATTGCTATTACCCAAGTGCACCAATAAAACTGAAATTACTATTACCTGAGATTCTAGCAGTGCACCAATAAAACTGAAAATACCTGAGATTCTAGCAGTGCACCAATGACAGCAAGCAATGTGGTAATATAGTTGTCATCTTCTGGTGGGTACTCCTGTAATATAATGTAATGTAATGTGAATTAATATAATGTAATGTAAATTAATGTAATGTAATGTAAATTAATGAAATGAAACAAAACAGAACAGAATAGAATACATAATGAGTAAAACAATCATTTTTTGTTCTGTCAAAGAGAACAGCATGCTCAATTATTTCAATGATATTGAAAATTAAAAGCAAATGAAGTGAAAAAATATTCAATCCATAACCTGCTGGAACCAAATGTAATTACCCTTGGTGCCATTAAAGCCATAAACAGCCTACACAATCCTTGCACATGTACTAGACTCTGTACAATTGGTATTTTTGTATAGTTGTACAATTTTTATATTTTGTTCCTGAAATCCCCCAATTTTCAAATGAACTGTTCTACATTCAAAAGCAGGGCAAAAATCTGGAAGAAAGGTGATCCCTCTGAAGCATTAATCACAACAATATTACATGAAAGTTGCAGAATTGGTTTGATGGAGTCGGTGCATGAGGGATTATGAAAAAAATCCGTCATGCACCAAACACCGGCTTGAGCGGTACTCAATTTTCAACACTTAAAAGTGCTGGAATCAATGATCCCAAAGGACCAGAAAAATATAACAACACTAAAGTAAAGTATTGGACAACTTTTTTCAGCTGCCACACAGCACTAGACACCAAATTTATGCAGATTTAGGGTTAAAAATACAAAAGCTCTCTATGTTTAAAAAAACATTTTATTTAATGTAAGTTTTTCCCAAAATTTAAGTTGTAAAACTTACAAATACTTTGACTTTATTTAAGCAAACACTACTTAACAAGTAAGATATTTATATTATAGTCTGTAACCTATAATTATCACCTCAAACAGGTAATTATAGAAAAAAAAGAGAAGAAAATGAATCCAAGGCCCCCATGCAGGTCCAGGGCAGAGCCCTGGTGGGGGAGCAGGATGCAAAGCCCCTGGAAGCTCCTGCATTTTCAACTTATCAGATGGCCAATAATTCATTTTCTTTTAGTGCTTTATCAAACATTTTAATTACCAAATATCACTTCTGCTAATCAGCAGACATTTTGTTTTTCTTTCTTCAACTACAGAAAGATGCCAGGTTACGATTGGTTGGTACATGTAACACTATCGTTCATTGGCTTACTATAATAGCAACAATAACTGAACATTTCCCAAAAGCGGTACTGTCTAAATATTACAATCAGATAATTGACGGTGGCAAACTCAGAGATAGAGATTTACATCGTTTACAAAACGGGTTCTGGTGACCTCGAAATCAGTGGATTTCTACAGATCTGCTAAAAATTGGCATCCCTATAAAGTTTTCAAGTGAATATACTTCCAGTGTTGTAGAGATAATACATACATGCAAGACATTTACTCAAACAAGAATGTCGAACGACACATATACCCCCCTTTCTAGCAATTGACTCACATAATTGGTAATTTTATTACAGAAACTTGCCAAAAATTGGTACATGGAATTGTTCAATTATGGAAAAATCAACAGAAACTATTTTAACATTTAAGGCCCATGTGACATTGACCTTTGACCTAATGACCCCTAAATCGTTAGAGGTCATCTACTACTTATGACCAATAACTAGGTGAAATATGAAGACTTTGTGATGAATACTTTTCAAGATAATAAGCGGAAACCCTTTTGACATTTAAGGTCCCTGTGACCTTAACCTTTGACCTAGTGACCCCAAAATCAATAGGGGTCATCTACTATTGATGACCAATCACTATGTGAAATATGAAGACTTTGTGATACATACTTTTCAAGATAATCAGCGGAAACCATTTTGACATTTAAAACCCCAGTGACCTTGACCTTTGACCTAGTGACCCCAAAATCAATAGGGGTCATCTACTAGTTATGACCAATCACTGTGTGAAATATGAAGACTTTGTGATACATACTTTTCAAGATAATCAGCGGAAACCATTTTGACACTTAAGGTCCCTGTGACCTTGACCTTTGACCTAGTGACCCCAAAATCAATAGGGGTCATCTACTTGTGATGACCAATCACTATGTGAAGTATGAAGACTTTGTGATACATACTTTTCAAGATAATCAGCGGAAACCATTTTGACATTTAAGGCCCCTGTGACCTTGACCTTTGACCCCAAAATCAATAGGGGTCATCTACTAGTGATGACCAATCACTATGTGAAATATGAAGACTTTGTGATACATACTTTTCAAGATAATCAGCGGAAACCATTTTGATATTTAAGGTCCCTGTGACCTTGACCTTTGACCTAGTGACCCCAAAATCAATAGGGGTCATCTACTAGTTATGACCAATCACTATGTGAAATATGAAGACTTTGTGATAAATACTTTTCAAGATAATCAGCGGAAACCATTTTGACATTTAAGGCCCCTGTGACCTTGACCTTTGACATAGTGACCCCAAAATCAATAGGGGTCATCTACTAGTGATGACCAATCACTATGTGAAATATGAAGACTTTGTGATACATACTTTTCAAGATAATCAGCGGAAACCATTTTGACATTTAAGGTCCCTGTGACCTTGACCTTTGACCTAGTGACCCCAAAATCAATAGGGGTCATGTACTAGTTATGACCAATCACTATGTGAAATATGAAGGCTTTGTGATAAATACTTTTCAAGATAATCAGCGGAAACCATGTGGTCTACCGACGGACAGACCGATGGACCGACAGACAGACCGACATTAGCAAAACAATATACCCCCTCTTCTTCGAAGGGGGGCATAATAATTAGGATAATATCCCCTTTTCTTCAAATAGGAAAGCTTCAAAATAAATAGTAACTTACAGCTGTTTGCATGAGTTCTCGTAAACCAAGGTTAGTACCAACATGTAATAATGTCTCATTAGACATCAGGAAGTCATGGATAGCACTGTAAATTAATATAAAATAAAATATACAGATTGCTGTAAAAATAAATAAATACATATATAACTGGTTAACTACAGACTGCTTTGTATACATAATTTGTTATCATAACTGTTGAACAAACTGTAGTGCCACAAATTGTTTCATCATTGAATTAGTCAATTTGATAGTACATGTATAAAGTAAAGACATCCATCAATGAACAATAGAAATATAAGTTAAACGACAAATGTGTGTTTTTCAGAAATGATAAAATACTCCAGGTTAGAGAAACCTTTGATATAACTAATAATAATTACTTTTGTTTGACAGTAAAGTCAGAATTCATAAGAAATGTTCAATCTTAATAGGTTAGACTTTAATCAGTATTTTATCATACATGGCATGACTTACAGAATAAATTATCACAACAACAACATCTTGGGAACATTGAATGAAGACTAAGAAATTGACTTGAAATGTTCAGTTTACTAATTTACAAGATTACATTTCAGACTTTCATAGTAGTTAAAATAAGCACAATTTACAATAAAGAATGCTTATAAAGACTTAGCTGGGTTTTATATCTTACCATATTTTTTCTTCGAATGCCTGTGGATAGGAATATCTGAGGTAAGCCTTTATAAACCTGCTTGCTAATTTCTGACCTAAAATAACATAAAAATTTTGAAGTTAAATATAATTACACATAGGCATGGGCCTCACAAATATCTTGGACTCCAGTCACCAACCACTGACTTTATACAATGATCAAAGACTTATATTAATTTCAAACTGTCAAAAACTTGAAAACTAATTATCACCTATACCACCCAGACTGGATCAGCCAGCCCGCATAGCTCAATCGGTTAGAGCGCGAGACTTGTAATCTCGACATTGTGGGTTCGATTCCCGGGCTGGCCAACTAAAATTACTAATCAGTCTTTCGGATGAGACTTTAAATCGAGGTCCTGTGTATGGGTGCTTAAACACTTGGCACGCTAAAGAACCAGGAGAAGCTTCTGGAATTGGGGCATCTTTCTGTATCTGTAATTGCACTATCCTCCAAAAAATAAAATGACTAATACTCTTCTGGAGGACTCGCCCATATGGGCAACCGGTGGCGAGTATAAATAAACGCAAATACACACACCAGACTGGGTATTTTAACTGCTGCTTTGTGTACAAAGTTTCAAAGCAATACCTCAAAGGGTATAGGAAAGAAATGGGGTGGTATGAAAAACTAACCGAAAGTGTGACACAGACGCTGACACCGGCACCAAGGTGAGGAGGATAGCTCTCCCTATTACATAAATATAATAGTCAAGGTAAAAATGGTAACATTTTTATAAATATAATAATGATAACCTTTCTCTGACAGTTCAACGTTGTCTCTCAAGTCAATTTCTGTATCTAAACCAAGGTCCTTCTGTTTTTTAGCTTCTTGTTCTACATATGATCTGTTGAATATAATCAGAAAAGTTATGGCTTTATCATCAAAAAAGGCTTTTACTGTACTGCATAAAGATTAAGGGTTAAAGACCCAAATATTCAGAAATTATTGAATTTTCAAACAAGAGTGCCATGATGGCCCAGGATTGCTCACCTGAGGTTCATACTAGAAAAGGGTAAAGCCAGTAATGAAGTCACATTAGGTTTGTTATAACTTTTCTCTTTAGGTTGCATAACTTTAATTATTTGTAGATGTATGCTACAGAAAGCTTCACGATAAATATCTAGCTCTTGGCATTGTAATTTCACACAAGCACTTATATATTAATTGTTTTTTCTATGTAAGTCTATATAAACTAAGTGACCTTCAAGGTGGCATGATTTATAGAACTTTAGTAGAAGCCACAAGGTGAAGCTTCATGCCAAATACCTAAGCTCCGGGCACTGTCCTTTCTGAGAAGATTTTTAGAGAGCTTATCCTTATAGTCTATTCTAAGCTCCTGTGACCTACTTATACATCAGTCTTGAACCATTTATGTAAATTTTTGCAGATGATCTCCTAAGGATCAATCCTTTAAAGTTTGGTCAAAATCCATCATGTGGTGTAGGAGGAGATGTTGTTTAAAGAAATTGTAGACCACTAGAATCAAGTTTCTAGACTATCTAGCTGTAGAATACATGATATTTAGCTTATTAGATTTGAGTATATTATTCAAGCTCTTGGATGTTTTCACCTTATAAAAACAATTCTAAATTTTCTCATAAATCAAAATGGACCACAATGAAATCAAAGATATTGAAAAATTTATCATTTACACTATTACTATAAAAAAAAATATAAATATATATCTTTCTTGCATATCAGACAGGATTATCTACTGTTTACACCGGTGCTGGAAAAATCTGTCTTACACCCCCATGTAAGACAAGTCTAGTGCTTTGAATGACGTCATTACTGTGCGCCTTTTATGGATGAATTGTGTTCTTAGGATGACGTCCATGAATAAAGTTGTAAATTCATATGCTACTATAAAAAAAAAAAAAAATTAGCTAAATGAAAATATCAGTTTCTTAATTTCTTTTTGTAATATTATTTATTTGTAATATGCAAGAAAAAGAATCAAACACGAGCTGTCTTCACAGACAGGAATATCTAGCTGTCGGTAAACTGTTTAGCAGAAATTCGGCAGAGCCTCATTACCACCGTAAACAGTTACCCTCAAGCTAGATATTCTGGTCTGTACTGGCAGCTGATGTAAGATTCTTATAATGAATGTCTCACCGCTGAACAAAGGCTTCTTTCAAGAGATTTTCATCAAAATTTTCACCAAGTCTTTGTGAAAAGGCAAAGATCTCTGCATCATGACTCCTGTAAATATAAATAAAACACAAGATATCATCTTCACAATAAGCTGCTAAATTTGTGAACTAGTTTTTTAAATTAAAGTGACATTATCCCTATCCATGAGTAAACATCGACTGTTCAGGTAAAATTCAAAGCAACTTTACATTTGTCATATTAAATGTTTACAATTTTACTATGATAATGTCTGGATTTAAAAATAACATTCAATTTATAAGGAATGGGGCAGACTTTTATATTTTAGACAGTTGTAAGTATTTTATCTCAACTTGACAGTGTAAATATCAGCCTAATGTTAGTTAAAGTTAGAGATGCCTTGGGACATAATGTCAAAACAACCTGCCAAAAAAAGTCTCTGAACATGCAATTTTGTTCACATAATTATGCTCAATAAGAATTGTTCACTAACAAAAAAAAAATATATATATATTAACCCATAACTGGCTGGAACCAATAAAAGGTAAGCATATGTCATTAAAATAGAGCCAGGCCAGTTTGGATGCAGTCTGATTAATCTCTATACTGTTTGTTGTTAACTTCAAACTGTTTTTAATCTTGCTATTCTTAAAATTTTATAATCAACAGCTCCAAAAATGACAGCTTGATTAAGTAATAACACATATTAAACAGGTAAAAGTCATCTTAATAATTTTTAACCTGAATATTCATCACTTCAAGTTAACTCTACATTAATAAATGTTAATTTATTTTTAATAAAATGCTCAGTGTTTTCCTTGCCTTATAAATGGCAGACATTGAAAAAGAATGGCCTTGTAAACCTGAACACTTCTAATCACAATGATATTAGTACATTAACTTACATGTTACTAAAATCTGATGATGATAAATCATATTATCTCTAAGTCTTGGCAAAGACTATAAATGACAATAAATTTACAATTACAAAATTCTACAAAGATATTTTACTAAGTCTGTTTCAAACTTCAAAATTAATAAATTCCCTTTTGGGTCTTTCCAGTAACCTCTAGACAGTAAGACAGTAAGACAAACTTGATTTATAGTCGGTTATGGTTAACACTAAACAGTACAAAACATAAGCTTTAAGCTTGTATCCGACATGAACAAAATATAGAAAATAATAATAAGAAACAAAGAAACAAAAATAAACAGACACCATAAGATAATAATACATACAATTAATTTATATAGTCATAGTAATGAGATCTGAGCATTTACAATGAAAATACAATCATATCTATTAAAGGTAGTATAACAGGGTTTTACATATATACAGATACATAGTACATAATTCAAGGAAAAGACTAAATTTATTTACAAGCAAAAAACAGGAATCAAGTAAAATAGAACATAAACAATTAGATGCACATAGAGCAGGCACACTTGTCATTACTCCATGTTTCAATTAGTCGTTTAAACTCATTTAAGTCAGATGTACATCTTAGATCATTAGATAAACTATTCCAGATTTTAGATGCTTCAAAGCGAAAACTCTTTTTACCATAATTGGTTGTGCGTACTTTAGGTACATCTAATGTTTTTTGGTATCTAAAATTATAATTTGATGAACGCACATTAACAAGTTCTTGAACATACTTAGGAGAAATGCTGTTAAGACATTTAAAGACTTCAATAGCGAGTTGTTTAATTCTACTGATATGGAGTGAAGACATATTAGTCAGTTTAAGCAGATCTTCATAAGTTGATGAATAGTCATTAAAAACAATTTTCAGAGCTCTATGTTGAAGTTTTTCCAACTTGTTTGTATTGTCCTTACTACAAAAATGCCAGACTAAAGGGCAGAAATTAAAGTTGGATCTGATAAAACTTTTGTATATAAGAATTTTTGCATCCAGATTAAGTAGAGGACATAGTCTGGTTAATACATTTATTTGTCTTGCTGATTTTTTACAAACATTTGAGATATCATATGAATATCAAAATTTAATAGGGAATCTATTTCAATACCTAGAAGTTTTACATGAGATTCACAAGGAATAGTGGCATCAAGAATCTGGAATTTTGACACATTTTTACAGGTTTGTTTGCCTATACATATAGTCTGAAACTTCTCAGGGTTTGCTTGCATAAGATTGTCTTCAAACCATTTAATCATGACAACACTTTCATCTTGTATTGTGCTTTTGAGAGTTTCCACATTAATATGATTAAATGAGAGGGTATTGTCGTCTGCATAATTATATACAGAACCTTTTTTAATGAAATAAAATATATCATTTAAGAAAATGTTAAATAAGAGGGGACCAATAATTGACCCTTGTGGAACCCCTTTGTTTATTTCATTCCACTCACTACAGATTGTACCTAGTTTTACTTGTTGCTGTCTTATAAACAAATAACTTTGCATGAGATTAGCAGAGGCATCAGACAGACCATAGGCCTTAAGTTTAAGAATAATCAGGTCTCTAATTTCCATTTTTATTAAATTATTTGGTAAAATAAATTCAGAATAGACACAGGTGTCATTGTGTTGTTTACCAGCAGCCATATACAGAAGGATGCCTCTCTTTCTCAGGACCAACTTCTAATCTTCTATGATACAACTCTTTAAGGTATGCAACTTTTCTGCGTGAGATAGCAGTCTCGAGGGCATACTGATGTTTAACTTCACTGTAATGACACTTTGCTGAAATATGAAAATTAGATTATCTATACAAACATGTTTAAAGAAATTTTTTTCACCGACACTTTGGGTGTGAAGCTCAAAATGCATTTAAATTCCAAATAAAATGTACATTTGTCAATCCCAGCATTCTTTACATGTATAATAATTGATGTTAAAGTTTAAAGTTGACTATCATCATGGAGAATAATATCTTCTGTGTCAATGGACAAAAGGATTATGATGGAATAAAATACATGGTGATTTTGAGAGTAGGTGTGTGTATTTTTTCAGGCAAATATTTTTATCTTGTGCATTATTATAGATGTTGAAATATGATTTTTTTTACAAAACATCTTATGTTAAGCGTTTTTGAGTACATGTGATAGGTTTGACAAATATACATTTTATTTGAAATTTATATGTGTTTTGAGCTCCACTATGACTTTTTGGGGGGCTGATTTTATATCACACCAAGGTCAGCTTTACAGGTGGAAAACTGAAAGAAATCCTCAGGACCTCACCGACGATTCCTTAGGCTCGCTGGATATTTCCCTCAATGAAAAATCCCAAGTCCCTGGCTGGATTTGATTTCACAGCAAAAACTAAATATTTAAGGGTGATAAATGGACATTTTCTGTAAAATTTTGAGGTGTGTGGTTTTGATGTGTGAGGTTTTGTCCTACATTCTTCTACCTTTACATGATAACATCATACTGCTTTAAAATCATTTACGATCACTATTAAGCAGGTATACATTGTATACATTAAAGAGACAGCTATGAGATACAAGGGAATCCAGGAACCATTATTGAATAGACCCCTTGGTTCTTTTAAATGCCCAGTGTACAGCACTGATACATGCAAGGATTACCTGGATTTCTTACCAGTACACCTCTAGGTAGGTGGGAAACACTGAAAGTGTCTCTGAAAGATCCCAAGGCAGTGATTTTTTTCACTGTATTTTACAGCCAAATAAAGGCTGTTTCCCCTAGCCCAAAATAGGTATATTTTCCCCTAAAAATTATAATATTTTCCCCTAAAATGCCTAGCGTTCTTCCTTACCTGTAACCAGAACCATGACTTAACACAGAGCTCCAGATAATTTTTTTGGCCAAGGGGTTTTTACCCCTCAAAATTTAGAGTGAGGGGTAAAATGCAAATTCTGAAAAACTTAAGGGGTAAAATCTGTCAAAAAAGCATTTTGCATTTTTTATAAACAAATTAAACTTATTGTTTTTGTTTGTTTGTTTGTTTGTTTATTTTCTTTTTTTTTAGAAAAACCTTTACAAATTAAATACTGATTCAATGTGAAACAATACAAAACATGCCATGTAAAGTCAGACTTCAGAGTATACTGGAACTCAAGTTTAGGATACACAGCAAAATTATCAGGGCTTCCATTTTCAAAATTTTGAAGTCAAAGACTTCAAAATCTCTGATATTGAAAGTCACATTATATAGGTAAAGAAGGAAAAGTATTGATTTTCGGAAGTCACAGGCCAAAATGAAGGAGTAAATGACTCCCAAACTTCCACTAGTGGAAGCCCTGAAATTATTTTATTTTCTAGGAGTCAATTTTTTTCTTTCTTTATTTCTGTTGGCATGTACCTTATCATGTACTCCAGTTTGAACAATTATAGTTGAAATTAGAATTAAAGAAAAATAAACAAGATTTTTTTATCTTTCCTTAAAAAAAAAGTATTGGTCTGAGAGAAAATTGTCCGTAACTGTAGACTGGGTACGAAAATATGAGTACAAAACTGCAGGTGAAAAAACATGTTATTTTGTTCCAACAACAAAAGTGAAAGAAATTGAAATATATTTTTGTTTATATTGAGGCATAAGCATGTCAATAGATGCCTAAACAAACTTAATACTGTGTTAACTCCTACGATGATTATCTGGCACAAATTTTATCAACAATTTCACAGGTTGATCTACATGTACGGGAGTTACCTCCCTTCTGTATTTCCTTAACATGCGTTCTTGACAACTGAATTTTTAGTTTTCAATGCAATAAAATGGAAATATATTGTATTTTTATGCTCAAAACATCTTCTTTCTACATATCAAATGTTTACACTATTATTCTTTCGCGCATAAATTTTGACATACGAGCGTATTTTCATTTTGTTGTGCAAAACTTTGACGCATGAATTTTGAAAGTGATGCTAGTTTTAGATTTTCTATGCGTATTTTACGCTTATACGCACGCTATCTGGAGCTCTGTTAACAGCATCTGACTTACATCAGCTAGAAGACAGAAATCTGTCCCTATAGATAGCTTCTGCTATGTATCATGCATGTTAACTTGAAATGAAATTATTTTTTTTTTATAAAATGTGTTGGTCAATTTCATTTTCAGTTCTTGGAATTTGATTTTAGGTTCCCCCTTTTTCTGATTTAACATTCTATATTTTCCCATTCAGTAAGCCACAGGTTGTTTTGAAAATTGGCGTACATATCATAATTTTAAGACTCATTTCCTAGACACTTTTCATTTGGAGGTGGGGCATTGATCAGCAAACATATTTTTTTCTAATTTATATAGTGGCATACAACCTATATTAATGGTATTTACAACTTGCAAACTTAATGACACCATAAACAAAAGACAGAATGTCAATATTTATTAGCAGTTTTTCTATCTTTTCTAAGTATTTACGTTAATTCAATCAGTCACAGAATAGAATAAAGCTATGTGAAGTAATGACAATGGACCTTTCCGGTGTTTACAGTTTATGTAAATTGGCTAACTTGTTATCCAATCGCTACAGTGAGAAACTATAAATGTGTCCATAGGACGGATGCCCCCACACGCCACTGTTCTGTCAATCTTATGACTCTAAAGGCCATAATTCTGTTAAATTTGGTCGCAGCAAAAATTCCTTCCTTTACTACCATCTACACATTAAGGTTGTTCATCCCTGTAATTTTAAGCAAAATCTGCCATCCGGTTTAAGAGGAGTTGCGTTCACAAAATTTCTACATAGTATATAGTGAAAAAATCAACAAAGGACCATAATTCTCTTCAATTTGGTCGCAGCGAAAATTCCTTCCTTTACTACCACCTACACATTAAGGTTGTTCATCCCTGTAAGTTTAAGCAAAATCTGCCATCCGGTTTAAGAGGAGTTGCGTTCACAAAATTTCTACATAGTATATAGTGAAAAAATCAACAAAGGCCCATAATTCTCTTAAATTTGGTCGCAGCGAAAATTCCTTCCTTTACTACCATCTACACATTAAGGTTGTTCATCCCTGTAAGTTTAAGCAAAATCTGCCATCCGGTTTAAGAGGAGTTGCGTTCACAAGATTTCTGGACGTACGGACGGACGGACAGACGTACGGACTGACGGACGGACAAGTGCAACGCTATATGCTCCCACATTGTGGGGGCATAAAAACAAAGCCACTGGTTGACTTGGTTTGCACAAAAGAACACGTGCTTATTTTTGTGATACTGTTTGTGAGCAGTTGACCTAGCAATGAATGGAAAATGTGTGGCTAAATGTTCCGCTACGAAAAACCGGAAAGGTCCATTTGCCATGTCGTTTACCTGAAACATTCGCTGAATCTTGTAGATTTCATCACCTCATATTGAGCGGTAATTTTCATGGTGTTTGGCCACTAATAACTTTATAACTCCTACGTAGGAGATAAAAAAGCCTAATTAGGAGTTTATAACTCCTATGTAGGACTTTGTAAGTCCTACATAGGAGATATAAAAACCTAATTAGGAGTTTTAAAGTCCTACGTAGGACTTACAAAGTCCTACGTAGAACTTTATAACTCCTACGTAGGAGATAAAAAAACCTAATTAGGAGTTTTAAAGTCCTATGTCCTACATAGGAGTTTAAAAGTCCTACATAGGAGTTTATAACTCCTACGTAGGACTTTATAAGTGTTCCTCTACGTAGGAGTTATAAACGGAAGTTACAAAAGGAGTTATAAACTCCTAATTAGGCTTTTTTATCTCCTACATAGGAGTTACAAAGTCCTATGTAGGACTAACAAAGTCCTACGTAGGACTTACAAAGTCCTATGTAGGAGTTATAAAGTTCTACGTAGGAGTTAAAAAGTCCTACGTAGGAGTTTATAACTCCTACGTAGGACTTTATAAGTGTTCCTCTATGTAGGAGTTATAAAGTCCTATGTAGGAGTTACAAACTCTTAATTAGGCTTTTTAATCTCCTACGTAGGAGTTTATTCTTTTATAGAATGATATGAATTGGTACCAGGACACTTCCGTAGATATTAGTGTAATAGACTAGTTTATAAAAACTTGACAATAAAATTATATAAAAATTATGTAAAATTTCTTGCTTCAAAGTAGATTATTTTAGTTTTTTTGACCGGGACATAAATAATCTACAGGACACCTCTGGGACAGACACCTCATTTCCGGGACTGTCCCGAACATCCGGGACGTTATGGCATGTATGAAATTGGAAAAACAATCACAGCAAGGGCGTAACCCTGGATCGAACACGGGACCACAGGAGTGATAATCAGTGGTTTAACCAACTGAGCTATCCCGCTGTTCTTTACCAACATCCCTCACTGAAAATCCAGGCTGATCCCTGTTTTACAAATTATTTGTCCCAAAATGAATTTCAGACGACTTCCATGCTAGTTTTTAGAAACTCGCAATTTTTTACGGTAAATCTAAAAGCTTTTGGAAAATCAAAAGGTGAAAATACTTACACTGTTTAAGGGGGCATCTGTGCTCCAGTAAAGAAGACAGACAACGTCCGGTATTAAAACTAAGTGCCTTTTTAGTGTGCACACGGGCAAGCGATCCGCAGATAGAAGCCATTTTTTCAAACCGCACATTCGTAAAAATTGTTTGTTTAGAAATATTAAAATAAAACAAAATTACCTCAACAAAACAATTAATATTAAGACCGTGATTGCATTTGGGTTAAAAATGTCCGCTATTATTATCATTTTTCACTTACGTAAATACGGAAATGCGGTCATTATTCGGTCTCCCTAATTACCGACAAGAACCGTCAGGAACCGACAAGAACCGACAAGAAGTAAAAATAGGAAAATACGAATTAATTTCACTTATTCATCATTTAAAAATAATAATTCCTAATATTTTTTACATAAAAAACATAATAAATTCGTTCTGAACCATGTTTATAGGCAAATATCTATACCGACAAGAAGTCAGTCTCAGTTTCTCACCGTCAAGAACTCGGCCATCTTCGTATCATTGATATTACATTAAGAATTTGTGTATAAGTGTTAAATCATAAATTATTTTTATTAAGATTATGTTGTATTATAAATAATAATTATTATGTTAAATGTTTTCTAATTCAATTAAGAATATCATCATTAATGAATGATGATATGAGAATATTCGCGGATACTGACAAGAAATTTTCATTATTGCGTAGGTTTTTAAATGTGTTCAAATAATTTATTGTCAGCCTATATTCAATAAATAATTTTAAAACATTTCGTTGTCATTGATTACAAAATATCCTGCATTTAGGCAATATTTCTGTACCGACAAGAAATGTGTTCATGTCTACCGACAAGAAATGTTTTCATGCCTATAGTACCGACAAGAAATATTATCATGCTTCATGATCATGTTTTCTTTAAAGAGACATTATGTATAGGCAAGATATAACATATTTAATGAAAGTGATCAGTTATAGTTGTTTAAAATAATAGTATTTCATAACTGTATCAAAATATATTTCATATTTAAAGTTGTACATACCTGCCATTTAAATTATCCAATTATAATCCATTTACAATTTTTACACAAATACACCGGTAAAGCATGCAATAAGAATATAGAAATAAAATAAAATAATGGACAAAAACATAAATTAATTCAGTTATTTTATTAGCATATATACATATAACATATTCAGGGCAAAAATTTTTTTTTCAAGTACAAATTTCAAAATAGATTGCTCAAACAAAATTGATTGATATTACTCAATTAAAGCTTGTGCGCGTGTGTTTCTCACTCAGTTAGCTTTGAGCGATTTAATTTAATCAAAGCTGTGAAAACTTTAAGCGTGTATTGCGCTTGTTCATAGCAAAGGCTTGGTGTGAAAAGGTGCGAAAACAATTTCGAAATGAACAGCTGTGAAAGAAAGAGATAATTCGTACATTGAACAGAACAGAACAAAAACTTTATTACTTGGTTTAAGCATAAAAAGCTCATCACCATATTAAATATACAAATACAACATATAATACATAAATGACACATGACATTAATATATATAATTACAAAATAATGGTTTATGCACATGTGATGTGAGAATGTTTAATTTGAGACGCGAAGTTACTCAAAAAGCATATGAATACATATATAATACACAAAAAAAGTTAAAAATTTCTGCAACCTCTGCCCGTAAGTTTTATGATAATAAAATATTAAAACCTATAGTAGGGATATCTGTTTATTTCTTTACTTCTAGTGGAGAAATGAACCACAACCTAATGAGACCTGTGGAGGGGTCGAAATAGGTTTCAATGTTTTTTCATTAAACAAATACAAGCGTTATAATGCATAACATCACATCTTTGTACGTCACGATGTCCGTCTTTTCTTCTCAGTGGTGAGAATTAAGTCATCATCAATTTCTTCAAAAACTGAAAAAAAAGTACAAAAGAAAGATTATATACATGTTCTTTCACTACAGCTCGTTCTCAATTTCTTGTCGGTAAATCTTCATTACGCATGATCCCTGTTTTTTTTCTTGTCGGTAATCGGTTTGTTAAAATATATTTTAAAACTAAATGGAATAAACACAAATATTTTTTTCTTATATACATTAAAATATGAAAGTTTAAAGTTATCTAATTACAAAAAAGATTATAAACATGTTCTACATCGACACTACAGCTCGTTCTCAATTTCTTGTCGGTAAATCTTCATTACGCATGATCCCTGGTTTTTTCTTGTCGGTAATCGATTTGTTCAATATATTTTAAAACTAAATGGAATAAACACAAATATTTTTTTCTTATATGCATTAAATATGAACGTTTAAAGTCTTAAAAGTTATTTAATTACAAAAAAGATTATATACATGTTCTACATCTACACTACAGCTCGTTCTCAATTTCTTGTCGGTAAATCTTCATTACGCATGATCCCTGGTTTTTTCTTGTCGGTAATCGATTTGTTAAATATATTTTAAAACTAAATGGAATAAACACAAGTATTTTTTCTTATAAGCATTAAAATATGAAAGTTTAAAGTGTTAAAAGTAATTAAATTACAAAAAAAGATTATATACATGTTCTTTCTACACTACAGCCCGTTCTCAATTTCTTGTCGGTAAATCTTCATTACGCATGACCCCTGGTTTTTTCTTGTCGGTTGCATATACATTCATGCAATGTCATGAAAAACTATTTTATGACTACAAATAAGGTTGAAACATGTTTATAAGATATTCTGACCACAACTTTTGCAACTGATTATATTATTTATATTATATTGACAATAAAAAATCTTTCTTGTCGGTGTCAACGTAACAGTAACAGTATGCGTTGCACTCGAATTTTTCTTGTCGGTACACATATATTTCATTTTCTATAAAAATACAAGAAAACACTTATCAAATATGAAAAATATATATGCCCTGCATGTTTAACAACCATAAAAACACATCTGTACTTGTTTATTTGTAATATATAGGCTCTTGTCGGTTCCTGACGGTTCTTGTCGGTAATTAGGGAGACCCGTCATTATTGAATGTGACCTTTTAAAAATTTGTGAAAATGAGATTGTCAATGACTTTAAGAATATTTTACCCTAAAAAGAAAATATTTCCAGGTTTAAAATACGAAGGGTTTGTATTCTATTTGACTTAAATTATATTTTATGACGCCAGTGTTATTTTCTATATATTATGTAAATATCACATGTTTTCGCGACAACAAATATTTTGATGTGTCGACGTAATAGTCCAATATATTAGACGTTACAGGCTTGTTATAGTTTATTTCGGTCAAGCCTGACGTCTAATATTAATTAAATTCTAACAACCTAAATTTCAACTGAATTTAACATGCATGGTACATAGCAGAGGCTATCACCCCTCACATTCTAATCCGCCATTAGGCATTAGGGGCCTAGCTACAATTATCCACTTCTTCTTCTTCTTCCAATACTGTACATAACCCACTCTGGAGCATTGACGTACAGGGTGTATGTACAAAGTGTTGTGCGGCGAATAAGTGCAGATTTAAAAGAAGAACATGTTAAAAATAAAATCGACTCCGGCATATTAGGGCCCCATGACTAGTCCTCCCTTGAAGGCCTCAAGGTTGACTGCTGTGGCTAGGTGCTCTGGAAGCTGGTTCCACTAGTAATATCCAAGGCTGTGCCGGCCGCAGCCATAGTACTTGGAAAGGTTTGGGTTGAAGAGGCGAAATGTAGCTGGCCAGACTTTTTGTCTAGATCTCTTTCTTTTGACCTATCCAACCTCTTCTAACTTTCTATCATTTCTTGTATATTTCTTTACTTGACCTAGCGCCACCCGTCGCATTATAATCAAGTGTGATTGCACCGACATACAATGTAGATCTATAGCTGATATTAGTCAGATGTTGTTAAGTGGAGAATGTGTACAGGGCATTTTATGGGAAAATATTAGTATTTTTAGGGGAAAATATACCTATTTTAGGGGTATGACTAAATGCCGAATATGAATTCATATTCACGAATATGAAGAGAATACCGAATATGAATATTACTTTCATAAAATTTTGGCATAGGGTCAAATTTAAACCATAGTGAATATTTATTACTTGAAAAATTAAAGGATAATTAGTATATTTTATAAGCGTTGTTTTTATATGCATGTATACATTATCAAATTAATGTTCATATTTTGTATTCTTGTCATTTTGGTATCTTTCTGGTCACAATAATTTGCAACCAATGCATTAAATTCATTTAATTTCATTCAATGACATGATGCAAGTATATAATATTAGTCTTTGTTTACGAAACTATTTCAGACAAAGTTCATTTATATCTATTTAATATTCATATTCGGTATCCTTGTTCTTATTCTGTCACAAATATGAATTAAATCTTTACAGTACTGTAAAGCTAGTCACAGTAACTAAATTACTTAGCAATTTAAACTGTCATATATGTTAAAACAAGGTTTCATTTCAAGTTATAGTTTGAAATATTTATTTCTATACTTTTGTGAGCTATTTTATATACTGTTTAAATAGTAAGGTTCATTTTGGTCATTCACGTTCAATTCGGGTTACTTTTTGGTCACAGTAATTAATTTACAACCATAGGATCAGAATTTATTTTTTTTCATTAAATACATATAATACAAGTATTTTATAGTCTCTGTTGACTTAAGTAATCCCATAAGAGCTGATTTTAAGTAAATCATATTCATATTCGGTACTCCGGTTCATATTCGCGAATATGAATTCATATTCGGTATTTAGTTATACCGCTATTTTAGGCAAGGGGAAACAGCCTTTATTCGGCTGTAAAATACAGGGGAAAAAATCACTGGGTGCATGGGCATTTATTTCGTTAAAAAATATTCCGTTAGAAACTTCTGACTCATTTAAATGCTTGCATTTGAATTAGCCAATCAGATTTCTTGCACTGTATGGCAGGGTGTGAAAGGAATTTATTACATGCTTTTCGATGGTTTATAGAAATATATCAGTGAGTTAAAAACTGGTAATTTCTCTGTTTGAAACAGTGAAATTATCGATTTGATAATTTCACTGTTTTGAATATTTGAGCCCAGTACGTTGTTTCAGTGAAATACAAGCGTTCACAGTACTCGAAACCTACTTAATGACGTGACATCGTAAATGACGTCACGTTGTATTATTATTTGGCGCCCTTTTCATTTAGTATTAAGTTAAAATGTCTTTTTAAACGTTTCTTTGCATATAATAAAAAGAAAATTTGTTTAGTTTAATGTAAGATCGAAATATATTTCACCTCGTGAACACCAAAAGTTCATATTTCACTCGTGGCTGCGCCACTCGTGAAATATACCTTTTGGTGCTCACTCGGTGAAATATATTCTGATCTTACACTGAACTAAACAAATATCCTCTATTTAATTAAATGAGAGGATTTAATCAGGGCCGGCAAAATCTGATTTTGACACTCTTTTCCGTTTTAATGTGAAGCATTTTTTAACTTGTCCATATGATATTTACATAGTTTATTCTTGAAAATTTTCACTTGTCCGCTTAGGCTGTAGGACAACCTGGGCAATACGGACAATTGATTTTGCCGGCCCTGATTTAATTATGATTTTTATCATTTTTTATTATTTTTAAAGAATTTCGGGCATATTATATTATACCCCCTGGCGTCCGTCCGTCCGTTAGCAATTTGGTTTCTGGAGCATAACTTAAGTTCCATTTGGCCCACAATATTCAAAATTCATAGGATGATTGTCCATATTGGGTAGAAGACCCCTATTGATTTTGGGGTCACAAGGTCAAGGTCACTATGACCTTAAAACTGAAAACAGTTTCCGGAGCATAACTTAAGTTCCATTTGGCCCACAGTGTTCAAACTTCATAGGATGATTGTCCATATTGGGTCGAAGACCCATATTGATTTTGGGGTCACAAGGTCAAAGGTCAAGGTCACTATGACCTTAAAACTGAAAACAGTTTCCGGAGCCTAACTTAAGTTCCATTTGGCCCAGAGTGGTCAAATTTGATAGGATGATTGTCCATATTGGGTTGAAGACCCCTATTGATTTTGGGGTCAAAGGTCAAGGCCACTATTACCTTAAAACTAAAAACAGTTTCTGGAACATAACTTAAGTTCTATTTGACCCACAGTGTTCAAACTTCATAGGATGATTGTCCATATTTGGTTAAAGACCCCTATTGATTTTGGGATCACAAGATCAAAGGTCAAGGTCACTATTACTTAGAAATTGAAAACAGTTTCTTGAGCATAACTTAAGTTCCATTTGGCCCACAATATTCAAACTTCATAGGATGATTGTCCATATTAGGTAGAAGACTCCTATTGATTTTGGAGTCACAAGGTCAAAAGTCAAGGTCACCATTACCTTAAAACTGAAAACAGTTGTCAGAACATAACTTAAGTTTCATTTGGCCCACTGTGTTTAAACTTCATAGTATGATTGGACATATTGGGTAGAAGACCCCTATTGATTTTGGGGTCACAAGGTAAAGGTCAAGGTCACTATTACCTTAGAACTGAAAACAGTTTCCAGGGCATAACTTAAGTTCCATTTGGACCACAATATTGAAACTTCAAAGGAGGATTGTTTTTTGAAGGAGGTTATACTTTATTTAATTCCCATGTCTTACAAATGCTTCATCTTTACTAAAAAAAAATCACCTTCAGGCATGTAATGCTCCGCCTAGCGGTGCTCTTTTTTAGGATGTGACAGTTTAATTATTTTGTAAAAAGGTATTTTTTTTACTTTTGTTCACAAATACAAATGTACTAAGCATACATACGAATAGTTCTGGCTTCAAAAACTTTATAAGCCGCTTTTTAACATTTTTGTTTTTTAAATGGTGCGGCATTAAAGTTTTTGATTAGACCCGTTACGAAACCTCATCAGAATAACATACGGTGATTTAACCTTATCTTTACACTTGCAAATATCCAACATCTGTGTTCTATAATAGACATATACTAGATTAATGTTCCAAAGCTATTCAAAGTACATAATTTATAGAATATAATTTAATACTTGATCAATGTGTTTAATTACAGAAAGAATCAGAAAATAAAGCCAATCAAAACTTCACACAAGATAGCAGCTGTCAATAAGATGATGATGGAGGAGCAGAATCTGAAATACATCAACAATCCATATCTCTCATCAGTGAGTAAAAATTCTATTTTTTTCTAAAATTAACAAACTTAACAGTGCTCTCATAGCCAGAGTAAATGTAAGAGTACTTAGCCAGTGGTGAAGTATTCCTTAGTACATTTAATTTCAATTAATTGTAGGACAAAAGCCTCCCCATTTAATGTGTAGATACATGTACATGCTTTTATCTGCTTTCCAATTTCAAAATATCTGATTTTTTTGGTTGTACAGATGTGACAGTAAATTTGTCAGTGGTTGAGAATTCTGCCTTGCACTTATGCTGAAGGCGAGCTCTCTTAACTTTTCCCTGCTCAGTTAGTTTTTTCTTGAATGATGTGGTTGTTAAGGAATATGTAATGAGAACAGTCCTTATTTGTTGCCAAAGTTGTGATGTTGTATTGAAATCAATTGAGTCCCTCAAATATTATAATGTTATATTGAATCAGTTGAGTCAGTTTTATATCTTCAAACTTCATATACCGTAATATTCCTATTAAATGCCCCCGGGGGCTTAACATTTTCAAAAAGGGGGGCTATTATTACAACACAGTTTATCCTAAATCCAAAAATCACTGTAAAAACATTTAGTGTTAGCAAGTGTTTGTAATAACATTAAAAAGTGTTAAGGTATTGAAGTTCATATTATACATATTTGTGTTTACTATAAAAAACTATGGATTCTGAATGATTTGAATAAAATTATGGCTTTAATTATGAGTTCAGCACTGAAGAGTAGATAGTTTTCCTTATCAAAAAGGCCTTGGGGGGCCTTTATTAGGGGAGGGGCGTTTATTAGGAATTTTACGGTATGTATATCTTATCATCACTAATATCATATGTTACTACATGCAGGTAAATACTCTAGCACCCATATTTTCAGAACTGTCTCCCCTTTAATTAACATTTAAATTGTTATAGTTTAATGTAATTTTAAGATAAATTATAGTCAAATATATGTTTATCATTTTTTTTTTTGGTTTATTTATTATTTGATGTTTCAATTATACAAATTATCTCTTAGTATGGGGAGATCAGTTTGTTTGCTGTGTGACTAGGTTAAATATTCATATTTTGATTCTGGAGTTGACCTGATGGTCAGGTAGATAAAGGTAGGAAAATAAATGCAACAAATGTTAATATATTAAAAAAAACTAAAATCATTTTATATATTTTATTCTAAAATTATCTATTATTTTGCTTTCTTGTAGATAGAAGAAAATATTTATGGAACACATTTTCGAAGTAAGCAGCAGAGGACACAGGCCTTCTTTGAGAAAATGAGAAAACCATTTTTCCCAGACAAAACAATAGAGGACCATTATATAAACTCTGTATATAAACAAAGTAAAAAATGGGAATGATTTGATGCTGTATTGACATGTGATATGTGATAGTGATATATTTACATTGTATCAGAAATGAAGGTCATATTTTACTACAAAGTTGTTAAAGCTTCACGCTTCCAGATGAGCCAAAATATTTCAAGAAAATCAATATTTAGAAAAATGAACTAACATTTTTAAGAAAGGTAAAAACATTCAAGATCCAAGTTATATTTACATGTTATGTGCTGTTAAAGACTGATTTTGCGGTATTTTATCACCATATTTCTTCTGCGTTAATAACGCAATATGGGCTGTTTTTGCATATGTTGACCATCTTTAAGTAATTTTCTTGGATTGTATGTGCCAATTACAATATGTAAATTACGTTATTTGTTCACCTCACAATATTTTTCTTTTAAATACATTTCTAAAATTTTCATGATAATTGACTTGAATCTAGAGACGTGCTACTTGAACATGCACAAGGTCTCATTAAGAAGGTGAGAAAATAAATGTTGAGAAAATAAGACAAACTCATTATACTTGAAGTGAATATTGTCAGTGAAAGGTTATTGCTAGATGGAGTTTTATTTCTTTGTTCATTAATTCTCATCGCTAACTCTTGACTCAATTTTTATAGAGTTAAAGAAGAAATTGAGCTATGTCTTTTATAAACCAGCATCTTAGGGTTCTATATATATATTAAGAACAGTTTAAAACTTTGTTTCATATCTTTCATTTGAGCTGAATTGAAGTAATCATGTACTGTTAAGCCCGTGCTTTTTCAACACAATGTCAGTTAATATTCATAAAACAGAAAAATTTAACTTTTCATTATTAATATAAGGAATTCAATTATATAAAAAAGACATGAAAAATATAGATCATTAACTTCCAGTTGTTTTGTTCTGATTTAGCCTGTCCTTTCTCAATTTATATAATTGGATGTCATGGTTGTGAGCAAATGTTCTATTGTGATTTTCAGAAAATGGACACCATGTCAATCATTTTATAATTCCCCCCCACCCCTTTTCAACCTGTCACACTTTGTGTCTGATTCTTCAAAACAGGAAATAAAGCAATGCCACAAAACCAGCTGTTTTCAATTTTTAGCTCGACTATTCGATAAGAATAAGTAGAGCTATTGTAGTCACCCGAGCGTCGGCGTCAGCGTTGGTGTCCGTGTCGGCGTAACCACTTATGTTAAAGTTTTTGTAATAGTTCAAATATTTTCAGAGTCCATTGACATATGGCTTTGAAACTTTGCACACTTGTTCACCATCATGACCTCAACCTGTAGATAGGAGGAGGTAACTCTATCAAGCATTTTGACAGAATTATGCCCCTTTTTCAACTTAGAATTTACGTTAAAGTTTTTGTAATAGTTCAAATATTTTCAGAGTCCATTGACATATGGCTTTGAAACTTTGCACACTTCGTCGCCTTATTTCTAGAGGGACGTAACTCGATTTTTTGGCAAAATGTCATGTTTGGTATCGTTGGATTCGTAATTTCAAGCTATACAAGATGGGCCGACTAACACCCATGTAGAACTAATAATAAATACGCTATATTCCGTTCCAAGAAGACGTAAGTCCGTTTAAACACATAATTTGATTTCCAAAAAGTCGTAAACTCAACAACCAATGGGAATGGCCGATTTCACTCTAAACGGTGCTAGGTACAATTTTCACTTGCAAAAGTATCCATTTTTGAAAGCTGCATTGTAAAGTTAAACATGATTTTCATAAAGTTATGGGAATTATTTTTAATAGAAAATGTAAGTATAAACTAAAAGTACTGTTTTATTTCAGGAATTTCTTACAGCGGTGTTTTAAAATGTTCTGATTTACACCTGTTCCAATGGTTTAGTGAATAGACATATTTCGGATGCACACTGTATTTGGACAAAGTTTGGATTGTGCAGAAAAACATCCCCTTGAACCATTCAGTGTGTTATGTTTTAACTTTTCTTGTCACCATTTACATTATGTATGCACAGATAAATAGTATGTAACATACATTCCAAGTAAATGTGTATCCACCTATCTTATATTTTAACACGTTGTGTGCCCTTTCTGCTGGGAAATCAGTCACCAAACCAGTTAGATGTTTTAACAAGTCCTTCTTGGTTTGATGTTTAAATTTTATTTTTAAAGCTGCCATACTGTTTTTGCTGATCACATTGTATATTAAACCCATTGGGACCTTTGTTTGCGTGCCAGTATGGACGTGCGCAGTTCTTTCATAAAGACTGTTCTAAAGATCAAACATGATTATTTTTTATAACTTTTTTTCTTGTTGATCACTATGATTTCTGAATATTTCAAATACCATAAATTGCATATTTTCAGGAGTGCAAGGATTCAAGATCTGCCTAGTGAAGTATTGGTGAAAATATTCCAGTTTTTACAACTTGAAGATCTATTAAGAACCGGTCAATCGTGTCTGTGTTCTCTTCTACAATCTAATTGAAAATTCTGCTGTTATTGTGGAAAGAAATTGACTTCTCACACTCACTTGAAACTGACAGCAAACAATTTGTATCAGGTGCTTCGACATTCTAGGAAGACAGAAACATTGTTACTACCCCACATACCATTGTGCTGTGCAAATTAGGAGACAGCCTAAAGCATCTGTGTGAATCGTCGTACAATGGCAACCGGCCAGTGAACTCTGAGTCGTTGTTGTAGGTGTAAATGCCTTGAGTTTCTGATCAGCGAACGATCTAGATACAAGAAGAAACGAGCATGGAACTGAACTGCTGCGCATGCGTTGATGCTAATTCCTGTCCTTATTTCCGGTGCCGTACCGTACCGTACCACACTCCTCCCCATTCTATAGAAAAAGGTCTAGGTTTGAATACTTCCAGTTTTAAGGGCAGACTAACGCCGCTCAAAGTCATCCAAGTTGAGGTACAATTTTTTCCTTTTAGTCTATAATTAAGACAATAAATGCTCCGCTTACGCTGAGGCAACTTCCTTAAATTTACATGTCGTCGATAAGCATGGACAAACAAAGCTCCGCTAAACGCTGAACTTTTCTGCAACCTTATTCTATAGAGAGTACAAATCCTGTCCATTGCGAGTAGTCAGCCTCATTGTTTCCGGTAATGAAGTACCTCTGTGTTTGCTGACCACATCACCAATGTCTCCCAGAAAAGCTGGTGTGCTTGCTTTGGCTGCATTCTTTTTGAAGTAAGGGGCATCTGTCTCCAGCAGAAGTCTGTTGTCAGGGACCCTTTGGAGGGCAGCAACCTGATACTTGTCGAAATATGTTACTCGGTCGCTAAATCCAAAGTAACAGTTAGGAAATGCCTCTAACCAGCCAACGACCTGTTCCACAGTTCCCCCAAAAGAGTGTAGGTGGATCTTCTGCGTAGGGGCTGTATTAGCCTTCATTATTTGAAGACATTTGGCGCTTACCTCCCCAGCATGTTGGTCTGTTCCATCCCGCATATGTAGAATAACTGGGCGAACCGGCATGCTAAATTGAAGTAAACGCACCATGGTCTTCTCCTGCAGATCCCAAGACATTTCTGGCTCCGTCCTGTCAAGCCCTATCTCTCCAAGTGCAACAACATTGCAGGACATAAGGAAGCTTAATAGTTTCTGATAGGCAGAATCAGAGAGGAGGTGGCATTTCTTTGGATGAACTCCCACGGCAGAACCAAACCCTTTTTCACTTGGCAGCTTTTCTGGAAATGTCTCCGGGTCACAGAAGACCATAACTCCACCAATTACTTTCACGGATGTTTTTGGAAGAACTCCAACTGACGCCTTGATAAGGTCGGCTACCGCCTCCCTTGGATTTCCATATAGGACCTTGCTCAGCCTATCTGCATGAAAATGAGAGTCAAATGCTTCCAGGTCATTAGACGGGCTGGCCATTGAAAAATTGTCTTCAAAGCCCACACTGTCCACAACCCGGAAATCTTCCTCGCTGCACTCCACTGTGATGGGGTTACTTGTGTTACCCTGCTTGAATAACAGGCGTTCCTCTTCGGTGACATGGTTTAACAGCACTAACAAGACTCTCCAGTGAAACAACAATGCTTCACAGTTGATTGGCACTAACGAAAACCTTCTAGGCTGTCTCCACCGTTGCCTTCTGCAGGCTTTCTCTAGCCATTTGAAATCTGTATCTGGCACAAATGTGTCCACTGACATGGCTCTTTGACTGTCCACCCACCTTAACAAATCACTAAAGGTAGCCTTCTCTCCCAGAACCTTGCATTTAAGAAACATCAGCAACTCTATCCTCTTGTTGTGAAGAGAGCTATCAGCTAATGCATTCTCCTGGAAAGCCTTTGGAAGATGCTTCTCCATAGCGTGGCGTCTTATGTTGCGAAACATACTCTTGCAGCTTGCAATTACACAACTCTTCAAGCGCACTTTTCCACGACTTGCCTCTTGTGGGGGACTAGATCCTCTTTTTTGTCTTTTCCTGTCCAAAGTAGCCCTCAGATCTGATTGTGCCACTAGAGACCGAGATAGTTCTCTGTCAACCAGTGGTGGCATTTCTACAGGTAGACCCCTAGGAGACCGTAAATCCCTGTCCCCTGGAGCCTGGAAGTTGGACTCGTCAATAACCTCCCTGAGGTTGTCAATAACTTCCTCTGTGTGAGCAGTGGACCGGGCATCAGCATTCCTGTCCTCAGGCTCCTCGTCCGATATTATTATCGGCTCAGGCACTGTTAACAGTGCATATGTCTCTTCCTGCTTGACTGTCACTGTCAAACCGGGTTCCGTTGTGGGCTCCTGTTTGACAGTGACCACCTCCTCATGCACGACTTGTAATGACGGATCTGTACCCAAGCGTACATCTTTAGTCATTGTGCAAGAGGGGATGGCACTTGTTTGCTGTCGGCGAGTTGGTGGGCGGTAATCAATATTCTCCTTCATCCACTTGTCGCTCTGATGAAGAGAAACACACGCCCTGAACTCCTTCATCCACCCGATCTTCTTCTTTTCCTTAGCCAACTTATATTGGCCAAGAAGAGTCTGTTGGATCTTGTCGTTTTGTTTAGCCGACAGAAATGTGTGAAGACGCGTAACCAATTCCCTTGGGGACGCCCACAGTCTGCCTTGGTCGTTCCAGGTCAATACTTCCTCCAGGGGCGTCTGGAGTTTCACCAGATTTGGTGGCTGGTGAAACTGTTTCCATGGTCTGCGCGGACTTCTCCTTGGCGAGTCTGAACTTGAAGACGTCGGTGTTTGTGAACCCTCCGCCATTTTCTGGAAAGTAAAGAATAATATAAGTAATATACATAGGCAATGTCAAACACTGCCCACCCTGTATTAATCCCTCATGGCTCTTGTGCATTTTGGACAGATGTACTCCTCTATGTCTTTGACATCATCTTCCGTGAGGTTGACACATTCGCCATGAAACCATTCATCGCAGGTATCACATTGCACCATAAACTGGCCAGTGTCTGGCCCGTTACAGATGCAAAATAACTCTACCGCTGACTGATCCTCCTGCTTGGAGAGCTCTGACGACGTCAGCTGTCTTTGAACCCTCTTAACCCAAGCAGGTAAAGCCGTTATTTTGCAGGGCTTCATCCTGTCGTGATTTGTCGTCACTGATTCTCTTTGCAATCTTATCTTATATAGATAAGGAGAAATTCTGACCTCCACAACCGCTGGCCCTTTCCAAGGGGGACCAAGTTTACGACTTTGTCCTTTAACTGTTGCAGCATTCAAAATGTATACAACATCCCCAACCTCAAATTGTCTCTTGTGAAGTTTCACGTCATAGTGTCTTTTCATGGTCTCGACACTAGTTTTCAATGTTCCACGAGCGGCTTCATGAGCAGACCCTAGACTGTTCTGGAGACGTGTCACATAATGGTCAGAATCCAGGACTTCCTCATACATACTGGGGAAGATGAGGTCAGCAGGCATATTAACCTCTCTTCCAAGCATCATCATGTTCGGTGTATAACCCGTATGACGGTTTACACTTGCCCTCAGTGCTCCTGCTATTTGTGGAAGCAGCCTATCCCATGAGCCTTGATTTTTTCCCACAAAGCATCTAACGGCGTCCATCAGGGTCCGGTTATATCGTTCCACCTGACCATTGGCTGACGGCCGATAAGCTGTTGTCCGGCTTTTATGAATCTGCAGCAAATCACAGACCGAAGAAAAGAGCTTACTTTCGAAATTACTTCCTCTGTCTGTAAAGATCTGCAGAGGGCAACCAAACCTGGAGAAGAAACCATTCACTACTGCTTGAGCTGTCTCCTCCGCTGTTTGTGATGGTAGTGGGAAGCACTCAACCCATTTTGTAAACTGATCGACTACCATCAGTACATATTCATTTCCCCTGACAGTTTTTGGAAGTGGTCCCAAGAAATCTAAATGAACACGCTCCAAAGGTGCTCCAGCATGAAATTTGGACATTTCCCATTTAGCCTTTCGAACTGGCTTCTTCCATTTATTGCATGCCGGACAGGTCGCTACGTACTGCTTTACATCTTTGGAAACGCCATGCCAATAATACTTTCTCTTAACTCTTGCTAATGTCCGGTCCTCCCCTTGATGACCAGATGCAGGAATGCTATGACACAAGGACAGGACTTCATCTTTAAGGGTGTCTGGTATAACCAAGCGAGTTGTGCTAGATTTTAGATCTTTCTTCCAGACTAGTCCATTCTTTAACATGAAACAATCACGGTTGACCCAATAAAACTTGGCTTTCAGTCCAGCTATAAATAACTCTCCTTCCGCTGGTTCGGCTTTAGTGCCCAGCCATATGACTAAGAACTTCATATTAGGGTCATCGCCTTGGGCCTTTTGCAACCTTTGAATTTGAAAATCCCAAGCTTTCGGAGTAGGGTCAGTCTGGTCAGTAGTTACCTCCTGAACCTTGTCAATTGTAAGGACCAGCCCAGCTTGTCCTGGCTCTAGCTGTGTCTCAGTGTCATTGGTGTACAGATCTACATCTTTAAACATTTGTAGGTCATGCTCTTCCACTTCAGCATTACATATTTTACGGCCGAGAGACACAACATCATCCACAGTCTCCTCGAAACCTCGCCATTCCTTGTGTGCTTTGGCACAATATTTACAACCTCCACAAGGCAAATCCTCAAGCCTAGTGTCTGCTTTATATTCCGTACAAGGGGAGATTGATGATGAGATCCTTGACAGAGCATCAGCATTTGCATGTTGTTTCCCAGGTCTATGAACTAAGACCATATCATACAGGCTAAGCTCCTCCAACCACCTAGCTATTTGTCCCTGAGGCTCCTTGAAGTGTAGTAACCATGTCAAACTGCTATGGTCAGTTCTAACCTTAAATGGTTTCCCCAGGAGATAATGTCTGAATTGACGGGTAAACCTCACAACTGCTAATAGTTCCTTCCGGGTAGTGCAATAACGTCTTTGCTGCGGGGTAAGGGCATAGGAACCGTAAGAAATAACTCTTTCTGTTCCCTCCTGCTGTTGATATAATACCCCGCTTACCGCTACATTCGATGCATCCGTATCCAGTATGAACAGATCTGTGGTATTAGGAAGACCAAGTACTGGTGGGTTTGTTAGTGCATCCTTTAAATCATTGAATGACTTCTCTTGAGCTTCAGTCCAGACAAATGGTTTTTTCCCTGTAATGTTATACAGTGCAGAGGCCCTAAGAGCATAGTCTGGTATGAATGACCTATGATAGTTAGTTAAACCCAAGAAACTTTCAACTTCCCTGGTACATGTCGGTCTGGCCCATTTGCTAACGGCATCAATATCAGCCTTTCCAATCTCTATCCCATCAGGCCCGACCATACGTCCCAGAAACTCGACCTTTGTCCGAAAAAGAACACACTTCTTCGGTTTCAACTTAAGCTGGTAAATCCGGAATCTGGTAAACACATCTCTCAAATTTCTAAGATGATCACCAAAGTTTTTCCCCAAAGCCATCAAGTCATCCAAGAAAGAGAGCACGGTGTTCCAATTTAAACCATGAAGGACTAGGTTCATTGCCCTTGCATAGGTAGCTGGTGCATTACAGAGACCGAAAGCCATCCGTACAAACTCATAAAGACCGTATTTTGTGATAACTGCTGTCTTTTTTCTGTCCTCTGGTTTTACACGGATCTGCCAGTAGGCCGAATTTGCATCTAACTTCGAGAACCATTTATGTCCTGCCAGCATATCCATGCAGTCTTCTATCAGCGGAAGTGGATAAACATCTTTTACAGTAACCGCATTAAGAGCTCTGTAATCCACACACCAGCGGACATTCCCATCCTTCTTTCTCACCAGCACCGGAGCAGAAGCCCAATCTGATGCTGAAGGTTCTATGACGCCAGCTTTAAGCATTTTTTGCAAGTGCGCCTCTTCTTCGGCAGCAAATCCCATTGGTGTGCGTCGCATTCTCTGTTTCACAGGTTTGGCATCACTTGTGTCAATACTGTGTTCCACAGCTGTGAAATTTCCCAAGTCAAATTCGTCTTTAGCAAATACATCTTCGAATTCGATCAACAATTCCTTGACCCTTCGCTGCTGTTCATCATCTAGATGTGTGATCGATCTCTCAAACAGGTCTAAAAGATGTGCAGGCAAATTCTTGGAAGAGTCTGAACCACCTATGTCTGCTGAAACTTTACAGACAATAAGCTGTTCATTCATATCATTTGGCACCGGTTGAACAACATTAACCTCCTGGGCGACGGCTATTTGCTGGCCAGCTTTCAGTTTGAGATGAAAGTCATTCAAATTTATTAAGCAAACCACAGGATTGGTGCCTCCTTCATGTAGGGTGCGTGCAATCAGAAGTTCACCATTATCCATTGACTCTAGACAATAGGCATTCTCTTGATAACTTACGTCACATGCGAGTCTTGTGATGGAGTTTGGTGGAATTGTGGAAGATTTGCAAACTTTCACAGCTGAAATTTGAATATCCCCTTCCGGCTTTAATTCATTGATTATGCTTGTCCCTAATCGCAAATATTCTTCCGGCAAGTTGATTAAAGCTTCCGCTTTCCTGAGAAAATCCAGGCCCAACAACATGTCATCATGTATTGGAAAAATATAAAAGTCTTCCCGGTATTTGTTTTCTTTAATGGTTATATCAAAGGGACCAGCAACAAATCCTTTCATTGTTAACTGTCTGCCGGCTGTACGTAAGTTGACATCCTTGATTTTACTTGGTCTGTCAGATAATTCATGGTAAACTTTGTCCGAAAGAAGTGTTACCTCTGCAGCTGTGTCAACAACAGCCTTCAGACTTAATCCATTAACTTGCACCGGAACACGGAACATCGAGTCTGACTTTATCCTGCATACTGATAAAGTCTCAGTTACAGTGTCCTGTACAATATCACCAGTATCTTCTTCTCCCTTACTTCCCTCATTGCGATCCGCCACAAACTGATCGCTTTCAGCTGAAGTAATGGTTTCCCCTTCCCTGTCTTGATGAAAAGGATGATCCGCCATGTGCTGATCATCTTCAGCCATCAATTCCCAAGTCACTTGTTGATCCGCTTTAAGCTGATCAATTGGAAATAGGCCTTCATCAGTAGAGGTCGAATTTAGGCCTTTTCGCCCGACCCCTGCAAGTTTAAATCCTCAAGATCATCCCCACTGTCTGCATTTTCGAGGAATTGGACCTTTTTATCCTCTGTTGTTAGCTTTTCCTGTTCTTTAATCTCCGTTTTAGGCCTTTCTTGGTTTTGTAATTGAGGACAATCACGACGGTAATGATTGCCTTTGCATGCGAAACATTCCACCTGTCCACGTGATCTTGGAGATGTGGACCGGCCTCGTTCAACACGTTTGCATAAAAAATCAAGCTTTGATAATATTCTTTCCAATTTCTTGTCCATATCCCCTACCTTGCTTTCCAGCTGATCAAGTCTGGAATTGACAACAGAGGGTTTGACAACATTGCTTATCTGAGGATCTTCTTGGCTGATTTGTCTCACTGTTCTCTGCTTGCCATGCATAGCACTATGGGTATGGATAGCCCACTTCACCTGGTCAATTGCCTGATCCATAGACTTTGGTCTAGCGTTTGCTGCTATTTCACCAGCCTCTTTATCCGCACACCCATGGCAAAAGCGAAGAACCGCTTGTGACCACATGTAGTCCTCGGGCAGGTTTCGAAATGCCTCAGTTGCCAAAGATACAATTCGATCCGCCCAATCATGCAGGGATTCAGTTGATGACTGCCTTGCATTGTTGAAACCGACTATAGCTGTTTCGGGCAATTCTGTAAACCCAAACCGCTTTTCGAACCGTCTAACAATGTCGTAATATTCCATGTCCCCGTCACGGTCACACAGGTTGGCATAGAATTCGCTTGCCTTCCCAGTCAAGCATAAACAGAGAGCATCTTTGCTGTCCTTGCCAGACCACCCCTGCGTTTCGGCATACTTAATGAACTTCATAAAGAAGGCCTTCCAATTAGAGGCACCATCATAATTTAGCGTCCTAGGAATATTAATCATTCTTCTAGCAGATCTAGGAGCTTGTATATCTGCTCTAGTATTTGAGGGCTGGTACCTTGGCACTCTCCTCATGTAAATAGGTTCCTCATAATCATCATATGCCTCATCGTCATACTCTGAATAAGAGTAAGATTTATTTGAACGTGATGTTCCTCTGTCCCTTGGGGGACCGTGGAGATCTGCCCTGTTGATTACCTCTGTAATTCTCTCTATTGGACCCTTCTGGTATCTTCTTTCCTCCGCAGGGTAAAAGTCAACCAGGCTAAGGAGTTCCCGAGATATTCGAATGTGGGGGATCGCTTGTAATGTTTCTTCATCGATCAACCCATACTTGTCTCTTATCTCCAAAATTGCATGTGCAGTTTTGTGTCCAATACCCGGCAATGAAGTAAGCTCCTCAAATGATGCTTCATTGATTCTTACTTTGTTGAATGACATTGTGTAGGGTAGGGCAGTGTTATCACAATATTATATAGTTTTATCACAATATTATAGAAATTGTACAATGATTTATGTATGAATGAAGTATTTATATATATTTATCTATATATTTATTGATATTATAATCATAGATGATGAAAAAATGTGAATTATTGCTCAATAAATGACAGGTATTTAATTATAATACAAAATTATTGCAACAAAAAAATGTGATGAATGCAGGGCAGACAAAATTAATAATTTTTATCTTACATAAATACTTTGAACAAGTAAACTTTAATATTAAATTGTCTACTATTATAATGGATAATATTGCCGCTTTGGTAGAACCAGGCAAATTACCAAACAGAGATTTCACAATAAAAATATTTTAATAAAATATTGAATAATGGACTAGCCAATCCGGACCGGTATAACCTGATCAACCACAATGTCTAGTAATTACAACAATAATTATATGCATGAAAACAAATATTATTAATATATATGTGAAATATAGTGTGAACTTAAAGAGGGGTGTAGTGTGGTACTCACTGGGAAGGGTAAAGTGTATATATATATCTCATGGAAAGAGACATTGGTAAACAAGTTACAGAGTTTGAGAAAACATTCACAACTCTTCGACAACAATCAAGCAAATCGTTGATCACTCTGTCGGAAGCACATCCACTTCAAGATGTTATAAGAAATGTTGAAAATCTTTACCAGATCAAAGAAATGAAAGAAAACCCAGTTTTGCCTACAATTATGAAAACTAAAGATTTCATGAATAGGAAACTTACTTTAGAACATGAGGTCAGATTGAATGAGAGTCCACCAAGGTATTGCGTCTGGATTGGAAATTACATTGTTGTATTGGTGGTGTGATGCCTAATTTTAATTTTATTGTTTGATGTATATATACCTATATGCAAGACAAGTATTCAATAAAGGTTACTTACATTCAAGATGCTTGTCGCTGTAAAACCCTGGAAAGTGAACGCTGTCCCCCTTTCGGATGACCACGAACACAAAATCAGTAAGTAAGTTCAAGGAAGTGCTGTCCTCCGAAGGATGACCACACTAACTGTAAGCCTCTGTCAATTAGAACCGTAATACTGTTCTATGTTTGACCGACAGCTATCAGAATTAATATCTGGAAAATAAATATTAATTGTTTCAAATGCTTCACAAAAATTCACAATAATTTAATAGCCTCTAAGACAGATGTCTCAACTAAATTATTTTTGCTGAATCTGTATAGAAAGAGCCAAAGTTGCAACGGTTTCGTAATTATGGAAATCTGATGCAATCCTTAATTAAATCACAAAAAGAACATCAAATCCCTAACAGATGTTCAATTATTATGCTATTAAATGAAGAAATAAATGATATTTTCACTGTAAAGCAAAAATTTATCTATTAAAATGAAATGGATGTGATGACGTAAAACCGCGGGGAAAGTTATGGCCGCACCAGAAATTTCCGCGATAAAAACATCAAATGCACAAATCCGAAATAGCTCGCAGCGCCAGTAAAGCACTTACCCACAAGCTGTGTGAATCGTCGTACAATGGCAACCGGCCAGTGAACTCTGAGTCGTTGTTGTAGGTGTAAATGCCTTGAGTCTGATCAGCGAACGATCTAGATACAAGAAGAAACGAGCATGGAACTGAACTGCTGCGCATGCGTTGATGCTAATTCCTGTCTTATTTCCGGTGCCGTACCGTACCGTACCACAATATTGATAAAGAGATCGAACAACGTGGCAGGGTATGTAAATTAAAGATTCATTTTTATTTCTACACAATTATTTTGTAAATGTATGCAGTTAAACTTTTATTGTTTGTATGCATTCAAATTACGATATTTTCATATTTGATGGCCCAGTCTCATTCTTAATATGTCAATAAGTACATATTATATCATGATATGTTCTAAGAATGAGTTTACTAAGCGCATTCTTATACTAGTTTTTTTATATATGTTATAGACCGTTGGTTATTAAGCTGTCACAACATATTGCTCCGTTATTTAGATACCCGCCTGTTACTTATTGTACAAATAGATGTCATGTGTAACAATATTGCAATGTTTTACACGGTACATATTTCATATATTTATTGTAGTCCGTCTTACCCATGTCTTTATGTAAGTTTATCGTTAGAAGATTTTTTTGTCTTTTACTGAATATTTTATCTTTCTAAAGTAGTACAAAAACCACCATAAAACTGTAAACATAAAAATTGCTAGGTTTTATTGTACACTATTTGATTGATGAAATATTTGCATAAGAAGCCGATATGATAAGGAAAAAGGTTCGTGGGAGAAACGTATTTGTGTGCTGTTCGTGCAAACAGATAAACGACAATGTGAAAATAATATTCTGTTGTTATAGAAAAAGCTAAACAGAATAATACAGAGCATAATCGACAAAGGGATACACTTAATATAATTGAATATGAAAACATGCCATATTTCTTTATGTAGTAGATGCAGGTGCATATGACTAATACTCGAATTTTGAAAACCATAATATATTATCAAAAGACGTGCACACTATTGTAATGTAACACGATAACGCCAAAAATTACCTTTATATTCTTTTAATATCTTGTTAAATATACTCACTGTTCAGCATATTTCAAGACATTAAAATAATAAGGTTATACAGGTACTCATCAATAAGTTATGTTATGTACGTTAAGATCTTTGAAAATTACAAAAATTCAATTAAACAGTTTTTCCTTGAAAAAAGCACAATACCGGTATTTCGATAAAAAGGCGTTAAAGTTAAGATGATGTTTCGTGTACACTTTTATTAATGTATTTCCTAGTTATAAATAGCTCACACGAAAAGTTGTTCTACCATGTCATAATTAAAATTCATTATTATCTTGATAAAATAAACACGCTTTTTGTGCTAAATTAATGACAATAATTTTGTCTAATTATTCCAAGTTCCTTTAGATTAAAATTGCTAACAGACCGACAAAAAATTTTCTATTATACGACTGTGCTATGGTATTTTCATGTTTTGAACAGATTCAGCATTTATATAATGGCAGATTTAACCGAAGTATGACCGAAGGGTTATTCAACATCAGAAGAGAGAATCGGCCCAGACTTTTTCGGTTCAAATAGAAAATAGTCTCGGGGAATAGTACATATGTGTTATGTAAAATGTATAATTGTGTACTAAAACTACGAAATGTAACACTTAATGACAGTGATGATTCGAATTAGCAAGCAAAACATTACAAACAATGGCTATTGAAACTTCAAGGAAGAAGTAATCGAGAGGTAATCGAGTGGTGCTTGGGAATTCGTTAATTAATCAGGTATTTATATACTCACCATTTCCATGTTTTGTATACATTGATTTTAATATTTTCCTGTTTGTATTTGTATCAACATCACAGAATTATTACCTTTATTCCATAAGATTTTAATTAAGATTCTTAACTATTGTTTTAGCTTAGGTACATCTCTTTCATTGCCATGCAAATGTGTGCCATGCATTTTAATAAAAGAATCATAACGATAGCTGAAATTGTTGTAATTCAACTTCTCGAACCTTATATTATTACAATTTTACATTTATTGTACTTTACACAAATAATCTTTAACAAGCATAATAATTTTACGCATGTTATAAGACTTAATAAATTATTTCTAATAATTACATGTATATCCATATGCTTTTAATTGTTAATAATTTGTTATTCTTGCATATAATGATCCTTAAATGTTGTTTTGACTCGTTCGTCCATTTGTCCATGAATAAAAAGTAACATAATAAAATTAAAAGTACATTGTATTAATCCTTGCAATAAATCAAATAAATAAAATGATATCTACTTGAAAACCCCGTTATGCTTAAAGTGTAAGTCACATATATTTCTAAGACCTATTTCACACACAAACATCAGAGGGTAAAAAAAATGAATATATTTCAGATTGCGTATGTGATACATGTACATTTTGTCAGTCCTTTATTGAGTGATAAGTTTCCAATTAAATACATACAGTCATGTGTTTCATTTGTGTCAAGCAATTTGATCGTTTAAAACTTTTGAATAAATGTATGACTAATTTTATTACTTTAAAGAAATGAGAAAAAATGCAATGAAATTGTTCATTTTATTTTTCAGATTTAAGAAGAAAGAAACAGTGATTTGACATTAAACAATCAATAAGATGATACTGGATATTAATATAAAAAGGCGTCAAATAAGGAATAACCATAAAATACGGATAAAACGGATAAAAGATAAGTGATGCATTGGAACAAACGCAAATAATTTTGAATGCGCGCTGAAGACATCAGGCATAAACATTTAACTTTGAAGTTGCTGAAGTGATTTTGGTATTCTCAATTCATCATGTTTCAACTAAAGTTTTTTTGTTTTTCTTTTTTTTTAAGAATCAAACTTGTTACTAGTATTTGATTCCGCTAAAATATAATTCCGGGAAATGTATAAATAATATGTCTTATCAGTGCTTTGAGTTTTGTGTAATATAATATTGCGCAATAGTATCATATTTGATAAGTATGGATTTCTGATACATATTGTGCCATAAACTTCTGTTTGTTCATAATATTTGATATTAAATACTTAAAGGCACGACATGCCTCAAAAATACTGTTAGTTTCATTTATGTTTGGTATCTTGTTACCGTTTTATAAAAAAAGTACGCACTCATTGTCCATATAGAACAATTTTGTGTTTGATATATTTTGGGACATATTGTGCCTTTAACCTTTTTAAAATTTTGATACTAGCTTTTAACATCCAATATCTTTCTTTGATAAACATCTTTTCTTAATATGTTAAATATGTTTCAATGTTCAAATTGATTTTTATTTTTGTTTCTGATTTTCGATATCAGTTAGGAAATTAGACATGAGATCAGAAATCTCCATAAATAATTTATTAGTTATTTTATAATTACATTTGATGAATGTTCAGTAACCTCAACTCAACCTCAACTTTGTCTTATTTATATGTTTAAATAACAATGCAAAAATTTTATGATGAAAATTGAAATTTTAAGCTCTTTCTATGCTATGCATAAATTTAATTTCAAGTTCAATAAAACATATCATTGAACATACGTTTGAATATATTTAGGACTATAGTTGTAATAACAAGGCAGCATGGCCTAAAACGGCCGAACATTTTTAAGATACTTTTGTTGTTAGATAAAATTAATAGTTTAGGTTCATTTTCAGTTATGTATCCATATTGTTTCTTTTGTTTGTTTTTATTTAAGCTTAACTTGTGTTACATAATTGTTATCATAAAGTAAGTAATATATATTTTATTATATTATTTTGAAAACGCATTCTTTTAAATGAAATACCTGAAGATAGTGTAGAACTTCTCACAAATTGTGTTATTAATCAATTTAATGTTTAACTTTTATTATGTCTGCGTAATGCGTAATGGACTATTAGTGCTAGCATTTCTCAGGGCAGTGTATTTATTGACTTCTAGCGAAAATGATTAATGTAAAATCGACTGTCAGTTTTACAACTACAGATTGTACGATTAGCCTAGAATGAAAGCTTATAAGTTTTACAATTTCTTTGAGTAAAGATATTTAAGACTATTGAATTGTCACTTTTAGAACATACATGGATAACAAACAGTTACATTTTAAATGTCCGCATAATCTTGAATATTATTTCAAAATTATTAGCAGTTGAAGACGTGTCATATTACCATAGAATCTTTCAAAATAAAACGTTGGTTGAATGAGCTCTGTCTTCTTTCTGAACCGGGTTATATAATTATGATATTTACTCATCATTAAAACAAAAGATTTTCATGACACCAAACTCAACTCATCGCATATACAATTAATATTGATAAACCGCATTTTTACTACATTTTAACCATTTGATGTTTTTTTTCACTTTTCAAGCACTTTGTATTACATCAATAAGTTATGTATTTATTTATTTTAACTAATTAATTAATTAATTTATTTATAAATTGATTTTTTAAATTTATTTATGTTATCTTTATTTCTTCATTTTATTTATTCATCATTAATAAATTTATTTATTTATTTACTTAATTATTTATTCATTTTTTATTTACTAGTTTTCATATAGTTATACATGTATTTACTTATATTTACTTATCTATTCATTTCTTTATTTATTTATGAATAATTAAAAAAAGGATAAAGTAAAAATCTTCCTATCATGAAATGCTATATAAACTGCTTTAAAAAACATGTACTTTACGAGTAAATTGCCTGTTCATTTTGTTAAACGTTAGAAAGCAAAGGAGCTTATCTTTCACCTATTTGCCACTACAAACAACTTTTCTATGTTCTTCCTGAATTTATGGGTATTTTGGAAAAACACATACCAATAAATATAACAGTTATATTGTTAAAGCACAATATTTAAGACTTCTAAGCATAGTTACTATAGTAAAATGAGAAAAAAAGTATAATATTAAACTAAAAATAACGGACAATTTTTTTTCTCATTTTAATATCATTATTATTATTATAATTTTTTTATTTGTGTTATCATTATTATTTTAATTATTATCTAAATAAATAGAGGATATTCAAGATTTTTCTATAAATACATGATTTATTTTCATCGAGTGGTATGAAAATAAATATTTCATGAGTGGCGGTAGCCACGAGTGAAATATGGTAATTTTCATGCTACAAGATGAAAATAAATCATGTATTTATAGAAAAAAAAAA